GAGGTGGCCTGCTACAATGGACCTCGGAGCCATGTCCTGGTGGGTTCTTCAACTGAGGTGGAGGCTGTGATCGAAGTTATCAAGAAGTCAACAGCGGTCAAGTACAAGGTCCTGAATGTTACTCACGGATTTCACTCCCGCTTTTGCGACTCTATCATCCCCGGTCTTGAGGCGTTGGCAGCGTCTTTGACATACAACACACCCAAGATCAGGATCGAGACGACCTCAGATCGAGAGACATGGGCTGCCGCCACACCCAAGTTGATCGCCGACCACACGAGGACGCCAGTGTACTTTGAAGATGCCATCAAGCGGATAGAGGCCAGATATGGGTCTTGCACCTGGGTTGAGGCTGGCTCGAACTCATCCGTTACGAGCATTGCCCGTCGATCACTGTCAGATGCTGAGAGCCGAGACCATCTCTTCTGCCCCGTCAATCTCAGCCGGGAAGATGCCCTGGGCGCCCTGGCTGATACCGTCACGAACTTGTGGAAGAATGGAAACCAAGTGCAATTTTGGCCATTTCATCGCATTCATCAAGCAGATTATCTGCCGTTGAACCTACCGCCATATCAGTTCGAAAAGGTCCGACATTGGCTGGACTTCAACTTTGTCGTAGAACAGCCGAAGCCAGTGCAGGCGCAAGATCAGATCACCGAGACAGTGCCAGTGGTCGAGCCTGAGCCAGTCTTGATCACCTTCTCGGGATTTGACGTCACTCACGCCACGCAACGTCGCGCCGTCTTCACCATCGATCCACGCAGTCAGGAATGGCGGACGCTCGTTAGTGGACATGCCGTCCTCCGGCAACCGTTATGTCCAGCTCCGTTGTATGTCGAGCTTGTCTTGCAGGCTGTCAAGATGACTGCTGAAGCAGAAGGGATATCGGCGCTTACATTTGGGCAGCTGGAGGGCCTTGAGATAACATCTTCGTTGGGCACGAGTGATGACAAGATTATCAAGCTTGTCTTGGCCCCTTCGGACGGAGAAAGGTTCAGATGGGACTTTTCGTTCCACTCACAGCCGCGGGGCGTCAACACTTCCGCAAAGCCAGCCACCCATGCCGTGGGCAGTGTCAAAGTCATCACCACCCAAGACGACAGCACAACATCTGAACTAGATCGAATCTCAAGGCTCATCAGGCACCGCGACTTTGATGAGGTAACCACTCGGGTTGACGGCGAGGCTGTTCAGGGTTCACTGGTCTACAAGGTTTTCTCCAGAGTTGTGCAGTATCATGACTTTTACAAGGGTGTGCGTCAAGTCGCCGGCCACAATGGAGCGGTGGTGGCTCAGGTCGTGCTGCCAGCGGAGCAACCCCCTGTCACACAAGGACTTCTGTCGAACCCAGTCGCAGTCGACAACTTCCTTCAAGTCCCGGGGCTCTACGCCAATTGTCTTGGCCCATGTCCAGCGGATGAGGTATTTGTTTGCACCCAGGTGGACCGACTCTGTCTCTCGCGAGACTTTGAGGGTACAGCCAACAAGACTTGGAAGGTTTGCGCCACATCTACGGCAACATCCGACAGGGAGAGCGTCAATGATGTGTTGGTGTTTGAGCAGGAGTCAGGCAAGCTTGTTTTTGTCGCCTTTGGGGCGCATTTCAGCCGAGTTCGCATCACGTCGCTGGCAAAGGCGCTTTCGCGGGCAAATCAAGGACAGACCACGGCTTCTGTCGGTACCAATGGCATCACCAACGGCATCACTCGGCCCGCTTCTCCACCTCTTGTGGCGCCACCTAGCAATAGACAAGACCCTGTCAGTCCACATGACACTCTCCAACAACATCCAGTTGTTGCCACTCCTGCCCTGCCGAAGCGTCCTGCTGGCCCAGGCATCGAGCAGGAGTTGCGGGAGCTGCTCACCAAGGTCACCGATGTGCCAGCCGATCAGTTCAAGGGAGATGTTACACTTGCCGATCTTGGTATTGACTCGCTGGTAACCACAGAGATAGTGTCCGAGGTGGACCAGATCTTTGGTATTTCTATCCCTCAAGACCAACTGCAAGACCTCCAAACCTTCGCCTCCCTGTCCGCATACCTCGCTGGCCGTCTGGGTCGGGAACTGCAAGACACCCCCACAGTCGTTCAAACCACGGCTTCCAGCGAGCAGCGCCAGACACAGCCAAGTGCTTCGTCCTTGGAGGCGGCTCCCACAGCCCCCGAGCGTGGGAGGCCAAGGGACTCTGAGAATTTGCTCCCAAAGCTCGCCAGCCTTTTAGCCAGCCATCTTGAGTGCTCTCCCGCTGATTTTGAACGGTCCACGAACCTGGCAGATCGCGGTCTTGATTCTCTGCTCTGCATCGAACTCATGAGCGACATTGAAAAGACATTCGGCGTGTCAGTCGACCTGGCACAGCTCACATCCGAGAGCACCTTTGGAGACCTCGCCGGCATGTTCGTCAAGGTCACTGGCCGTGATGTGTCCCCATCAGATACAACAAACTCAACCATCACCACAACACCGACACCAGCAACACCTAGCTTTGAGCCAAGAATCATCCCCCATGATCCCTCAGTCAAAATTCCACCACGCCCAGTTCCCACAAACACAGACCGCAGGTTTCAGGCCGCTCCCGATGCGTTTGAATCCATCAAGGACCAGTTCAGTGACCTCGCCGACGCATACCATCTGACCGACTTTTACAAAAACGTCTACCCCAAGAACGCACGTCTCGTCCTTGCTTACACAGTCGAAGCATTCGCGGATCTTGGTATTGATCTCAGCAGTTTGCCCACTGGTGAGGAGATTCCACCCCTGCCCAGCCTTCCCAGACATCACCACCTGCGAGACGTCCTTTATGAAGTCCTACGGGACGGAAAAATCGCAGATTACAACGGCAAGACCTACGTCCGCTCCGACGAGCCCATCGACAAAGTCCGCTCAAGCCAGCTGTTCAACGAACTTGTCCAGGAGTTTCCTCAACACGCCAAGGAGCACATGCTGCTGAACCTCTGCGGCGCAGAGCTGGGGAAGCTGATTAGCGGGGCAAAAGAGCCACTCACTGTTCTTTTCGGATCCAAGAAGAACCGCGATATCCTTGAGGACGTCTACAGTACCAGTCCCATGTACGTCATCATGTCACAGCTGCTCACGCGCTTTCTTGAAAAGGCTCTGAGCGGCGCCTCACCCGGCCCAGATGGTGTATTCCGAATCATTGAGCTCGGCGCTGGAACAGGATCAACCACCAAATGGGTTGTCGACCGGCTTGTGCGGTGTGGCATCCCAGTCGAGTACACTTTCACCGATATCTCGCCCTCGCTCGTCTCTGAAGGGAAGCGCAAGTTTGCCAAGTACAACTGCATGAGATACGCCACCATCAACATCGAAAAGGAGCCCCCGACTCAGTACCACGGCCAGTTCGACATTGTCCTCTCCACCAACTGCATCCACGCCACCTCCAACCTGCGCCGCTCTCTCACCCACATCGACAAGCTTCTCCGACCCCACGGCTTCGTCTCGCTTGTCGAGTTCACAAGCCGCATGTTCTGGTTCGACCTGGTGTTTGGCCTCCTCGAAGGCTGGTGGCTCTTCGACGACGGCAGACCCTATGTCCTCGCCAGCCCCGAGTTCTGGGAAAAGTCCATGCGCTCAAGCGGCTTCCAACACGTTTCCTGGACAGGCAGCACAACCAAAGAGTCCGAGATCGTCCGCGTCATCACCGGCTTCAAGCAACCAGTCGACAACCCCGCCCTCTACCGCAGCACGCCACAAGAAACCACCGGCGAAGTCGAAACCCTCGTCTTCACCCATGTGACAGACAAGAACCTCCCCCTCCGCGCAGACATCTACCACCCAACCCCACAACAAGCCGCCGCCCAAAAAGACTGGACTGTAGGTGCGCCACTCTCAAACCCACCACCACCACCACTCCTCCCCACCACCTCACTAACATCCCCCCCTACCCAGCCCTGATAATCCACGGCGGCGGCCACGTAATGCTCTCCCGTAAAGACATCCGGCCCCGCCAAATCCACCACCTCCTCTCCCACGGCCTTCTCCCAATCTCAGTCGACTACCGCCTCTGCCCCGAAACAACCCTCCTCACCGGCCCCCTCCCCGACATCCTCACCGCCCACACCTGGGCCCGTACCTCCCTCCCCACCCTCAAACTCCTCAAATCCTCCATAACCATCAACCCAACCCACACAGCAGCAATAGGTTACTCAACCGGCGGCCTCCTAGCCATGTCCCTGTCCTGGACCTCCCCCCACCCCCCCTCCGCAATCCTCTCATTCTACTCCCCAACAAACTATCAATCCCCCTTCTGGCAAACCCCCAACATCCCCTCCCACTCCCATCCATACACCACCACCCCCTTCAACCTCCTCGACTGCGTCCAACCAAACCCAATAACCTCCTACAACATCCCCCCCAATCTCCTAGCAGCAGGAGGGTGGATGACCCCCTCCGACGCGCGCAGCCGTCTAATCCTTCACATGAACTGGCACGCCCAAACCCTGCCCGTCTTATTCCGCGGTCTACCCCCCGCCGGAACCCCCCACCCAGAGAGCTACACCTCCATGCCACAGCCAGCAGAAGAGGAAATAATCAAAGCGAGCCCCTACGCGCAGGTTATAAGGGGTAACTACAAGTCCCCTACGCATATCGTTTTCGGGACAAAGGACGATCTGATACCCTGGCAGCAGGCCGAGGAGACGGTCAAGGCAATGAGGGAGCACGGGGTGGATGTGGGCTTCACGCTGGGGGAGGGGGAGCCGCACTTGTTTGACATGTACAGAGACCCGGATGGCAAGAGATGGGGGTACGTGCTGGAGGGGTACAGGTTTCTGTTGGAACGGGTGGGGAGGTTGTGAGGAATGGGAGGGAGGGAGGGAGGGAGTAGGCACCTCTCCAGAACCAGAGGCGTTGGATAAAACCTTTTCGAAGGCATCTAAACTTGGTGGAACGATGCAAAATATAGGCCAACTTCCTATCCGATTCACATTCGTTAAAACAAAGTGCAACGCTGGCTGATGCTTTTCCAACAACGAACACCATCAAATCATGCTCACAAATCCGCCACCCTGGAGGAATCGTATCTGTTGCTCCTTCAAATCAGCCCAATTCCTCAACTCCTGCTCTTCATCTTCCAACAAAGGAGGCGGTAACATCCCACTCAGTTGGCCAAAGTGATCAAAATGCAGATTATGTGCGTGTTGCGGGTTGATTGTCGGCGCAGCCCTCTCCAATCTCATCAAGATATCCACAAACTTGCTTAGTGGCTCCTCAGCCTTTTGCGCAACAGGACCCTTCCGATCCGGGGCGCAGTTCAGCAGAGTTGATGCGACTTGGCGAATCTTGTTGATGAGACTGCTTCCGTTGGGCTCCATGTTACGTTGCGTGATGGAAGTGAGGACCGTCAGCAGGTTCTGCACGATTAGCTCCCGCTCATCAAACATCTGTGCATCAATGGGATCCTGCTGCTGAGCAGCTGCGTGGAGGGCGGCGGCGGCGACCGACTTAGAGACCGCATCTGACCCCAGAGCGCCATCAGTTCCGTTACCATTGACAGCGTTCTCGGTAGCATATGCCTGTGCCTGTGCGGCTTGGGCAGCTTGGACTCGTGCTTGTTCGCGGTGATTGTCGCGGAGGTTGAGGTAACGCTCAACATAGTAGGAACGCGTCGCCAGCTGAGAGGCATATATATTCGCTTTCTGGATCTCGTACTGCAAACGCCTCGTCTCGGCATCTTGCGAACTCGCCTGTGTCTGGACGGGAAGATAGTCGGGTGGTAGGTAGACATAAGTATTTCCTGTGTCGTAGTAGTTTGTAGCATTCGGCAAATCCATGCCGGATAGGCTGCTCCCGTCGTTCGTATGTTGGCCAAGATTGATGGTCAGCTCTGGCGGTAAGTGATCCATGACCTGCTTGACAGCCCCCAGACAGTCATCCAGCATCGATCTTTGATCATGAAAGCCCAGCGAGGATATCCCGTAAGACAGTTCAATGCTGACCAGACCGTTCATGGTCATGTAGATTTTGATGCCCTGGATGAAGCCCGTCATTAGGGACACGACGCCTTCCGGTTGTACAAGGATTTGATGTGGAAGAATGTATTGATCGTCGACCTCGGCAGGGAACTCGGGATATGGTTCGGCCGGGGTAGGTGGTGGAAAGATGATTTCACTATGAGGCGCGCCGATCTGTACCATGGATCTGACACCGACAAACATGCACCAAAAGATGCGCTTGCCCAGCTGGTCTTCAACGTGGTTGAACGATGGCCCTCGATAGGTAACCCCAAACATGTGCGACCCCGTTTCTCGCGGCTTGTGATAACCCATCTCGCGGATAAAGTCCATGGTTTGGCTCATGAACCGCCGGCAGACTTTCCATTGCATGGTGTACCCCGCTGCCAGACCGAGAAAATAGCTAGTCGCAGCATCGTAGACGGTGATATCATCCTTGTAAGGAAAGGCCGAACCACGAGCTTCGGTTGCGACAACACGACATCTTTCGATGAAGTTGATGGCTTTGGGAAACATGGCCAGCCCGTTAGGATGGTGTTTGAGATGCAGCCGAGCAGCACGTGGGAACGAGGCCACTAGACACCCAATCATGCTGGCCAGCAGGGCGAGGAACTCTCGGCTTGTCCTGTCTTCGCGTCTCATGAAAGAGTTTCGAAACGTGGGCTCGTGGGGGAAAGGCGCTAGCGGGTGTATATACCTGAAGAAATCGTCCACAAGAGGGACCAGCACCTCGAATGGGGCTATGAGCTCAGCGGACCACACAGGCTGCGCACCATGTAGCCCAGCAATGGATATCAGAGTCTCGGCGGCATTGTGCGGTCCTGGGCTCAGATTCGGCTCGAGGCGGGGCTGCTTTGCGGCTTTGGCAGCTTCGGCGTGTTTGTTTGGTGGCCCTCGGCGTTTCATGGTGCGGTTGAAGGTGCAGTCGACACCAAGGTCGCGACATGGGCGGCATGGCTGCGTCTCATCGCACTGGAAAGAAGAAAACTCGTCAGTCGGGAAGCACATAGAGACACTTGGGAGAAGAGGATGTGCAACCTTAACCTTGCGCTGACTACACATGTCACAGGCTCGGCGCAAGCGGGTAGCTTTCGAGGCGGCACCTGGAGGGTTTGCAGAACCGCCCTGGGATACTGGTGGCTGACCTGATGGGAGCCCGGCCGGTGGATGGTATGGCAAGCCATCAGGATGCGGTACATAATGTGAGGCTGGCGAAGATGCGGGTTGTGCGAGGGCTAAGGGGGTGGTTGGCGGTGGGGGCCCTGCGACGGAATCTTGAAGGGCCTGTAAGCTGTGATGGGCAACAGCAGAGGCAGCAGCATCGGCGGCATATTGGGGATGTGGTTGAGGCTGGGTCGCGAGGTCGTCGGAGTCGTTGTGGGCAACAGGTTGTGATGGTGCGGACGTGTCGTTGGTGGGGACCTGGGCGTCGGTGGTGTTGTTGGAGGGCGGTGGTGGATAGTTGGATGACATGATAATGATAAGCTTCAGTGACGTCCGATAATCGCACAATATAACTGGCCCAGCGCACTTTTACGGCTTCACTCCGGGTGATTCTGCCACTGGCGATTTTTCGGCGAAGGTCCGGGAGAATCACGGATCTTTTTTTGCGCCAAACCAAACGACAACATCCACAGGGGCCTGAGAAGTCACGTGGCTACCCGGAGCTGCCTTATCGGTTATCATCAGCCTATCAATCCCACCATCCTATCGCCATAGCCCACAAAGTGCACGGCCCTTTTGCATTCTGAGTCCAATTTGCAAGGGCGCCCGGACCACCCGAAGCACCAGTATATATTCGCGGTTCCCCTCCAATTCTTTCCACTTTCCCTTTCTCTTTTCTTCTTTATACTTACCTTGGCTGGCCTCCGGGAGATCATGAATTCCTAGAGGTATGTCGAAGAGCCTTCATTGCACATCGAGGAGTTTTTCGTCATTGTTTGCCCTTCGGGGTCGACAGGGCTGTAATTTTTGATGTTTACTTTTCTTCATTGTGCGCTTGACCTTTGTTGAGCCATGAGGAAGAAGCAAGATCTGGCAGCTTGCAGTGTTGTTTGACCGTGTTTTCTGCGATGATATGTCACCATGTTGGTGTTCTGGTGTTCATTCCCGTGTTTGACATTGATGTTGCCAATTCTACTTTTTCCGGAGTTGAGAGTACCTACCCACAGAGTTTCACATCTAACAGTGTGGTGTGCAATACCCGCAAGGGCTTACCATCATTTACGATCGATATTAATGGTCGTCCATTTATATTAAGTAATACTTGTTTGCCTTTGGGCGATATTGTTCTCGAAAGGCTTGCATTTATCTTGCAGTTGCGTATAACATCCTAGTTAAACTAGGAACTGCTGGCTAACTCCAACTGAAACGATGACTATGCTGTATGCCTGGGTATGCAGCCTGTGGTCAGGATCTGGATGGATAATAACCGGAGTCAAAGACTTGGTGATCAACAGGTCATTTTAATGCGTAAAGTCGAAACCAGGCTGTGTGGCTGGAGGAAAGACTGGGGGGGACTGCTTCTGTTTTGGTGGAAAAAGAGGGCAGAAGCATGAACGAAGCTCTGTTGTGTGGCGAGAAAAAAGCCAGGCAGCCACCTCACTTCGACACCTGGTCGCACCTTCCAAAACCAAAACTTTGTCAATTTTTGCAGCACCGAGGGGCTGAAACTCGGAGTCCTCTAACAAGAACGCCAATCGCTCATGCTACCATAACAAGTTCTACCTCCTCATCCGTTTCCCCTCTCAAGCCTTGGTCGGCGACGTCAACTGCCAAGCATCAATAGCGACGTACCCATTCCCTGATGTCAGAATCCCGACTGCAATTACGTTGTTCAGCCAGTAATACTTGGAGCTCCCCGTCTCAAATTTGATGCGGAGGTGGATGAAGCCATCGGACTGCGCCGGACCGCTCGTGCTGATGAAGATGTGGGCATTGTCATCAGTCTGAAGCTGGTAGCGTGTGTCGGCCGAGAAGGTGTTCTTAGAGTCAATCAGGCCCCAGTCAGCACCGAGGGGAAGGACTTTGCCTACATTGCAAACGTGTCAGCTTAGGAAGGGGAGGTTGGTGTAGGTTGGTCAGCTCGTACCGGACAAGCGAGGCCCCTTGAAGGATCCACCGGTGATGGGGATCACCACACGGTTGCCGTTGGGACCAGCTCCTACAGGAAGGGAGGCACCCAATGTGCAGTTGAGGGAGTAGAGGAATGTCAGGCCTGGTGCCCGAGGTGTTGCTTGTGCCAGTGCCAAGCCTGAGAACAGGAGGCAGGTAAGGGTGCAAATGACGGCGCGGATGGACAGCATTTTGGTGTTATTGATGTTTGATGACTGGCTGTTGATGATAATCTAGAGACGACCCGGCTCCCTTTTTTCGTCCCGAGAAGATGCGACCTTTTATACACCGACATGGTGCCCACAAAAATGAGGCTGGCACATGCCGTTCTCTAGTACCGACACCCCGGGCCGATGTTGTAACCGCTTGAATCGCATTGAACAAATCACGGACTAGACAAGCGATCAACAAGCCTTCCAATCAGATCTTGCGGGGAAGCAGCTCGCTTGCTTCCATGCTGGTCTAGCTCTTTTCTTCCGGACTTCCATTCTGGGCCGGCTGAATGCGACATCGTCGACGTCTGCAGACAATTGCCCGCCCATCAAGCGGCACGTCAGAACCCAAAACCCCCATCAGTGACGAGCAGGCCGCATTTCCCAATCTCATGTCAAAGATCACGGAGAGATTATGCATGGGTCAGAACTCAAAAGCGGCCAACCTGACAAAGCAGCAGCGCAAGGATTGGCAGCGATTCGACGTTGCATTCCGAAGATCCTTGCATGAAGCCACGCCAAGTTCAATGACCAGTATTTGGAGTGAGTTGGGATTTGAGGGATTGTGGCGTACGGGTATCATGGGGCACAGCAAGGTCGTTGGGCCTCGTATGCTGTTCCCTTGCAACGGGACCAGATTCGGGTGTATGTGATTGTCAACTGTCGAAATATGGGAGGACCAGGACACCAAGAGCTCTCATCCAAGGTCCGAGCCATCTCGGTCCAAAGGGCATCACACAGTCGGCAAAGAGACGTGGATGTTGAGCTGGCTGAGGACGAGGACGTGAGGCTGTTGTAGCACTTGGGCCGCCTGGCCTTGTCCCGCCATGTTGTTGCTGACAACAGTAAGATTGTAAGCCGGACGGATCCACGAGCTAGCACAACATCTCCACAGACCACAAACCTCCAGGATGACGGTCACAACGATTCCATGTCATACGCAATCAGCACGGTCGGGAAGGAGGATGGCTTCGGCGATAACAACCAAATGCAGATTGGGCCACTGAGTGTAGCTGACGGTGCCCGTGGTGTGCCAAAGTTCCCTACACTGTCCGCACTGGGCATCCAATCACTGTTCGCGCGGCCGTAAACACTTGGTGGTAGTCACTGCACGGTTCCCACGTCTTTCCTGCCGCCGTCGGCCCTCCTTCATTGCCGCGTTTGTTCAGGTTGCTCAGGATCGTTTGGGCATCCGAGGTTTCCAGTCCTACAAGGAATCGCGCGAGAGGACCATTAGGCAAACAGGCCAGGGACATACCCTGCAGTTGTGATGGAGATGTGGACTATGCCAGATGCCAAGCTGTGTTGTTTGGATGGACTTTGAGGCAACCGCTAGGCGCGATGGGTTATGGAATGTATTACGGTAAGACAGGTTCGTGACAGAGTGGCCTGGGTTTGGGAACACCTGGGCGGGGCAGACAAGCAAGAGGCAGGAGGTTTCCATGCCGTGGGTTGCAAGTGAGGCAAGTCCTATAAAGGCGCAATCTGTTGCAGCTGCGTCTTGAGCATGTTCCCGTAAGTCTCCCTCATCCAAAAAGTATCCAAACATTATTGTTTCTCCTGACATTTGTGTTTCATTCTGCACAACCTTACGGCCATGGCCTTGCTTAAAACCCGCGCCAAGTTGGCAGAGAATGCCCCCTACACGAACCTAGACCTTATTAACATGGTTGATACGCAAGTTATCCCGCTGCAAATGAGTCGCTCAGCCGTTGGCTTTTCTGTTAGTGTTGGCTAACTCCTCCTTCTCTTGCACTAGTTGGCCATACCCTTCGTCACCCTCGTACAACACCCACCTCGCAAAATACTACACTTTCTTCGTCGACACATACGCAGAGCCCTTCGGCTACATCCACGACAACTTTGTTTCTGACCTCCCTTGGCCGACCGAATACTGGCTCGTCGACCACGATGCCAAGACGATCACTCTCAAGGTCGCACAAGGGTCCACTGATGGGTTCGGGGCCCGCACCAAAGCAATGAGAGAAACCCTCTGGCTTGGACACCTCCATGTTGCGGCCGAGAACAGAAAGGCTGGAGTGATAGGCCGACGCTCCCTGTATCGGTGGTGCAACGAGTCGTTCCCACTGCTCTATCCACCAACCGGAGAGCCAGTCTTGGAACTTGATGGGTGCGGGGTGGATATGCTAGGGATTATCAACGAGAGTGTTTTTCTTGTCGCCTACACTTACTGCTCCCCCACCACGCCGAAGATTCCTTCGTCGTCCACGACGTCATTGTCCACCCTTGAAAGAGCTACATCTTCGACCTCGATCGCGTCGCTGGCTAGCGGGGCGGGGACGTCTACCGCTACCACGCCCCTGTCGGAGGTTGACATTTCGAAGCTTGTCTTCAACAGCACTGTTTCTTTGACTCACACTGCTAACTGCGCCATCACCCGCCCTGATGATGAAGCCTCTGAGGAAAAAGAGCTCCGAGTGTACCTCTCCCGCCGCGCAAAGTGGAAATCGGCCTGGCCCTCGCTCTTGGACTGCACCGCCGCTGGTGGCCTCTCTTCTTCTGACCTCTCTCCCCTGGAGGGAATGATTAGAGAGGCCCACGAGGAGGTCCGGCTCCCGTCTCCGTTCCTTCGCTCCCATGCCAAACTCATTGGTGAGAACAGATTGATGCTTACGGAGACAGAAATCGGAGAGGAGGGTTGCCAAATGCAGCTGCAGCATTGTTTCGAGGTTGAGCTGCCTGAGGGGGTTGTGCCAAGGCCAGGGGAGGGAGATGGGGAGGTGGCGGGCTGGGAGTTGGTTACTGTGCCGGAGATGAAGGAGAGGATGAGGATGGGGGAGGTGAAGCCGGCGAGTGGGTTGGTGTTGATGAGGTGGATGTTGGAACGGGGGTTGCTGACTGACGAGGAGGGAAAGGGTGTGGGGGAGAGGTTGGGGCGGGAGTGGGTGGTTGAGTGAGTTGAAGGGAAGTAGGTTTGGATATCACAGAATGAGTACACGAAATAATGACGTTGTTTATAACCACGTTCAAGAACTAGCGAATGTCCAGCGTCGTATGTACAAGTTCAGTCTGCCAGATAGATACACCGCCTGCATTTTGTCCATCACCCCTCTCTTGCGTGCCCTCACGGACTAGCACCCCGAAGTCTTGATAGCAGCAGTAGCACAGGCCGTACCGGAAGGACCACTCCCAATTTTGGTCGGCTCCTTGCCACTGTTATTCCCCTGATAAATCCAGCACGCAGCCCCCTTGAGCAAACAGCTATTCCTCACGCTGGTGGTATCCCCAAAATTAGCATTCACCCCCGCCACCACCTGCGACGACCCCTCGACCTTGATATTGTCAAACGTCGAATGCCTCGCGTATTGCGTCCCGCAATTCCCGCAAGAGCGATACAATTTGCCGATGTTGGCGGCATAGAAGTTCTTGACGGCGACCAAACCCCCGCCGTTGTGCTGGAAGACTTTGTCGCTGGCACCGCGGGCACCGCCGCCGTTGACGTAGGAGGTTCCGGAGGTTTGGCGGAAGGTGGCGGCGTCCTCGCAGACGTCGGTCCACCAGACGTTGTTGAGGGTGCAGGTTCCTTTGCAGTGGACGCCCTCGCCGTTGTTGGGACCGATGATGACGTTGGAGAGGGTTGCGCCGTCTTGGAGGATGAAGACGGCGTCTTTTTCGCCGCCTTCGGATTGGTCGGAGCAGGTCGAGGGGGAGCGGTCCCATTGTTTCATGCCGCCGTCGAGGGTTTGGCCGGCGGGGATGGTGCGGGCTGCGGAGAGGTGGGTTGTTGCTGAGGGGATGGGGAAGGTGCTGCGGAGGGCGGTGTTGGTTTGGGCGGTGGCTAGGCCGGCCATGGAGGCGAGGAGGAGGGTGAGGGGGTGCATTTTGTTGGTTTTGGGGGGAGGGTTGAAAGTGGAGAGATGGATGGCTTGGTGGTGGTGGTGGTGGTGGTGATGGTGATGGTGATGGTGATGGTCTGGACTCCTGGACAGGAAGAGATGTCTTTATACTTCTCCCCTGCTGATATCAACATGTCATCCGATCCACCTTGCCTTGTAAACTGGACGGACTACTGCTACCAAACCAGGGAATGACTGCCGGTTTCATGACTGACAGACCCACCTGTCTTCTGGGATGGCCTGGCCGGGATTTTGTTTCCACTGCGGAAAGATTCTCCATCGTGTCTTCGTACAGGTGTATCTTCAGACACGATGTGGCGTCGGGTAGCTGCACCCCAGACAGTCCTGAGCAATATTTCTTCATCTTCGGGTGTGTTTCGAGGCTGAGAGACATTCAACTGACTTTCACTGCGGCCCTGCCAGTGGGATGGAGGCTGTCTGCCCAGCTCTGTGAAGTGAAATTCGCACGAATCATCCCTGGCTTCAACCCCAGCATCTGTACAATGTCATGGCTTTAACGCCAATCAGTGTAACACAGCACTAACTCTCCTACACAACACCCGATGTAAGGTATCGATGTCTGCTACCATCATCTACCTGTCAGTGGAGTTGAACCACAACGTAGCACCCCCTTCACCGAAACCACGGAAATTGCCTTCTTGATCCCTGCCGCCCATCCGCATCATCGTGTCCGGAGCTGGCTAACCTGTTTCAACAGCGGAAGATGTCTTGGCGGTCAGTAACAGTCCAGTTGCGCCGAGATCTGGGAATAGGGGACTCAAAAAACGTTTATGCGACGTCTTGGCGCCGGGACGGGAGGTGGTTGGTGGGAATATCTTTCTGGGGGTGATCCACACGTTAACGAGATGATCATGGGATTTCCTGCAAGATGGAAGGGAGAACGTGTAAGTTGGAAGGATGCAGGAAAAACATTCTGTCGGGTTGTTAGAGTGGGCTTGGCGGATATGGTGATGGAACAAAGGCGACTGGTGGATTTTAGGTAGGATCATGGGGTTGACTGGCTGCTGTTCACCAACCACTTACTCAAGACAAGAAATTTTAATCGCGAGAGAGTAATGTTATGACTTTTTGTTTGCTGTTTAAGCATTCCCGTCTTCACCCCGGGTGATGTAGTTGACAAGGTCCTTGTGCTGCTTCTCATACTCCTGCTCCTGCCAAAAAGCTGCTACCGACAGCAGCTTCCGTCCCACCTCCACCAACCGTGTGGCAAAAGCACTAATCATCTCTAACTCTCCTCGAACCTTGTCCCTTATCTCGCGGTAGCTCCTTAGAGAGCGAATCGTTATCTTGGCGTAAATCTTCGTCGAGGTACTTCGCAATGCAGCTGTGTGGAGGGTCGGCCTTTTCGAGACCGATGACCACTCCCTGAACTGGCTCCAAAGCCTTACCCCGTTGAGACTCCAACTGACCGAGCAGCTGAGCAAGCTGGTCAAGCAGACGGTGCGCCATAATAGCACGCTGCAGCTTCACCTTGCTGTTGGTCATCTCCTCAAGACAAGTGGCTCTCATGCCCGCTTCGATTTCATTGGCAGTTATCAACAGGTGTTGCATATCCGGCATAGCTGCCAGGCCCAGCCTCGTTCTTAATAAACCCTGGACAACTTCGTGGCGATTGTCCATGTTCAGTCGGAGCTGCCGATAGTCGTCGTCCAGGCTAGACTTTGGCTCCACCCAGTCGTGGACATTCTCCCGACAAAACAAACATCTTCAAGACCACCCGCCAGAAATCAGAAATCTTTCTTGAAAAAGAGGGGGCTCCAGACAGGATAGAAACACCAACAAAAGGAGGGGGAAGATTCCATTTGCTTCGTAATCCGGGTTCTTGATGGCTTCGGGAGCTTTGACCTCCCAATCCTGGAAACTGTGGCTTTTGAGGCGATCCTTGATGATGTTGTGTGCGATGAGGTTGTATTCATCCGTGACCAGATCGTCAGACGAACAGGAGTAGAAGGTGTAGGTTTTGGCGTCTAGACCGAGGTGTATCAAGCCTGAGGGACCTCCTGACGTGGAGTTTTTGATGTAAAGAAAGCGTTTCGGCTTGACTAAATCAAGGGCCTTGACCAGACTAGCTCCAAGGTCGTGGTATTTGTAATGATCGGATAAGAAGTCGTCTATCTATTCCGATGCTGTCTCGCTGGCCGCTTCTGATGTCACCCGAGTCCACGAAACATCCAAGATGATCTCGAACCCCACGCTTGCTGTTTGATTGTCAGATGGGTGGTAGTGGTCGTCGGTGTCCTCTTCAATCTTGGCAGGCTGCGCAGCCAACATTGGGCTGCTGTCGATCTTTGTCTTTTGTGCTTTGCCTTGGGAGGGACGCCGCTCGCTCACATCGATGTCACTTCCTGGACGTTTCCTCGCCCGATTTTCATTTTCTGGTAACATGCCCCGTGCCCGAAGAAGGGCTGATGACAACGTTGTCTTCTTTGCTGGTGTGCTGGAAAGCCTCAGGCTGGAAAATGGCATGGCGATTTAGTCGATTCGATTTTCGAGCACTGAACGGCGAGGTTCCTAGTAGATGGGAGAGAAGTCAGCTTTTTTTAAAAAGAACAGTAATGTAGGAGAGGGCAAGGCGCTAGCTGCCGGAAGAAAATGTCCCCGGAGCACACTGGTTCAACCAGACTGGTGGAACCCCAACCCTGGGCATGGGAAACCATCACCTCAGTTGACTTACGGCGCAGTCACTCTTTTAAGTGGGCAATGCAGGACCCCTCCCACACCCCAATGCTACGGAGCATTTCGTCAGTTGAGCCGCATCCCCACCTCAACGGCCCAGTCTGGCGGCCCGCCAATCAAACACGCAAATCTTTTTCCTGTTGGGCTGTTGGGGGTGAACTGATAGACCACGTCGACTTTTCTCCAGTACTTACAGTCAATTGATGATGCCTCTGGAATACGACCGATTTAGCACCAGGGTCGGTACTTCGACGTGATCAGAGTCCACGAGCTGTTTGCTTGACACGGAGAGTCGGTACAGAAACCCTGATAGAGAACGGCCAGGAAGCTCGATTGTTTGTCTGATAGAGAATGGCCACGAAGCTCGATTGTTTGCAGCTTTGTCGTGGTTTCAGATGGACCTCCATGGGCATATTGACATATTTGGCGCAAGCAAGGCAGATCCCGCGCCGTCCCGGTTGATCAACAGCACGGCTGAGAGGGGGCCAGCCCATCACCACAACCGCCAATGAGATTGACGCAAACATGAGCCAACACTCTCCCAAGACGTCTCTATACTTATGGCTCATGCCCTGGAAATACCTCCTGTGCGTTTCAGTTTTTTCAGTTCCTCAATCACGTCAACTGACAACTACCCCCAGTTCTAATGCTTCAAATCAATCTTTCCGTACCAAGGTTGCCCGATTATCTCGATTGAATGCGAACACGAAATGTCCACTGTCACTCGGTCATGGCAGGAGCAAGAACGACTACGTCTCGAGAAGGAGAAGGAGAATGAACGAAAACGGCTCGAGCAAGAACGAGAAAGATTGAGAATAGAGCAGGAGAAAGAGGCTGAAAGAAAGCTGGTCGAAAGCGAACGGGCACTAAAGGAGAGTATCAGGTTGGCGTCAGTGCGAGCAGCCGCATCAAGAACAAGGACGATACCTACTTCAGCGAGGACAACCCAGACCACATCATCAACATCTTTGCAACAGCCACCTTCGAGCACTACATACTCACTCACTCCACGGCCGATTGTTGATGCGCCGCAAGTCGCCACCAGCATACGCCTGTCGGTAATACCTATCGATTCGAATGGCCCCGCCTCATCTACACCAGGCAGTATAGCCTGTGGGCAGACTGGCTACTTTGACTGCGCATCTGAATATGGTGGCGGTTGCTGCCCGGTAGGCTTCGCCTGCAGCAAGGGTGATCTTTGCGTGTCGCCCCAGTTGGAAAAGGAAAAGCCCATGGCACGTTTGCCATGCCCGGGGCACAATGGATATTTCGCTTGCGAAGAGAAGATTGGCGGTAGGTGGACCTCAGTTTAATAGCGAAATTCGAGATGAACTTGCAACTGAGATTCAACAGGGGGATGTTGCCCAGCAAACTACGCCTGCATTAAGGATAGTCGAGCCCAGTGTCGCCTATCGCAGTCGAATCTGATACTTACCAACGTCGACCGCCTTGCAACACGAATTCCGATACCAACGTCGTCTCCGAGAAGCGAAGGCACAAGCATTACTGGTACTCTAGCACCAGCACCTCACTCAGAGCAACAATCCCGCGTTGGAACTCCCGGGGACGCGGCCGGCATTATCGTAGGGGGCATCATGGCTATAGTTGCCTACTTCCTCGGTAGCTATCTTTTATTCATCTACAGACAGCGTCTTCACGGTTCGCCTCTCAACAAAAGCTTTCGCGTCTTGGAGGTTCGATCTCAATGGAGAGATGCAAGAGCAAAGGCCAGAAGCGAGCTCCCTTCCCATCATGGAATGTCCGAGTTGGCCGCTTCCAGACCCACATCTTCTTTGCCGCCTCTTCCTTCGCTGCCAGCGACGGAACCACCTCTATCTGTTGCGGTGGGGGTGACGAGGGAAAGGCAGGTGGATATCACACATCCCCTCCCACCACCACCACCCCTCAAACTGAGGCCACCACTCTCGACGTCGCCGGACACTCCGATGGTCACACTGCCGGTGTCCCCTCCATCGGCCACTGTCCCAACCCTGACGCCGACCGGCATCTCTCCTGTGTCAACAAAGACGACGAACATTGTGACGCAGCACGCTCCGCTATCACCGCCGCCGAGGATCCCACTTCCACCTACACCCATGCAGGGAAATATGCATAGGTTGAGAGTGCTGGAACACACCAAGATGCCAGGAGCCCTTGGGACAGCGGAGGATGGTAAGAAACATGGGATGGAAGGCATTGATACCGGAGGAGTGGTGTTGGAGGTATGTGCAGACGAACAAGAAAAGCAAGAGGATAGCAGCTCCGCAAGGGCAGACAGCAGCACGATTGTCTGGATGTAGCTCGATTGGCCAAATTTGAACATGGCCATGACTGAATGTGGCGGCAAAATGGGGGATCCTCTTGAGGTATTGGAGAAGTGAGGTTATGCAGGTTATGCAGGTTATGCATTGGGTTATGCACTCCTTTCAACTCACCCTTGAAGACGTGATTATGCATGCACAACATTATGACATTAGGTTGTGGGCTTCCTATCGGCAGGACAAGGCTCAAGGTTTAGCCGCAGGGAAACAACATGCTTTCAACATGACTCAGATACAGAACCCAAAATACACACTGCTGAAGAAACTGATCGACTGCGGGATTTCAACGTCTACCAACACCGACCGACGACCGTGCAGCCATCACCGGAATGTTGGAAGCCTCGGTGCCACGGATGCAGTCTCGTACCGTTGATGCCTCTGGCTGACCTTTTTCCAGATAATATCCCTGGCGCGGTCCAGATTTCAAAGAGTTACCATGGTGCGCACCCTGAGCCAGAGGCGCTCCATGACGTTGGAGACCCCCGGAAGGCTGTTCCGAGTGACCCTCCGCCAAATACGAGACGCTCGTAACTGTCCCATTAATCTGCAGAGTTCCCCTACCCCCGACGGTCGCGTTGAACTGAACATTGACTCGTGGGTTCTCTTCTCCAGTTCTCGTTGTCGAAGACTGTTCCTGGGGGACCATCTCCCTGATGAAAGAACACAGCTGCTTGAACCCAGGTTCGTTATCCGAGCCAAACTGGCACATGGTGACATGATCACGGTGGACCGGCTTGGGCTCCGCGCCAGGTATCGCCATGTCGGCCACCGTCTGGTCGACGATCAAATCCTTGGCGCCCGGCAGCGGGAGCTGTTCGCAGAAGTTGACGATTTTCCATCTCAGGGAGGTGCGGCCTTTTGCGTCGACTCCTCTGGTCCCGTCGGCGAGAACGTGGCGGAAGTCGTCCATTAGGTTGACGAGCTGCTCGGAATCCTTTTGTAGGGCCTTGACGAGCTTCGAGTGGGAGAGCCCGATTCTCCGGAAGAAGCCTCCGCTGCGGGGTGAATCGAGAGCTGAGTATGCTTTGGCGAGGTGAGACCAGTTGTCTTTGGAGTTCGCCAGGTGTGGTGTCCCTAGGAAGCTCTGTTAAGCCGTCAGTGACTGTTTATGAGGATAGACCATCAGACGAAGGGGTGGCTTACGATACCGGCTGTTGCGTCGGCAAGGTGTTGGTATCTGCGCTCGTACTGGGCGATCAAGAGAGCTTGTTTGACAATAAGGCCTCCCAGACAGTGGGCAACGAACACGATGGGGCGACGGGCATCGATACCCTTGCGGTCGAGGTCGAGTAAATCGAGAAGAGTCCTGGCCAGGTCACGGATGCCGGCTACTGAATCGTTATGAAAGACGTCTCCGTTGTATCCAAAGGTGAAGGTTCTTGCTCTTTCCAGTCTCGGTTGTCGATGGAGTAAGTCTTGCGGCCAGATGATCCTCTCTGGCAAAATGCCGTCCTTCGTCCTCGGATTCACAGGGCCATGGCGGTCGCAAAGGACGAGGCTCGTTCCGGGGTCTGTATGAGATTCGACGTTGGATGTTTGGGCATGTCCTGGTGCTGGTTTCGACTGTGATTTCTGCTTGGATGTGTTGTCGCATTCCCACGTCTTGATCGGATCGCCATTGACACCGTGGACTACTACGATACTGTAAGGGTTAACTACTTGTCGACGTCACAGCGGGAAACACACAGTTGAAAAGGCTCACTCGATATTGGGCGTAACCGGATTCCCGGGCTCTGGGTACAGCTGTTGGAGGAACACTCGATCTGACATTGTCGCCTGGCATTCGGACCAAGTTGTGTCTGTGTGGAGGGTGTGTCGAGGAGGCAGATAGTCAGTGTAATGTGGAGATTTTGAGCTGAAAGAATGTTAGATTACAGTTGCAGCTGGGCAGTTTCCTGTCTTCGACGTGGTCGCATGATACTCCTGAACATGTCGACTTGGCAAAACACAACCCAATGTGTGGGTCGTTGGCCAGCAGTTCGTAGGGCAGCTGCTCAGTTGCGGAACAAACAGATCAGTCACAGCCCTCCACGACCGTGTCGGCCCAAAGCCATGTTGAGCAATCCTTGAATAGCATTAAAGGCTCTCACATGGAGGCCGAGTCGTCCGTTTCCCTGAAAACCACACTTCTTCCAGGCAACATCACCAGTTTGACAGACACGATGGACGAGAGGGAACTGAAACAAGATCGTGATAACGCTGACAAGGGTCTTCCAGGACTTTATGTCGTGTCCGAACCATCCACCAATGACGTGAAGAATGACGAGGAGATTCTCGAGTACGTCCGACACCCCATTCACCACACTTGAACCTTCCCGGCTGTCGACGACCTGCTTCGCTAACAAGCCATCCACTTTCCAGCATAGTTTTTGTTCATGGCCTGAATGGCCACTGCGTCAAGACTTGGAGCTTGGAGAACAGCAGCAAGCTGAAGCGGCTGTTGGGTCAGGACAAAAGCGTGTTCTGGCCCTCGGACCTACTCCCGAAAAAGACAAAGCACGCACGCATCATGACATGGCAGTACGAGAGCAAAGTATGGCGCAACCGAGCAAAAGCATCAGTGACAGACACAGCAAAGCAGCTCCTCGGGGACCTACAAACAAAGCGGGAACTCTTGAGCTCCAGCGGGCCCATCGTCTTTGTCGCACACAGTTTGGGGGGAATTATTGTGAAACAGGCAAGAATCGCTTAGCTCGATGATCCGACCTTGGGCGAACCTTCACTGACAGCCAGTTGTCAACATTGTTCCAGGCCCTTTTCGAAGCCAATAAGATCCGGGTTGAGACATTCCGCGACATTGCCAATTCGACAACTGGAATAGTGAGTACCTACCCAGGGCGGACAGCTCGAGCTTTCACTAACGGACCCATAACAACAACAGGTGTTCTTTGGAACGCCTCACCGCGGCTCAGACGTAGCCAAGACTTTTGCTCCGCTGCACAAGATCACCTCCGTTGGCTGGGCCAGGTCGTTTCTCTCGGATCTCGAGACGCACTCTGATGAACTCCGCCGCATATCAGACGAGTTCCGGGCTGTTGCCCAGATGTACGTCATTGCGACGTTTTACGAGAGAAAGATATATCCTGGGCTTCAAAATCTGGTGCGTTTTTGTTTCCAACATACCCCCAACACAAACGATCGGCCGCTGACACACGGGGACAATAGATTGTTGACAAGCCTTCTGCCGTGATGGGCATCCCGCATGAAGATATTATGCCGCTTGACGGTGATCACGGCAGCATGTGCCGGTTTTCTCAGAATGACCCCCGCTTCGATAAGGTGTGGATGACCATCAGGAAGGCCGCAACGCCTTTGGCGGTTAGGGGACTGTCGCCTACTGCGGCCCAGTCAGTCTAGATGGAGATGAAGATGCATGATGCATCTGGCATTATTCCACGATTGGTACTACCCATAGGGGGTTGATAGGCTAGATCGTGAACAGGAGATGCACCGAGGGAGGTGGGGAGACATATGTTAGGATATGCAGGGTAGGTGGTTGGTGCCCGGTGTGGGTCGTGTTCCCGTCATTGGGGTGCAGGTGGGTAAGGGGCTTTCCAGTCACGGCCCGAAGCTACCCCGTTGACGGGCCGTCTGTTGTTGGGTAGTGATTGCGAGAGCCCAGGACGAATGGAGAAATGGGCAGTGGGTGCCCAACTTGGGATGCAAAATCCCGAAAGAAGTCTGTACCTTGAGGTACTCTTGGGTTTGTTCTGCTCACACCCCTTCGACGTCAAGTGCGGCACGGCTTCATGCGACCGGGTTGTAGCCAAGTTCTTAGCTTTTCAACGATTGGTGATGGACAGTATGTGGTTGATGTATCGATTGGGTGGCTGGAAGGATGTCACACTGCCCGCCTGGAGGGAAGACGCGATCAGACCTTCTCATGTGCGTAGGGACCTGTGGAAGCCAATGCTACAAACTGATTAGTTTTCACGGACATCAACAACTCCGGTATTCAAATACGTGGCATACTTAAACTGTGGATTGATACCTGGCTTGATCTCGTTGACGCAGAGCTGCTGTTGAGCATCACATCGACTCACCACATCTTCCCCCTTACGAGCCATTCAGTCGTTTTCTTGATTCCCACAGGTCAGTTGTTGAGAGACTGACTTCTACGAATGACGTGGTGGCCCCAGCGTCTGACAATGTGACACCAGCCACGCAATCCGCCTCTCTATCGTTCACAATGCCTCCCAAGCAAGCCAAGGAAGTCCCGTACCCGGAGAAGCAAAGTTACAGGGCCAAGGGACTCAAACTCGACACTGCGGCATATGCCGACACCCTCACCAATGCCTACAAGACAACAAGGGACATTGCCTCGCAGATCCGAGAGCAAATCGAACCATTCATCAGGAAGGCGAGGGCAAGAGTCAATTATCTGATCGAGATTATTCAACAGCTTCGGAAAGAGATTAGGATTGCCAGGGACACTTTGATCATTACCAACAGGGATGAGTTGTATCCCTCTATTATGGCAATGGAGGAGGTGGGCGATCCATTATTCTGGAGGCTAGATGAAGAGTACAAGGAGGCGCCGTGAGTTTGAGATGGTTGATAGCAAGACAAATCTGTACAATACATACCTGATCAGGAACTTCCTTGTAGTGAGAAACTTGCCTCGTGAAGCCCACATCATGCTTCGTAATACCATCCACGTCTCTCTCACTGTGTGTCCTATACCCAATCGCTGTTGAGACCCTAGCGTTCTGGTGCTGTCAGAGTGTAAAGTCCCCATGTGAAGATCTTTCTATTGTCCTTTGTAGGTAGGTAGGTATTTGGCAATTGAATTTCAGATCGTTCCTATGTCGAGCAATCAGCAATCATTTACATGGCTGAGTTTATCATCATCGTCAAGGTAGTTGCAGAGCTGGTTGTTCAGGGGCAGACCCAATGTTGAAACTTCTGAGTGCTGTGAGCGCCTATGGATGGTCACGGAATGGCACCAGCCTAGGTATCTTGATATCACCTCGCATAATTGCGTATTCATGCAACATGTCTTGATACTTCACAAGATACCTATAATTATTTACAGGCGGGAACGTCGTCAACGAAGGAACCAGTAAACTTCCATTGGATATCTGTCATACTACTCTTTAGCTGTTGACGGCAGTTCCTCCCCCGGCCCCGACATTCCCGCCTCCACCACCCCCACCCCCTGAGGCACCAGTTCCAGTCTGCCTGCCACTCTGCCTCTCTTCCACCTTGGCAAGGTGGTCCATCAGCAACTCGGCAACGGTAGCATGACCGCCCTTGACGGCCGCATCCATGGCGGAGTCGCCGTCATGGGTCCTGGGGCTGGGGTCTGCGCCCGCGTCCAAGAGGATCTCGACAATGCGGGCATGACCACTTGTGGCAGCCCCGTACAATGGCATAAGATACCCCTTGCTCTCCTGGTTGTGTTTGGCCCCAGATTTCAACAAACTCTTGACCACTCTTGTATGCCCATTAGTCGAAGCCAGATACAGCGCCGTCATCCCGTCACCGTCCTGCAGGTTGATCTCCTCTTTGACACCCTTTTTACCGAGAAGGGACTTGACGACATGAACGTAGCCGACACCAGCGGCATGGCAGAGTGGGTTCCAATTGACATGAAACTCCTTGGTGGCAGTCACGGCGTCTTCTTCTACCAACAATTCGGATGCGAGTTCGTTGTCGTTGCTCAGCGCCGCTCGGAGGGGAGTCCAGTCCTTGGTGTTCTTCAGGTTGACGTCGATGCCCTTCTGAGCAAGGAGTACCTCGATCACATCAGCATGGCCGACAAAGGCGGCGGAGAACAAGGGGCCGGCCCCGTCCTTGTCCTTGCCGTTAAGGATCTTGTCTTTGAACACGTCGGGAAACGACTTTTCGTGCCTCTTGAGAAGGAGCTCAACCAACGGTGCGAAACCGCCGGATGAGGCGGCGCGCAGTGACGCTGCTGCTCGGTCCACGGCCTCGTCGGATGTATTTGGACTGCCAGCCATCTACAGAATGTCGGACTCTTGAGTTGAGGCGGATTGGTTGAAGTCCACGAAGAAATGGTAGATCGGTACTCACCTTTCGCCCGGTTGTCAGGAACACCAGTACTGTTTCGATGAGGATTGACTTGAAGATTGCGAGTCAACCGAGGGCTGAGGTGTCGTCTCTGTTGATGTTAACTTTCGAAAGTTGAATGGAGTTGGAAAGTCGACACGGGAGCCTAAATCGTGCCGGGGAGTGACAAGCTCTGAAACAATATGTTCTACCGTGGGGAGAATATGGCGACAGGACTCGTTTGGCATTCTCCGCGAAGCGGAGGCGGATATCCCTTGACATATAGCCTATACACAAGGTAGGTAAGCTTGCGAGATTGTGCTAAGGTCCTTTCATGGAAGCCAAGTCCAAATTAGGTCATGGTCTCCATTCGTTGCCCAGCTTGTTGGGCCCCCATGGCACAGTCGCACATGATTTAGAGTGATTTCTCAGTCATTCCCAGGAAGCTTCCCCTCTTGGAAACACCTTAGAACCGGAAAGAACTCCGATGAAAACCCAACACTGTATCATCAGCCCTTTGCCAATCATTGCTAGGCATCCACCCTCAGGTATTCCGCGTGCCTAGCATCTCGCATTCAGACCTGATCCTACCAGGATCTCTGGTCATCGCCTTTACGTTACTTTATCGAAGAGTTGTTTTCTCCCACGGGGCCCAAACACGGCACCTCAAGTGAGCAAGTCACTCAAAGTATCGCGCTACATCGGACAGGCAAGAGTAGCACACCCTCAATGCGTTGGGCGTAGGCGGCGCGGATATCGGAAAGGCGGTTTGCTTTCTCCGTGGAAGGCCCCAATTAGCAATCCGCAGCGTCGTGACTGTTTGGAATAGGTATCGAGACCAGTCTTGTTGATAGTTGAACTGGATGGGTAACATCTTTGGAGTTGAGTCCGGCTCCGCCATAACAACGTGCCTGGAGATCACCACTGGCGTGATTGGGCAAGATACACTCAAACCTCTCTTGCAGGATGCCAGGGTACTCTGCCTGCAAGACATCTCATTTGTTCGGTTCTTGGACCGTTGGGAAACACAACAGCAGGGTGTGAGCATACGCTGCATGCAGTATTGCTCCTCAACCTAGAGGAATAACGTCCTGCATACGTCCTGTCCCTCATATTTGAGGAACAACAACATGTTGCATGCATCATGTGGGAACCCCTTGATCCACGCCGTTCATGTATATGGGAACTTTCTACTAATTTCATTGGGCACTCATCTTTTATGGCTCCCGAGAAGTCAATGAGGTGTATAGAATATCTCCGTCTACCGTCGTATGAGAGGTAAAGCGTAAAGGCTTGGCTGGCATGTTTTTGGATGGGACGGGAGCCCTTGAAGTTGTTGAGATCCATTGCTGCTACAGCCCGCAACAGCTGGACACGGGAGGTATGCAGTCGGGACTTTTTCTCGGTGGTCTAGAAACCCAATCACTGTGGTCAAATGACTCTTTTCGATGTCTCCTTACTATGGCTATCACATAAACGCAATGAGATGCATCAGATGCTGTGACGTTGGGCATCGTTGGGTGCATGTTTGCATTGGCGCCAATCTTCTCACACGGACTTTGCCCTTCCCCTCCCTTTCGGGTTTCTTATCTTTTCCGTCAACTCTGCAATTTCCATTTCAAGCGCGCGTTCCATTGCTGTTTTGGCCCTTGAGAGTGGATTCCAATCCTTTTGCCCTGGAACACTGTCCCGCAGCTTGACCTGCAACTTCCATTTGTCCTCCTCGATGTCCCTTGCGTAATAGGACAACTCCCAGTTCTTGGATCTCTCGGCTCTCAGTGCGGCCTCGAGATTAGAAATGACCTCTCGGGCGTTTGCGTCAAGCACACGTCGGACTTGTGAGTGGTAGAGAGAGGATTCGGCGAGGCCCTCGCGCAGCATTTGTCGCATGCTCTGAATGTCTTCGATCAAGTCGCGTTTTTCCCAGTCGTGTTCCCAGACTAGGGAGCCAAAGTAGATGTTTGCTTCTTCGAGTCGATCCAAAAGCTCCAATATGCGAGGGACTGCTGCATCCCAGTTGCTGTGGTTGTAGTGGCTGTTGTCGGTCGCCATGATGTCTTCGTTCCATTGAGGGCCTGGTGTGACTGTTGGCCGTTCCATGGTCAATCGATGATTAGGTGCGTATGTTCGTCGTTGAGGTCACTGTTGGGTTGCATGTATTGAGTGGTTGGGTACCTACCAAATACCTTACCACTGGTTCTACAATTTCATTGGTCCGCCACATGGCCCCATACTCACTCATCAACAATCGGTCGAGATCGCATCCTGAAATGGAGAGGTGAGTTCGAAGCACTCAATCGCGATGAGCCGACCACATCGCACGACCAAGACAACGTGACACGGCAAAATGGCAGAAGCAATGGACTCGGTGCAAAGATTCTGGCACCTTCCCCATAGGATCACAGGTGGCTTCAGGCGAGATGACGAAAAATACCACTCGGATCTTATTCTGTTGCACCCAGACCCCAAAGCAGTGAAAGAAGAAGAGGAAGTCTTACCACCACAAGCAGAGTGTGTCTGACCAGCAAAATTGGCCACCAGAAGCGGACATATAGCTGATGAAAGCGTAAAGACTCATATTCGTGGCCGGTCTTGGTGGTCATTACCTGGAGACATGGAAACACAAAGATGAATATGGCAAAGTAACAATATGGCCTCGCGATCTTCTTGGCTTAAAGCATTGCGGTGTTGAGAACGTACGAGTCTGGTCTTTCCACTATAACACCACCCTACGAGGCGCCTCAGATGCCACCAAGGTCACTGACCATGCCCACGAGCTTCTCGACCTGCTCATGATGAAGCTCACCGGGGACTTGTTTCCTGTACCAGGGCCGGACGGTCGATGGGAATTCCAACTGAACCCCATCATATTTGTGGGACACAGTCTTGGAGGCATGTTGATCAAACGGGCCATGCTTTTGGCGAATACCAGACCCAATTATCATGTTCTGTGGCATGCAACTCGAGGAGCAGTAGGCATTCCATACTTGTGTGATTATAGGCAGGCACTAACGTTTGGAGAAAGATGTTCTTTGCAGTTCCGCATCACGGTCTTGACAGGCAGGATTGGAAAAAGTATCTGAAATTGGTCTTGAACATCAATTCTCCGCTCCGTGGCTTGACGCCATCATCGAGAATGGAGGCGCAGGCAATACAGAATAGCGGCGTCCTCGCCGACATTACTGACGAGTTCAGGAGGCTCCAAGAGTACCTGTTCTTTGTCAACTACGTCGAGGGCAAGGTGATGCCAGATTTGGATGCACCGGTGAGTACCTACCTAGTCATCTATGCTTCGGCTGCTAGTTTACGTCAACTGGTATCAACAGTTGCTAATAAGTGTAACCCATAACAACAGCTGGTCGATGAAGGGCGCGGGTGGATGGACGCCCCCCGGAAACTGCAGATCAAGCTCGAAGGCCACCACCTGGACCTTTGCAGATTCGCTGAGCCGAATCCAAATGTGCAAAAGAAAGGGGGCTTCCAGCTCGTGGTGTCGCACTTGAAGCACCTGATGGGCGTGACCAAAGCACTGGAACACATTGGTGATGATGCAAGGAGGGCTCTCGAATCACTCTGCCCAACGGGCTTTCATGGCTATTTCATGGCAAAACAAGCTACCACGGGGACCTGCGGATGGATCTCGGAACGAAAAGAATTCCAAGACTGGGTTGAAGATGACAAAGAGAGCCGAATGCTTTGGATTCAGGGTCCACCAGCGTCAGGAAAGAGCTTTCTCGCCCGCCACATCATCACAGATCTGATCCCTTCATCGACAACACAGAAGGTCGCCCATTGCTTCCTCGACGAGTCGGTCGCTGGACGCAGGACTTTGGTTGATCTGCTGCGCGCGACTCTCCACCACGCCCTCCGCATCGAACCAGAGCTGATTCAACATTATCTGGTCCCGCCGTACCTGGAGGCGCAACGACACAGCAAGACGTCCAATAACCCCCTCTCAGACGACAGCATTTGGACCCTGGAAGTTCTGGTTCCACTGTGGCCGGAGGTGGTGTCCAAGGTAACCGCCCGCGACATTCTTACTGTCGTAGTCGACGGTTTTGATGAAATGTCACGCGATTGCCAGGACGGTTTCTTCAGTTGCATTGATGATTTCACGGCTAAGGCCGAGTCACAGGAACAACGAGAGCGTCTCAAAGTCCTTTTGATTTCACGTGAGGACGGTAAACTCAAGGAACGGAAAGACTTTCAACACTATTTCATAACCACGGAAGACATCCGAGAGGATGTTCAGAAGACGGTGATGGCGGCTCTGACAAACATCGACAACTGGGACGGTCCTGAAATGGACATGGTTCAACGACGTCTCAATTCGCTAGATACAGCTCAGGTGAAAAAGATATGTGATATCGTTGTGGAGAGCTCAAACGGTGATCATCATTTGGCAAATCTAAAAGCCCAGGAGTTGTTCGGTTCTTTGGTTATTGAGCCCATCAGCACGACAGCAGCCCTAGCGAAAGAGCTACCCAACGACACTGCCAGCATGTACGACCGGGTCTTGAGGCGGGCACAGCGAAATACGACCTACCAACCTTTTCTCAAACACATTCTGCGATGGGCGGCGTTTCAGATTGAACCTCTCAAGGAGGCCGAGGTAAACACGGCAGTAGCTCTCAGCATGGCGCAAGATCAAGTGTCCCAGCGGCGAGTGACCACATTAGAATTGGAGAGTTTGCGAAACCTAGTAGGCAGTACAAGGGCCATGGTCCAGCAACATGGACGACGGCTTGTCGAGGTGAAGGAAGGTGTTCTCCAGCCCGTCAATCAGACACTGAAGAGTTGTCTCACGAAACCTAGGAATGATCAGTCCCTTCATCTAGAGGAAATGTCTTCTCATGCCGCGCTCGCCAAGATTTGCATCGAGTACCTCACGATGCCATACTTTGCAGACTCTCGGCAGCCCACAGCAAGCTCTCTTGAGGACAAGGTCAAGAAGAGGATCGAAGAGCACCCCTTTAGTTGTTATGCTGCTCCCCACTGGGATGATCACGTTGCAGCAGCTGGGTCTGTATGGGGTGAAGCTGACAGTCATATCGTTCAAGTTCAACAGCTTCTTCGGGACGAGACAACCCACTATGGGATATCCTGCGCAGAAGTCCGTTGGTATTTGAAGAGAAGAACCATGGACGAATTTCCTCTTTCTTACCGGGGCGCCTTGGACGAGGCTCCAACGGCGGCCTCCACGCCACTGTCAGTCGTGGATTCACCCCCCCTCACGGAGTCACCAGACACGGTCTTCGAAAGTTCTGGAGACGTTGCAGCCACCGGAATTACGATTAGGTCGCTGAACCGGGAGCACGAGGTCAAGCAAGACGACCCTACCCCGGCTGGACGTATCAACCATGCTGGGCCTGCCGTCCGTGATCAGGATGCCGTATCAGGGGTCGGTCATCCGCGGGGGCCCCTTGACGTTGACACGAATTTCCAGAACTTGGTTGCTTTGTCCCACGGACCAATTCAAAGTCTAAATCAACTTGAAAGAAAGGGGGCCGGCGAGGCAGCAAAAAGTCCCATTGCAGTTCAACGCCATCCAGAGCGAACCGCTGCACTTGAAAGGCACGATCAGCCACCTGAACGATCGGCTCTATCAGGAACAACGCTGCCTCTGCGTTATGTGGAACGACGTAAGACTCGTAGTCTGCGAGATGTTGACCCCCTCGAACTGCTGCAACCAAAGGAGGCCACAGGCATTGTGGATTCCCTGAGAAAAGCCGACAAAGATCCCGTCAGCGTGGGGGAGCAGTCCATGCTAAATGCAAGTGTGAATCCTCCAGTTCCTCAGCCGACAACTGCCGCCCAGTTCAGCAATCACAGGCCTAGTCAAAATGCGCCCACACGGCCCACCGACCGCGGTGTTTCTAACATCGCAGGGCAAAGCCAAACCAGAAGGGACCGCGAACACAGGAGCTTCTACGACAGACTTCAACAAGATCCAAATCTGATGGACGTCGTACCACCACCACCTGACCTAGATCTGGAACGGAGAACAATGAATGCCATGCTAAACACTAATACACCATCCCAACAACCTGCTCCACCGACGGTCAGCCTTCTTCCTAACATTGTACCTGTATCACCGCAGCAATCTCCCAAAAGACAAAGCGTTGATCCCGCACCACTTGAGCCTCGCTCAAACGCTTCTAGAAGATCGGAGGAAACGACTTCAAACCCCGCACACGCCAGCACAAAGAAACCAACAGAAGCACGCAAATCCGAAGAACCTGTCAGCCATCGTGCTGCTGCTGTCAGACCGCCATCAACTAATAGACTTCCACCAGCGGCAGTCCCTACTTACCCCAATCTGTCCCCAACTACCTATACAGCAGATAACAGAGATACACGTTTCAGGAATGAACCACAACCCCAACCCGGTCTCGACTCCGCACAATTTCCCTACCTGCATGATGATGACCAGTCTCAAGATGGGTCAGAACGCAGCGAGTCAGTGGCTGGGGGTGATACACCGGCACAAAAGGCAAAGCGAGGCCTGCTTAGAAGAGCGCTGCACAAGACAGCCAAGAGAGTGGATGAGGCGAGCAAGAGAATTGGTATGACCTCCGCATTTGTTTTCATGGCTGGAGGATGTGATGCTGATATTCTTGAGGGGTTGTAGCGAAGGGTTTGAAGGTGAAGTGAAGGAGATGGCTGTTAGCTGGTGGCTGACTGGCTGGGTAGGTAAGGTACTCTGAGCAACATCAGATGGAGGAATGGGGCTTCAAATTTGTATTTATCGTGCTTTCTTGTGATGAACGTGGGCTCAACATCGAAGGCAATTCAAATTTTAACAACATCATAAATCACGTCATAAGTAGTTTTTCAACCCCAACGTCGTCTGCCTTCCCAACCAGCCCGGTCATCGACCCTGTCTTTTCTTAACTGAATAGTTTGGAAGAATTGCTGGCTTTCTCAATGATAAGGAAACCTCGCCATTGTGGTCCGTGTGTGTTTACCTACAAAGCCTCACCATACCGCCCATCAATACCTCCCAAACCTCCATATCCCATTCTCCCTCGCCTCAAAGACCCGGGTAGGGCTTCAACCCCCCTTTCTCTATCCAACAGATAAAACCTCGTCATTGTTCCCTTTGCAATAACAGCAAACACGTTTCTCTCATGCGCCGCATACCCACAACCTTTGACAAAACTAACTACCTGTCCCTCCTGTCTCTCCCATCTTCCACTGACATAATCATCCACAATCAAAACAACACATAACTCAAGACAATCACGAAGCCCACTGAGTCGCTGAAAGACGTCAACGAGCGGGTGGTTGTCAGCCGTGTAGACCCTCCAGGCGTGACCATCGCGCAAGTTGAAGTAGGTCGCCCACATGACGCAGCTCCAGGGCTTGTGGGCATTATCAGGATTGGGGGGATGGTGGCTTTGGGTTAGGGCGTCGTAGAATCGGCGGAAGGCGCTGAATTGGGTTTATGGTCGCTGAGGGGGCGCTGGAGAGGAGTTTTTACTTGTTGTGCTTGAATGTACGGGTTTGCCCAAGAGGCTGACTTACGGCGGTGTCATCGGTAGTGGTGGGCATGGTGACGGTGTAGGGAGCAGCTGGCGGTTAAATCAGGCAGCAACTGCTAGGCTGTTGTTATCATAAGAACTTGATAGATATCATGGGTATCTAGGGTAGGTATGTATTGATCCAGTAGGTAATCGCAATCATGAATGTCAGTCATCGGGCTGAAGTGACACCGAGTATAGGGATCTGTGTGAAGCGGGATCAATGGGTACTTTGCAAACTTTCCGGTAATGTTCTCAAGCAGGAATGGTCTGCACAGACACGGTGGGGGTGGACACATAAATGGGTCGTGCTCAGAATTATGTTGCATTATGCATGCAGTGTTCCTATGAACTAAACCCTATCCAACGCAAGACCGCATGACACCATTTGTGCAAATCTGGCCCTTTCACTCTTCTAGAGAAGCCTTCTGACAGTCGTACCCCGCCAGGCAGGCCTCACAAAATTGACGTTTATGCGGCTCACCGCGCTTCCCACCGAATACAGGTTTCTCCACATGAATGCCAGCCCATTTCTTCAGCCGGTACACCACCCGTTCCACGTACGAATCCTCGTCAAGCCGCAAGACCCCCAGTTTATCGCACACCTTGCAGCGCTGTTTGAACACCAAGGCGTTATAGCCGTTCCCGGAGAACTGCCGGATTAGGATCCCGACCTTCTTACTGCTCCAGCCGGACTTGGAGCAATTCTGATTCTGGCATTTGAAGTGACCCATGACGTGTGTAAAGTATTCTTGCGTGACTTTGCCGTCGTCTTCGCTGTGATCATTGAACCACGGCTTGGGAATGATCGATACGGTGCCGAGGGCCTTCTCGATATCTGCGTGGAGAGATGGGAATTTGACTGTTGTATCATCCGCCTTGTGAGTTGACCATCTTGTCGATGTCGATCCAAATAATGGGGCGCTGGACTCAAATTTGGCGTGACGGAACCGTTTGGACAGTGGCTGGTTGGCAAGCATCGCCATGGCCCTCCTCCATTGCGCGCCAAACATCCTGTAGCATGGGGTTGAAAACGGATCGAAGAGTCGATAGGAGACCTTTTCGTCACCTTCCATGTGGATTTGGTGCTGTCATTAGATGGGATGAGAAAGAGGCCTATTATAATACTCGCTGCAGCTACCTACGGAATCCGTTTGCTTTCGGGGATAGGCACGTGGCAGGGCGGACTTGATCCCCTATTAGCCATACTCGGAATTTTGCAGCGTTTGGTCAATAAATACTGCAGTTACACAAGGCAAAGAGCAACACCTTGATCCGTTTGCCTTCGCGCAAACAAGATAGGTGAAGCCCCCGGCTCACCACTCGGTAGGATGCATCCCTTTTGCAGATATTGGAACTTGGGGGCTCTCTGTGAAAGGTCGAATGTGATGGAGGCTGGGTACCGGGATAACATCTCTCAGTTGTCAACACCAGCATCGTGCTAGTTCAGCAAACGGCCATAGCTTCTTCAGCGAGATCCTCCTCGCAAAAATCCAAGCGAAAGCGATTCTTTATTTACAAATGCGTTTGGTGTTTTTGGTTGCATATGTTCGGATTTATATTTCAATATAGGTGCTCATATATGTTGACACCGACGTACCTAACGAGTTCATGGAGCCAGTTTAAATTCCCTCAGGCCCCTTGGCGACGATCATCCGACTACCACCCGCTGCTATCGTCTCGCTCCAGCCACACCTCTAATCCCAGTCCGGGCTGCTCGGAGGCGTTCGGCAGCTACAAACCTGCTCCTCCTTCTCCTCTGACACGACCAGAGACTCTTCTTTCGTCTCGGACACCTCAGTATACCGTCGCACCCACTCCTCCAACCATCCCACAAGCTCCTTTCTCGCTTGCTCCGATAGGGTGTCCTCTCGCTTTCTCACCATACGCCGATATCTTTTCCACGCCCACTTCTTTTCCTGATACTCTTTATCCTGGCACTGGGGCGACCTCGCTCTTTCATCAAAACTTGTAAAAATTGCATCGGTGAGCCGCTCGTCAAGCCACTTCTCCTCTTTGCTGACTGGACCTGTGCGTGTCTCCAGACACCGGTTGGTTTCGCGGGGTTTGGAGCGTACGCCGGATGGGACCAGACAAAACCGCCATTGTTTTCTGGAGCGGGGGCTGGGGGTGTATGGCTCCGAGGTCATGATGCATGTGGATTGGGTTTCAGCGAACGAGACACGGCGGGGCTCTGTCGATATTTTGGAGTCGGTAGGGGAGGATTTGATCTTGAGGCATGATTTGGTTGGTTGTGAGGGGCGGTGCGGTGCTAGGCGAAGAAACTCGATCTGGTCTGGATGTCGGGAGCCATTGTCGGTGTATGACCCGTTGTTCGCGAGTATTGATGTTACAGAGCGTACTGGGAACGATCTTTGGACCCACGCAAGGACGGGCTCTTTTTTGGTGGGCGGGTTATTTGCAGTTTCGGCTGTAGGAGATGCGGCAGTGGATGGTGAAGCCCAGATGTCACCGTTGAGCTTTACCAACACCCACTTTGTCTTTCGACGCCCCATGTTGATATCTGCTGCAAGTAGTACAAACCCGCATTGCACCATCTTCAGCTGGTCACAAAGGAATTGACACCCTGCAGTAAGACCGATCGGACGTAGTAATTTGTCGAAATGGAGGTATACTCTGTAGATGCGAGATAGCGGAACGGTCTTCGGAGGGACGTCGCGGTTGCTCGTCGAAGTTGGTGATTCTTCTTTGACCCGCGAAAGCTGCCTGCAGAAATAAATCGTCGCTCGAAGAGAGTCCATTGGAAAAGCCTTTGTTGACGATAAGGTTGGGAGCAATGTTGTGGGAAAGTGACACATGTTGCAGGGTTTTGCACATCGGTGCTGGTGGCGGAAGCCAAAGGCGTTGGCCTTGGTGGCCACTTCACATCCACCCACGCCATCGGCGAACCTTGATGTCCGCAATGCAATTTGCGAGCCTGGTTGATTGAAGACTGGACAAGGGCTTATAAAACAGTCTTCTGTACCTATCTATATATTCAGTAGGTACTCAGTGAGTGTCGCCAGTGAATTGCCCTCCCACGACCTAAGCCATGTCGGCAACGATTTTATCCTCAACACCTCGATCGTCAAAGCATTGACGTCAAGATCCTGTTGATTGATGACATCACACCCATCATCCTCCTTCACCATCTCCAACGTCATCTTCAACGGCTTCTCCATCGCTCCCAATCCTCCCTCCAGTATCTCCCGCTCTTCCAGATACCTCCGCCACATCTCCAACTTCCTCTCCTCACGATCTGTTTTGTACTTCTGACGGCAGGCACGTCTACTCTCCCGGAAAGACCAACTCAAGATGTCAGGATGGTAAATCACCGCGTCTATCTTGTTTCCTTGAGCCAAGCGTGGCCTTCTATCCACCTGTATCTCGTCTTCGTCCCTACTCTGGGCAATTATTGGTGTGATGATGTTGGTGGCGTTGTCAGAGAACTGAACGCGCCGTTGAACTCGTTGGGTTTTTTTTTTTTGGTGGAGCGGGGCATTCGATGAAAGTATCGTCTCAGCATTAATTTCGTGGGCCAAAGTCGTGCAATTTGGCAAGCTTGATGGCGAGTAGGGCTGCGCGTGGACTTTCAAGATGCCCCAAGGAGGCACATGCGATCGATGCGGTGGGGGACGAGGGTGAAAATATCCTTCCAGTGGCTGAATCCAGAAGGGCCTTTTTTGTTTCACTACCGTCGGTGGAGTTCATTTTGCTTGTTAGGTTGGAGACGGGTAACTGTTAGATGTCCGGTTCACTGGTGCGGCAAGCTAATGGCTTGAAAACGATAAAACCAGGGCAAAAGCCAGGCGGTTGTGGGGTGAGTGGTTGGTCGAGGAGATTGACGCCAGGCAGTGAAGCCGTACCAGGCTGCGGTGTTGACAAGGCTTCCAAGTGAATTGCCGAAAAAGCACCAGGAACTTGCCTTCAAGCTGCGCGCTGCAGGATTTTTCCACTTATCTCGCTTTAGTGGCCAGGTCATCGTGCTGAGAGGTTCTCTCCAGTGGAATAAGCTGCCATTATCTGGATCCCTGGCTGCTGGCCTGTATCAAACGATCGTTATGATATGTGCCAGCGCGGAGTCGAGATAGGGCCAAGGATGGTAAATCATTTCTCAGAGGAAAATATTGGAAGGATCACTTGAAAGCAGCGGGCCATATCCCTCCGCTGCAACAGTAAAATGTCATATGTACCTATACATCCATCATGGGGGCTATTCTGGCCCCTTGTCACAAGCGTTAACTTCGTCGTTTTGACAGTGTGCAAGGCCAAGGTTCGCTTCTCTTGCGTTGGGCACTGGCCCGCTTTTTTTTATTGGTTTCTTTTTCTTTTGCTTTTCTTTTTTTTAACATTAGTGATTATCATATCCATCATCGCTTTTGCTAAACATTGGTAATCGTATCCCCAACACGGGATTTGTACAGAGTAACAACAAAAAGAAGATCCGTAAAGGGTATCGGCCCCTTGAAACGAGCAGAACCACAAACAGGTACACGTAACGAAAACAGAGAAAGAGTAAAAACAAAGCAACAGGATCTATAAAATGTGTACGACAATCCCGGGCCAAACAAGGGGGGCCAACCCATAAAAACGAAACGCTATAGCCACCACGCTGTGATGCCCCTTTCCGCTGAACGATCCTGTGTGCCAAATAACACCTTATGCTGTGTCCAACCAGAGCCAAATAGGTATCTCGCTGCCTTCCTGAAGCCTTTCCTGAGCCCAGTGTTGAAATCCTCCTAAACAAACATCCTCCCAGCCAGTCCCGAACCTCCTGATATGATATATCCCCAAGGCATCCATGTAACCTGCAAACAAAACCCAAACAAAGCCAATGATCCTCCTTCAACTCCAATCACTACCATCCTCCAATCCTCTTAAAAGTATCCTCCCACCTAATCACGCTAACCCGGCGCATCACCTTCCGCAAGTCCCTGTCAAACTTGGCCGGCAAAGGCGGGGTCTTCACACAACTCCGGCGCTCGTATTCAAACTTCCAATCCCTCAACACAGCCAAGTACCTCTCCTCATACTCGCGCGTGTTCTCCTCAGCGAGGTTCAACCGACGCTGGAGCTCTTTGTCGTCGAGATGGGAATTACTGCATCACAGACGTGTTTAGCATGTCATGTTCATTGTGTTTGTGGGGGTAGGGTACTTACGGTGCCACAACGCCTCTAAAAGCCTGCTCACCCTGGCCGTCGGCCTTCCTCTTTTTGGCAGCAGCAGCCTCAACAGCCAACTCAGCCTGCTGCGCAGCCCTGTTTGCCTCAATCTCCCGTCGAAGTTTAGCCTTTCTTTCCGCACGAGTGGCAGCGTCTTCCTCTTCGTAGGTTTGGGGGTAGTGCGTGTCGTTGACAAAAATGCGCATGTTAGAGCCAAAGGTAGCCTTCTTCTTGGACGTCGTGCGGGCCTTCTTAATCTTGAGGTGGCTCTTGACGGGGGCGGCAACTCTGTGGAGGGGATTGCTCTTGGGGTGGTAAGACGCGTTGATGACATCTAGCTTGTCCCAACGGTCGGTGTTGGTCGTATGGTTGCGCCTGTGGCGGCGGCGGGCCGTGCTGGGTTCGGCAGAAGGGGCGGCGTCTGCGCCGATGACATTCTTCTTGTTATTTGTTCTGGGACAACCAGACGCGGTGGGGAGAATTTGACCGTGTATAGGCATGCGGTCAGCTGCTCGGGGACGGAGAGCGGACAGGCAGGTGTATCCATCGGGTTTGTGGCTCTCCTGAGCAGGCTTGGGAGTGTCCTCGATGGGTCTGGGACGACCAGGGATGACGGTCATGAGAGTGCCGGAGACGGGGACGCCGCCAACAGAAGGACCGGGTGTAGCGGGTTGAGCGGTATCCTGGGCGGGCTGGGGGTTGCCAGGCGTAATGCTCAGGTTCTGACCCGAGATGGTGATACCAGCGTTGGTTTGCTGCCAGACGGGTGTTAAGTCGACGATTTTGTAGTCGTCTGAAGAGACAACACCTGCAAGCCACTGACCGAATCGCTTGAGGAACGAATCTTCCTCGGGCGGATCACCCTGGCGGAGTTCGTCCATGGGCTCATCCTCCTGAACAAGGTTCTCGTTGTCGTGGCCAAGGCCCATCTCCACCTCGACGCTAGTAGCGCTCTGGCAATAGAAGTTGAAGCTACCATTCTTCATGTCGGTCATAAAGACGTTGCTAACGGGGCTTTTGTGGTGTAGAGAAACTCGAATGCCAAAGATAGATTGGCCGGTGCTGTTCAGTCTCCGCGACTCTCTGCAGTATCTCTCGAATGTCCCGGAAATGTGAAGGTTGCCCATCTGCTTTGTCAGATGGTTAACGACATCAAGGCTACGCCGAGGGGGCCGGCGGTGGCTGGTGATGACCCAACGAGTAGGACTGCCGATGTTGATTGTCTTGCGGCGCTCGATGGCGTCGGCAATCTGGGAGTCGCTCAAAGGGCTCCTCTGGCGCTTGTGATGGCTGTCATTCGAGGATGAGTCGTCATCCCGGCGGCGCTTCCCGAGAGGAGACGGAAGAGGAGCAACGGCAGAATACATGGCAGAGAAATCCGAAGTGGGCAAGCCCCTCTCAGCGCAGCGACAAATGGTGGTGAGGCCCGGAGTGCTGCTCAGGTTGAAAGGAGCGGCGAGAGTATCCTCCACAATGGCAGCAGGAAAATTGCCGGCCGAAGGCATGTTGGGGACGCGCGTGAATCTCCTGGTGGAAGGGAGAACGATCCGGCGGAGGTGAAATCCGCCACAGGCACCTATGGTAGGGAATGAGCGGTACATCATTGTGAGCGTGGTGAAGAGCCGCGATGTTCAACAGTCGAGGGGGTCAAGAGCCGACAGGGTCAAGAGCCGACAGGGTCAAGAGTCGATATGTCAAGTCGAGATGGTTAGAAGTCGAAATGGTCAAATGTGGACGTGAATGAAGCTGTCGCGACTGTTGTGCTGGATGGATTGCGACAGCGAAGACGCGATAGAGGAAAACGATTGAAGTGGTTGGATAGCAGTCCAAAGAAATGAAGAGACAAAACTTGAGGATTGCTGGCGGGTGAGGGTGAAAGAGCCAGAGAAGGACTGGCCGTGGGATGGCTGGCAGAGCGGTAAGTGGGAAAAGATGGTCGACGTCCGGGAGAGGACCCACAATTGCAGTCAACAATAGCAGAGGCAGTCCCATGAATAGGCTCGTTCCTATTCACTTGACACTGTGAGTCGCTCTGAGGGCCCATGCTTCGGTGGAAACTCAGCTCAGAGCAGACGAGCGCAGAGTAGGTGGTTGAGGGCAGAAAGCTGGCAGCGAGATGGCCGCCGATCAACGGTGATAGGATTCGCAGTCTTTGACCGCACACATGGGAACTTCACACCACAGGCGCCAGGAACTTGTTCAGGCGGCTGACTAGAATATTTCTGAGCCGCGCGCATTTCATTTAAAGTTTGGTGGTGGCTGAAATAGCTTTTTGCAACCACACTCCACCGCAACCAACCCGCGAGAACCACTTGTCGATGTTCTGGATCAAACAGCAAAACGGACAGCCCCACATAGCCTCAATCTCACCACCAAGGTGAATACCACCTGACAGAAAATCCCGGCACTGACTTCAGCCACGGAGCAGCCTGACCTTTGATGACATCACGTCCAACCAGTGGTTCATTGTCGTCTTGCACTGTACGCGTTCCAAGTCGCGACCAAAAGCCTCACGCGTTTCACGTCTCCGTCGGCTTAATAGTGTTGATATTTTTTGTTCTGGCAACAGGTCTGTCTCCCGTCCACCATCACTCCTCACCTTCAACCTAATGACAACTCCGAGATTTTCTCCTACTCATATGGGTTCAGTGAAAGATGATCAAAAGGATATTCGGTACCGCCCATCACCTATCTCCGTTAACACAATCGATTCCATCTTCCAAAAAAGCCCGATAATATTGCAGATGATGATCTTTCCCACAAGCACAATGAAACCCATCACCCAACAAAGCCAGTGAATAATCCTGTTGATGATCGGTCCCAAAAACAAGACACAAAAGACAACACGAAGCACAACACACAACACAGCCTTGATGTACTTGATCCCGCTATGCGTCTTTGCAGGGAGCCTCTTTGAGTAATATCGCCGTTTTTATGCCTCTTTCCAAGTATACTGCCGTCTATATCCCCAAGCATCATTGCTCCTTGCAACCGGGAAGCCCCGTGGTTTTTGAGCTCTGCGGTTCCATTCCGCCATGGAAAAAAGTGTAGACGAGCCGGAGCTGGACGAGTTGGAGCTGGACGAGTTGGAGCTGGACGAGTCGGAGCTGTATGATTGTTCAGGAAGTGGAAAACGTTGGCGTTCCAAGACCTGTCACTGAACTGGGAAGGGATATGCTGGGCGAACTGGGAGAAGGCCGGGGAATCGAAATGCGGTCCATGGAAACCGAAGCCCATCCGCTCATCAACGATAGTGGCAATGTAAAGCGTGGGCTTCTGGAAGTCTCTGGACATGGAAGCGATGAACTTTCCAGAGCCTTTAAAGGTGAATGTTGTAGACTTTCCGAACGTTCGGGTAGAACTGGGCGTCCTTGGTTCAATGTAGAAGGTGGTTCTGGATGGTATGGAGGACGTGGGTCTTTCAAAACATCTGGAATTGAGGAGAGTTTCGAGGTATGTGGCGAGTGCTCGGACTTTATCGTAATGTTGGGCCGTTCGTGTTCCATGTTGTCTGCACTCTGGGCGGGTTCAGGGAATGCCGGTGACAGTCCTCTACTGCCCGGAAGCATATCACTGGGGCTATGAGACCTCTTGAGCTCGGTGGTCTCGTACAAATCGATCAAGGTGTCGCTTGGGTTGTGGCTGAGACTTCGTTGTACCTTGTCAATACTCAGACACTTTTGAAGGGGCGGATATTCATACAACTCGGCCAGTGCTTCCTTCTCCTGTGCTAATTTCCGGGCATGATCCCTCCTCTGCTGTCTCAAGACGCATGGGCTGCTGAAGGGTTCGGGAGATTCGTCATAACCAGAATTGTGAACCATAGGGGTAGGCGGATGACATGTAGGGTTCTCTGACCATGGTGCTCGGTATTGTTGGCGTGTTGAGGTTCGCGGAAAACCTGGTTGCTCTCTGGAATTCAAGAGGTGGCGTCTTGTTCCATCACCCTCAAAGAGAAAGTCAGGATTAAAAGGCCTGTGTTGTCGTAAACGGAATTGCTTCCTCCAAGCCGGATCAAGTTCGTTTTTCCGTTTCCCAGTTTGTGTATTCTGATGTCCTGCCACCTTCATAGGGAAGTACCATGTTGGATGAGGACAGAAAAATTCCCAATATGTGGTTGGTGATTATGGTTACAACATGAAGCCACTAGGGTTCAGGGGGCAAGGGAATGAAATATCCTTGGCCCGCCAAACTGGAAAGAAGGCAACCCAGAACATCTGACATTTTTCTCTCGCACAAAGACGCATCTAACAATAAAGTGGAACAATCACGAGCATGTCGCAAAAGACTTTCAATCACTGCCCATGTGTGTCTCTCCGGTGAGTGGACAACAGCAATGAAATGATACTATGCCAGAAACCATTAGCCTATTTTTTTCGAATGCTGTTACCTAGCCCACCGTGCTTAGGTAAGGTATGTTGGGTAGCTATTTTCGTCTTCCTTTGACTCGCTAACAATGCTATTGAAGGGGCTTTTACGAACAAGGCAGATGGTTAGTTCCATTCCGCACAATCTGGTAGGGATCAGACTAGAAGCGGACTTACCTCGACTCAATCTCACAAGGCCTACTCCTGCTGTAAGTGCAAGCGAAAGTGCATTGTGGCACGTGTGTAAAAGACAGAATGTACTAAATATTTTGACGAGGTTTATTATTTACACATGTTGGAATTTTTTTTTTAAAAAAAAGAGTATCAAAATGTAGATTTTTGAGCCCGGATATCAAAAAGCAATGGTGAATTAGTAACAAGTATGTTGCCGGCTGAAAACACTCACTTTAAAGTAAGTTGGTTAACACTCTATTGTTGGACTATGTGTTTCACCAACTTCACAATGCCACGGCTCTGAATGTTACTCCCTGCTGTGGGTGGATCAAACTTGAGCCCATACATCCTTCGACGGGCTTATCCGTGTTAACCGTCGCTTTTGTCTTGAGGCAGCTCTTGCCCGGTTTGATGTGGCGGTGAATAGTCGGCTTTGGGTCCTCAATGATGGCAGGTAGAAAGAGACTTTCATATTTCCCAAGACCTAACCAAAACTGGACGGTCACATATTGATGATATATTGGCCGTCAATGCCACAGTGCTGCGCTTGTCGGTCCTCATCTTTGTATCGGTTTGTAAATGTTTGACCCGCTCGGCGCGATTGGTGCAGTCACAACCTTGGAACGAGGAATACAAGAGTTTTTATTGTTGGCCGTGAGAATTCTCGGTTGTGCTGGCCTTTCAAACTTTGATCCACAGTGGCTTCCTCCTGTGATATCGTGGCTCCAAAAATTGGCTGCGCCTCAGGTGGCACATCTTTGAGTTCAAGACGGCCCATTGTGGGCTCTAAAACGTCGGGGCTTTCTATAAGTATTCTGTTACCAATCAGATAAATAAAATTCCAACATCCCTTATTCTCAAGCAATCACAGATGCGGATTTCATGTATGTAACCAGATTGTGCATTGGGCATGTGCCCCCTTGATTGTGGAGAACATCAAACTTCCTCCAGCACGAACCCAACTATCACCACGTACTCATACTCGAACAAAGATTGATTATTTTTTTCCCTTCCTGAACCGCCCACAAAAAGATACGGACACCCCTGAAATCCTGAGTCAAACAGGAATTTTCTAGTTAGTTCTCCACAAAATATATACCTTCATTTCAAATTCTTGTGAGGGTTCGCAACCTTGTTCCAAAAGGCCAAAGTCTTGCAAGTCTCGAGGCAAACATCGCTTCCAAGCAGCAAGGAGAGGGGAACAGAGATCACCGCTTCACAAAACTTGCGCGAAATATCCACACATAATATTGATTATATACCGGAAGTCCTGCAGCGAAGCTACCCTCAATTCCTGTGACAAGGGCTGTAAATCAGGGCTTGTGACAGTAGTCGAATTCAGCTAATAATCTTCAATGGCCTTAAAGTCCTTGATGAAAAAAATCTAGGAATACAAACAGGTCCAAATGACGCGTATTTATCTATCACTTAGTGGTCCGTGCCCTTGTGGCTTGAGGCTATTGCCGAGGCTTCCAATATATCACTTAACCAATATCCTTCCTTTAATAACCGCCTAGCACCTAATTACCTACCTCACTTCCAACCACTGGCTCTCGACGTATAAGTAGATAGCTGTTAGGCCGTAGTGTAGCCGGTTGGTCAGTTGACGTGTAACACAATCTCTCCTTTTCTTATACTCGACCACGAACTAGTAATGGCTTTAAGATTAAGCCGGAAGTCCTTGGGTTTGTCGGGGTGCTCGGTGTAGAAGGTTTGAATAGTAATGCCGTTTCACAAGGTAAGGTAAAGCATAGCAGAATTCTTATCTAATCTATTTAACAAATAAACACAACTCGGGTTCCGGCACCAATTACAGTTTAGCAATTTAAGTATTAAGTCTTTTAAAATATTTTTTAGCTCTTAAAAAGTCTACTTTTATTTCTATCTTTACCGGAAGTTTATATTTCGTGTAATTAAATAATTAATTAACTACGCGATTTTTATATACCTGCGATTAAATATCCAATAGAAATTTATTAACTGTTACGACACTGGCCAGACACTAACGGACAGGTGGATATCAAATATATGGGGCTCTGCGAGCATGTGGGACTCTAGTTAGTAGGCAAAGCTTTGCCTTATTACAAGGCCCTGTTTTATCGGAACTATTGGAATTTCCTGTCTTTTCTTCTTTAGCTTATAATTTAATTACTTAGTATAGTATAACTATTACCTTATCTCAGAACTTATCTATTAAGCCGTAATAATTATAAGCTCTACCCGTTATACTTTAGAAAAATATAACGAACGCTTATTTGGAACCTCTAAAAGGGATCCTAATTAAAGGCACTTCTAAATAATCTTAGTTTAGTATAGCTAAATAGTGTATAATAATAATTTATCTTGATTAAAATAGTTAAAATACTACAATTATAATTTATAAATTATATACTGCGGAACTATTTATCTACACTACCTAGTTTCTCCGTATATATAGACCTTGATCCTCCAAGTACCGCCAGAGTGGCAATGTTTTTCAATATCAGGCCCGGAAAAGATGGGATAAACAAGAGCAAATGTTAGGTGAGCCTGCAAGCCAGGGGAGCACGACCAGACGCGATTCGACACCAAAGCCAATGTCAGACGTCAGCGGCTGGAAGTTTAGTGTGTTCACACATGAGCCCATCTGCTGACCCCAAACCGTCACATACGACCACACCCAGCTGAAAATACGGCATCCCGTCCGCTCTGCCCGAGTCAAGCAGCTGAGGGCCGAGTCAGTACTCAGGTGGGTGACCACTGGGGAATCTTCGGTGTTGTATGTTTTTTTTGTTGCTTTCTCTTTTTCTCTTGTTTTCTTTTGTCGCTTTTACCTTGAAAAGGTCCACATGCCTGAGACCAGGACTGCAAACCGATGGCTTATACAAGAAAAGCGAGGGGACTGGTAAGTGATGACGGGAGGGGGGGGAATTAACAGAGCAATTTGTACTGTCGACAAGAAGCTTGTGTTTCGGTAACTCGGGGGTCTAGAACAAGAAGTTCAACATCAACCTTATCGCTGATACCCCGCTGATGAACTTTGTTCACTTCTTCTTCTTCGCCTGATATTTGAAGCCAGGCTGTGCAGGGGAGAAGGGTTCACAAACCGGAAGCATTCAAGCTTGGTGATTACTTGGGGCATATCGGTATCGCGGCCATCCACGGCTTCTAGGTGAATTGGGATTTTGGCGGCCTCGAAGTATTCGAAAGGCTACTTACGGTACACCTACTTTTTCGTCCACAGCCCGAACAGCTTGTATGCCGTCCCCAAAACCAGCTTGCCTGATCACACATCACCTCTACAAGCCGCGTGGGTAGCAGAGATAAGCGTGGCTAAGAAGTTGATGGAGGAGATTGACTGGTGCAGGGTGGGGGGTTCAAAGGCGGATGGCAGGTCGAAGGATTTGGAGGAAGTTAACAATCATGAGGAGGAAGGAGTAAGCTGTTGAATCTCGCCTTGCCCAGAACTTGATGCTAACTAGAGTCTCGGTACTGCTGCTGATAGCTTTGATACCGCGCTGGATGAGGAGGTCGAATGTCTGGAGAAGGAGCAATAAAAAAGGGGAGAGATAATCTACAAAAGCTCTCGAGGAGCTAAAGGTTCCCTCAGAGAGACTCGAGTCTTACCGCTCGCCAGGGTGAAAGAAGATAAGCAGTCGGTACGACTTGGTGCTGGGGAATGTGTTGGGAGGGGTGCGAGATTCTGACGCGGGGGTTTCGTTTACGACAAGTTATTTGGGCCGAGGAGTGGAAGGATATTATAACTTGGGGCGCTTATAGATAAGGTACCCTCTTTTTGAATTCGATGGGGGAAATCAAATATACTATTATATTGCCTGTCACGGCTGAAAAAGATGATTTTGAATTTCTCCTTGAACCCTGTTTTCCACACTTGCCGCGACGACGAAATACTAGCGCGTCAGTTTTCTTCCTCTTTTTCAGTGTCTTTTTTCGCTGGGTACCATGCCACAGCCGATGCCATCTTGACCAGGCCTGACAGCTTGGGTGGGAGCTGGTGGCAGGTGTAATCCTGAGACGCCAGGCCCCTCATCATCCCAAAAGTACCTTAGAAGGGAACAGATTGCCGGGCGGAGCAAGCCCTGTTCCCTATTCGACCAAAGAAGACAACGTAAGTGAACTCGTCGGATCCTCCCGAGGCTCGGCTAGGGATTGTTCGCTAACTGCTAAACCCGACAGAGACAACTTGAAAGATTCAGGGCAGCAACATCACTGTCAGTCGGCTTAATCATAGAGGGAGTGTGGGATAGTATACTACCCGGAACCCGGAATTCTGTTTGGGCATTGCCATGCGGAAATGGGAGAAAGGAGTGAGAAAGGAGGGGTGTGCTAACAGATAGATGGCAGGTTTGATGTAGGAGGAATTTTTTGTCACTACTCATCAGTTTTCATCGTGTATGGGCTAGTGTTTGTTTTTCCCAAAGGCAAATCCGCTAACAGTCAAGGGACCAGCACCGTGGTGATTTTGTGAGGGTTGTTGAGGGGTGTGAGAGGTCCGTAATGATAGCCGGCATTTCACAAGAATCTTGGAAGCCTGAAGAAACTCCGTTCTATAGATATACCGCTTACACACAAACGAAGATCAGCTTTTGTGAACTATGAGACCGAGAAAAGAAAACAGAAAAAATACATACAACACCGAGGATTCCCCAGTGGTCACCCACCTGAGTACTGATTCGGCCCTCAGCTGTTTGACTCGGGCAGAGCGGACGGGATGCCGTATTTTCAGCTGGGTGTGGTCGTATGTGATTGTTCCACTCGGGAGATGGGGCTATATGGGGGCCAGTCTTCAGGAGACATCAGGCTAAGTACACCACCTCGTCTCAACATCCCGGTCATGAGTTCCCAGTCTCTGTACGACAGCGAAAGAAGCTCGGGCACCTCGTCGTCCATCGAGGTTGTGTCATTTATAGTAGTTAGGAAAGGCTGCAGTCATCGCGTGAATACTAAAGCCTAGCGTAAAACACACAACCATGGCAAGCGTGAAAAGAATGATTCCACGTCACACCGGTGTTTGCATGGTCATCGGAATGTGTCACCTTTAGATACATCCATGCTACTCAGGTTTGACGAGCACCCAGATACTACTGTCACCAATGGATTTTACCACTAAACTCGTCGTTCACAACGCGACGCCGTGTCTCGATGTCAAGCTTTAGGCAAGGATCACGGGTAAGAGCAAGGAGTTGTGTGTCAACACCATCTCTTCATTCTTCAGGTAGAAATGAACGACATATTTCCAACATAAACTTACACCAAAAGCTCTTCCAAACCTTTCTCCTACGTCTTCTTCATGCAGCAACAACCTGAGGCTGCTGCGTCTCCCAAGCTGTTCCCTCCACCGCGACCCCAGCGTCAGAAGTAGTCCCACTCGATGGCGCGCCTGCCGTGAATGTCTGAGCTGGTAGTGGCGTCTGGGGAAGGGAAGCTTGAGGCGGCACAGTGGCGTGATGAAGCGGTGGAGGCCACGCCATAAAGGGGAGGTTGTATGCGGGTCGTGCATAGCTATAGTTAGGATTCAGCATCTGGGGCTGGTACACCGGGGTGGGTGCTTGCTGTGGCGGTTGCGATGGTGCGGCTGTCGTAGGATAGTAGGACGATGACAGCGATGGGTTTGGCAGCGCTGCCCCGCGCCGTGGTGTCCGCCGTGGCGATTCATCTGTTTCCAGACACGTTAGCATACCTTCGGATTGGCAGAGTGGATGGCCATTACCGTCGCGCTTGTCAAAGTGGTCCGGCCTATCCATCCTCCTACGGGCGCGCTCCGAGTCAAGTCCGCCACGAGCCCTGGCCATGTAGTTGTCAAAGTTGGTGACGTTATGGGCAACAAACTCAAAGTGGCGTTGCGTCACCACCGCCGTAATATTCTCGTCATCGTGGCTGTGGTCGTCGTAGTCATCGTCGCATCGTGCCAGCGCGGCAGCCATGATGAATGCGTTACGGATCTGACGTCCGTTCCACCGGCCGAGCTCATCCTTCTCATGCTTGTGCCAGTGCTGCTCCGCAAAGGCCAAAATTCCAGCCTTGTCGCAATGCAAGCGCCGGGCAGGCCGTTCGGGGTTGGCTTGGCGCTGTCTCTCAATGAGGTCCAGCCGGTCAATGTTGAGGCGGAAAATCTCCCGTGTCTGGCGTAGATCAAGGCTGTGATAAAGCAATGTGCTGTGCACCCGCGATTTGACAGCTTCGTCCAGCTGTCCTGGTCGGTTGGTAGTCAAGAACAGAATACCGCTGTAATATTCCATGACTCTGAGAAAGACCGACACGACAGCATTTCTCTCCAGATTGCTCTTCTCGCGCTCCTCCAGAAAGACATCGGCCTCGTCAAGCAGAAGAACGCAGTCCCAGACGTTTGCGAGATGGAATATCTCAGTCAGGTTGCTCTCCACTTGGGCGGGTGTTGACCCAAGATCCCCGGAGGTGATGGAGAACAGCGGCTTACGATACACCTGGGCAACAGCCTCGACGGTGGCCGTTTTGCCCACACCCGGCGGCCCGTGGAGGAGAAAGACAAGGCTGCGACCCTTTCCTGGAATTGGATCTTGGCTGGCAATCTCTCCAGATTTCCTAGCTTTTTTGGTATTGAAGTGATCGCTCACCAAACAGCGGATGGTGCGCTTATTGGCGGCGTCTATCTGCAAGAATCGGAACGGGTCGGTGTCGAGTGTGCTGCGCTCAATACGGACATCCTTGACATGCAAAAAGACGAATTTGCGCTCCCTGAGTGCATACCCGAAAAGGCGTTGGGGCAGTATGGCGAGGTCCTCGTCCAGCGGTTTAGGCAGGCCCGCAATGCCGTATGCGTGTTTCTGTCTGAAAGGTACGCCCTCGAGGAATTCAATATCATCTCCAAGAACCACAATATTAGGCCAACTGAATTGCAGCCGTGTACGCGATGGACTTGACCACAGGAGAATACGATTGACATCGCTATCGGTCTCTATGTAGCTCTCCGAGTGTGCCGCATCAAGGCCGTAGATGTATTTCCAATGTGGACAGGCGTTGAAGGCCTCCTGGAAGTCAATAATGACGTCGCCATCAATAAAATCGGCGCTGGTGACGGGCCGACCCCTGAAGTAGTAGTATCGGCCAAGTGGACTTGTGAGGAGAGACCAAGCCTTATACGAGACGTGGCGCTGCTGGATGCATTCGGTGAATCGGAGACCTAGCTCGCGCTGTTCTTGCACGATAGCTTGGTTGTCAGGCTCAAACCGAAGTGGGTAAACCTCCAGCTTTCGAACTTCCTTCAAGCCGTCGTAGCCCTCAATAGTGAAACCGAACGAAACCGGCTTATAAGACACTCCATCGTAATCTATGAAGTACAGCCACGCCGCGGCTTTCGCACCTGTTTCTGAGCTTCCATACATGGCGAGCTGCAGATCGCCTGCGTGCGGCACCAAGATTTCGAGCCGCCACACTCTTTGATGAACTGCGTTTTTCGGAATCTCTGCGTCTCCGCCGGACCACTGCTTGCGAAGCGTGCTCAAGGGAACATACACCAGGTCGCCCGCTTTGAAGAGATACCAGAGGTCGTCATACCGGACTCTTCTCGCTTGTGGGCTTTGGACGTCGTCAAACTGGTGTACTGGCGGAAGGAGGCGCTCTTCAACAAAGGAGACATAGCATTGAAGCTGCTCTCTTTCTTGCTTTTCCTCGTCGCTCTTGGGTGGGGTGGCCCTAATTTCTTTGAACTTGGCTTTGATCTTGGGGTGGAAGTGGATGAGATGGGCGAAAGGGCGCATGAAGGTGTAGGGTTCTTGGCCCCAAGCATAGCCACCAACTTCGGATAGGACTTTCAGGACTGCTTTGGACTGAATCCTAACGGCGTGTATCCACGTGCCATGAACCAGTCCACCGTTGAGGCGGCGACTCTTGTACTGATCCGACAGTTTGTCTTGGTAGCCCTCGACTTTGATCCGGTGACGGCGCATGACCTCCTTGGAGACCTCCTTGCCCAGCTCCGTTCCCGCCTCAAGAAATTCAATGGCATATCCTGATTCAGCAAGAGAGAAGCGATTGACGAACTGCTCAAAATTGCAACTGCGGGCCTGGGCAATGACTGGGACTTGCGGGGCGACTTTGAACTCCTCCTTCAACGTACCAGCGCTGGGAGACGAGGGCGCATCGGCATCTTCGTTTGATGACTCTGGCGTGGAGGAAGAACTCGATGCTTCAAATTGTGAAGGAGATGCTGGAGATTGGTTGCGCAGTTGACCGTGTCCCTTCCATGGGCCGAGAGAAGCTGGTTTGGACGAAACAGGTGGGCCATTGACGGGTTCTTTGATAGGGGGTTTGGCTGGGGGACTTCCGCCTTGCAAACCATCTGTAGATGCTGTCCGTGATGAGGGTGCGTCGTTGTCCATGGTGCTGTTGGGCTATGGGGGGAAAGAAATTGTCTGAGGATTCGGTGGATGGGTGCGTGTCGGTGCCTTTTTAGGTTCCGCAGAGCTGTCCCAGCAACCTCGTCGCGGCCCTAACGTCCAAAGCTCGCACAAAGCCCCTGCATGTTGTTATTTCATCTCGAATCGAATTGTGTACCACCTTCTTTGGACTTGAAACGGCGAAATGGTTGTGTTGTTGGTTCAGGTTGGCGCTTTCATGTCAGCGGTTCCAGAGCCTTGTATTGATGGGAAGCTCATTGGCCGGAGGGCACCGGGCACGCGGGCGCTTAAATCCCGTGCCTTCCCCAATTTCTCTGGTCTCTGCTTCCACCATGACAACATGGCAACTTCCCCATTTGTTACGATGACCACCACTGCCACCACAGTCCTTCACCAGATCACCGCTTCACCGCCTCAACCAGGACCAATGGTCATCCCGGACACGTCGCTCGTGTTGTAAGCAGACAAGTTCACACTGATCACCGACTGTCTGTCCACTAGCTAACACAAACACGTTTTTCAGGAATCTAGGCAACCTGCTGGCCAGCGTTGAAGATTTGGACGAGGCCCTCCGCCAGCGTCCCAGAACCAGTTGCTGGCAAGATGTCGTGGATGCCATTGAGAAAGCCAAGAATGTGGACAAGGAAAAGGCGAGCAACTCCCGCGTTCGAGGCTACCTGAGAAAGTCCAAGGTCGAGATCAGTATGCTCGAGTCGCTCACCAGCGTAATTCCGGACCAGAATGGTTTAAGCATCCTTCGCTGCGGTCTGGCAACCATCTTCAGCATGGTGACGGTGCGTCTGCAACTCCGAGAGACCATTCTCGACGCGTTGGAGGATATTCCCGACACTTTTTTCCAAGCCCTCAACGCATTGAGTCGTTTTCCAGATGCCCCAGACATCCTGCTCGCCGTGAGGGAGCTGTACTCCAGCTTGCTTTTCCAGGTCGATACGCTCATACGTGTCTTACTCCGCAGCCATCCCCAGAAAAATAGGATGAAGCGTCTCTGGAGTCAGCTCCCAGCAAAGGAGACCGAGGTCGTCCACCTCGCTCTGCAGGAGGTCGCACGAGCCGCTGCGCGTGTATCACAATGCTCGCAGGCAGCGCTGGAGCGAACTGTGGCCAACATCGACCGCAAAATGGACCGTTTTGGGGACACTATCATGTCAGCCATAGGTCAAGTCCGCATACAAGAGCGGGAGATACAATCAGACCTCGAGAGCGTCGTACGAACCGCCATCCAGGATACCCTCGATAAATGGAGGCCTTCACTTTCGGAGAGCCAACCTCCTGTACTCTACATTCTCGAGGCATCTCCACAGACTCCATCGGTTTCTTTCCCTTGGCACAATAGCTCAATAAGCCCTGTGTCGACATCTCCGGGGCCTATATTGTCGTCATACTCTACCCCACAAAAGCCGGTGCCATTGCCAACATCACCGTCACCCTCGCCCACAGCGTCACCGAACAGGGCACTGCCATCAATGTTTCCATTAACCCCAACTAAGACAGTACCACCAGCAAGTTCCAGCGATCTAATGCTAGCGAGATTTGGGGTGTCAGGAGGCCTATCAGAGGATGTGCTTGACGACGTCACCCAGCAAAGCAGCCGGCTTCGACCTGACGCCATCAGCCGTGGCATGTATCTCCTGTCTACCGATCGCTTTCTCAGATGGACTCAAGCACCGCGTTGGTTCTCGGACATGATTCTTGTTGATGGACACTGCACTGATGCTGTAGTCGACAAAGTCTCACCCATGACGACTGTTTGTGCTCACGTTGTCACGGCGCTACGTGAGAACCCATCGGCTATCGTTCTGTATCACTTTTGCGGCCAACATACCTCCTTCCTAGACCCTTTACGCGGAACTTGTGGCTTAGTCCGGAACCTGGTTCATCAATTGTGTCAGCACGCATTACATCTAAACCTCAGCGGCCACATGGCCGACACGATAGATGAGTATAATCTCCCAGCGCTTTGCGATCTCTTTAGCGAAGTCATAAAGCAGCTTGATCCGTCTCAACCAGTCTTCTGCATCGTTGACGGAGTCTCAGAGTTGGAGACAGTGCTGGATGGTTGGTGGGATGATCTTTGTGACTTTGTAGAGTGTCTGTTGGAGCATGTCAACACTGCCCCCGAACATCGAAAGGGTCCAGCACTGAGAGTAATGCTTACCTCCATGGAAAGAGCCATACGGCTGGCAGATGACGGAGTGGTGCCCAAAGATCGGACGGTATCCCTTATCGCGAGGCGGAGTGACTACGCAGGTTTTGGCACAGATCTGTGAGTCCGATCCAAGCCAGAATGTTCACGGTTATCTCCTAATCGTACGTCTCCTCAGACTTTTGTGAGATACAATCAGTATTTCCAACGTACCTACCTAATCTTTGTGGCCGAAGTTCGTGCTGAACGTCGAAAAAGCCTGGAACCATCGATGGATTTACGTCAGTTTGAACAAAGACATTTCGCCTTGGCCATAGAGCATCGCCATCAACATGTTACTCTGTCGATATCTGTTCGCTTCTGAGTTTGTCCCCCTCGTGGTAGAACATGGCAGATTCGAGTCGTGGTAACATGAGCCAACGAACAGGATCGTGAGAGCTTCGGACAGTTTTGATACATCCTCGCTGAGGCTATATAATGGGTATATCTACTTTCACAGTTCATCTCAGCTCAGATGGAACATCTAGACAACTTTCATCGTTCAGGTTTCACGACTTCGACTTCGAAACACCATCATGAGCGCTGAATTCTGGACACGGCTTTATGCCAAGGACATCATGAACAGTTGCCTGGGCTTTGAAGGCAATGGCGCGGTATCAGTGGAGCACTTCATGTACGGATTTAAAAAGGGCGATGACATTTCACACTGGAAGAACGACAACGGAGGAATCATCGAAGCCGAGCAAATTGTGGAAGACCTGTCAGTGTTGAACACCCAGACAATCAATTCAAGGGAAATGTGATGCCGATTATGGCAGAAATATCTGCTGAAAACTGAGGAAAATTGCCCTGTGGTTTTCTACATCCACTCCCCTCAGCCATTCGACCTGCCCGCTTACATAGGTACCTAGCCGCTAAGCGCCAACAGAAAATAAACATGAGAAGTTGAAAATAGAACCGGGCGGCAATCATCACGGCACACACTCTATTTCCAGCTCTGGCAAGACAAGATACCATATCTATCTACCATTAACACTTAACTGCACATTCACTCCGAGTTTCTCATGATCGTTGTTCATCATGGCTGGGCAGTGATTTTGGATGACCTAATAAACTCCAAGACTTCCAATCATACGATACCCGAACGGCTTGGTATAGCGTACACTCCAGGAAAATGAAATCCATTCCTCGTTCTACAACAACAACCGCGAAGACCGACATACTGATTGCTGACAACTCGGGACTCTCGGATGAGGAGGATCATCTCACAATGAGCGCTACACCGACAACAAAGGTTTTTTGGCAACTCACACATGCAAATGCGCCTTCTTCAGGTGTTGTTTCCAAAAGAGCCAAGCGCAAGAGAGCTCGCTCGACGGGTTGCTTCGGCATACCATTCGACCTGCTCGCCTTCCTCCGCAGCATGTCGGTCTTTCCGCTGGATCCCAAACAAAACAACAACACCAAGAGGATTCAGTCATCATCACCACATTTTGAGTCTGAGAAGGTCGGGGAGGTGAAAAAATCCTCAACATGGCCACTTCTCAACTCGGCCAAAGCACAAGCCGCCCACGAAGCTCGCCTGGCAACGAAGCGCTCGGCAGCGATCGATCGGCAGCTTGAACTGGACCGTGAAGCCTGGTGCCGAAAGGCCCAGGTCATGGTCACTAGCTGTGGGCCGATCAACTGCGAAGGGAAGACCTTATTTTTCGATCAAATGAGAAGGAGCAGCTCACCGGGATCTTACGAGAATCATGAGCCATTCACCAATCAACCAACGGAGAACCCAGCTGGGCAAGTGATAGATGCCACGATAAAGGAAATGCAGCGAATCCTGCAAGAAATCCACATGCAGGCAACACATCACTACAAGACTTCCGATATAGAGATGGAAGAGCCCCTCACCACGTTACTCTCTACCGCCAAAACCCTCTACGAGACTGACCTCCACACCCTCGGCCAACTACCCCAGGTCAACCCCCGCAGCCTCGCTCTCATCAACCAGATCACCAAGTTATGGTCTGATCCCGCCTGGACAAAACTCTGCTACACCACCCTAGGCAGATCAAAACCCTTCACCTCCCTCGTCCTCTCCCTCCTCACCCGCTCTTTTTCTCCATCATACACCCCCACCTCAACCGACCTCTCCCACATCAAGCACTTCTCCTCCGCACCAAGAACCCTCCACCGCGAAGCCCTCACCCCTTTCCCCGCCACCTCCTCTCTCGAATTCGACCTGATTGACCGCGACAACACAAGCTGCTGCTCCTTCCTACGCCGCAAAATCTTCAACTTTCTCTCCCCCAACCTGTCGGTGATCATGCTAGTCGATCTGGCTAGTTATTCGCAGGCTCTGTGGGAAGACAGCAGCACCAACCAGCTCCGGGAGTCGCTGCTCGCTTTTGAGGGACTGCTCAACGACAGGCGGTACGCCCAGCAGGCGAGGGGGGCGATGATGCTGCTTTTGTGGAATAGCGAGGGGTTGGAGGCGCAGCTGGGGGAGAGGCCGTTGGGGAGGTATATGAAGGAGTTCAAGGGGAGGAGGGGGGAGGAGAGCGCGTGGTGCAAGAAGATTTGAGGGGAGGGTTGAACGATGGTTATGATGTAATGATATGGGTAATGGTTTGGTTATCTTGGTATGTGTATCTTGGTTATAATAAAAGGGCTTTCTATTTTCGACCCCTTTGGCGAGGATTGGTGTTGTGTTCAGTATGGCTTCAGGCAAATCCAAAGCCATGCAAACTTCAAACTTCCACTTCATGATTTCAAAAGCACAACTCTGCAATAGTGATACCGCCTCTCTCAGTGGTGTACTCAGGTACCTGTAGCATACAGGCAACTTTGATGCACCCTGACTAACATACCTGACACAGTACAGATGAGAAACCATGTATGTCAGTGTCAATGTAAGAAATATTTCCGTGGCAGTCTGGAGAGTGCGCAGCTGACTACCTAACTCACGACTTCCTCGTATCCAAAGCAAATTTGAGATCCTGGCAAGTGTCCAAGCACCCGGGCTACCATGATACCTATGGGTCAAAGGTGAAGTCACATGGAGAGACTCCATTTTCCAGCAGGAGAGGAAATAGCGCCGGGCTCAATCTTTCCGGGACATGTCTGCTCCATAACAACCTGCGGTGAGCATTCGTGCAACTGCTTGCGCTTCGACAGCTGGGTTGTACCTACCTTACCTACCTAGCTGGGCTTGACCATGCGGACGACACTGGTGCTTGGAGGTTCAGGTACGCACCTGCCTTCCATCTACATATGGACCTGCCAGGGCGGAATCTTTCCCACAGTCTTACGCATTCGCAGACTCCGTCATATGCTCACTTGAAGCGGGGATTCCTGGTGACGGCCGAAGTGCCATAGCGGGTGAACATGCAGTTACGGCTGTGATCGCTGGTGACAGACAAGCCGGCAACTCCTCAGGTCTCTCAGTACAAAATCTCCTTCAACCACCCATCTGCCAGTTTCGCCATTCTTCTTCAGTTCATCAACCACACTTGTCCAAATCAACCCGCCTTCAACCGTTGCAATGTTCAAGCTTTTGCTCCTCCTAGTCGGCGTCACTGCGGCTGCTGCTGCCGCCGCCGGCGATCCCGCAGGTTCGGGGACGGTGACAGTAATCCAGACAACCTCTATTGGTAAGAGCCTCGACCTTGATTCACAAACATTCTGTTCTTTGGCTCTGTCAACTGACCTTTGCGGTCTGGAATTGCTTCAGTCACCTGGGAGACTTCTTACGTTACTCTTCCTACTTCTTACCAGTCAACAGGAATTGCCTTGGCTTCCTCTGGCACTGTTTCGACCGGCACGACTTCCTCTCTCAGTGGTACCGCCAGCACCCAGACCCCTTCCGTGAACAGCGACCTCGGCAGACTGTGGGTTTTCCACCGCACCATCTTCACACCGGAAGATCCCAACTACACAAAGCAGTGCTTCTACGACATGTTCGAGTCCCGCATGAGCGAGGCGGTCCTATTCCCTTGCTCCCAGCCGTATAACGCAACATGGCATATTGGTAGAGGTTCAGATTGCGACGGGGGATACCTCATGCCTATTCCCGAATTCAATATTGGATTCGACATTCTCGGCGTGAATACCGGGTGTTGGTACCATCCTGAGGCGCTGCAGATTTTCTGCGATCAGGGCCATTACCCCTGCCGCTTCGAGAACCATATCGACTATATACACTGCTCAAATGAGACCGAGGCTCCGATGACGAATTACAACGGCTATGTGAGGATGGCTTGCGATGGGTTTCTGGCCAAGTGATGACCTGCATCTAGACGTGGCCGAGGGGGGTTTGCTTCTTAATCCCAGATTTGTACGGTGCATGGTTGAGTTACAGGGTGGATTTTGCAATGATTGTAGTCATATGAGTTCGTAAAATGGAAGGCATGTTTCACTTTGCAGACTCTTATTCAATGTGATGCAATGCTGTTTTGAAGGTCCCTCCCTGACTGTGTTCCGACAAGCAGTGACTGATTGAACGTGAGAGAGTGGTGCCTGTGTAAGATAGGTGTGGTGCCAGGCTAATTTACATGTGGTGCCTGGCTAAAATGTGGGTGGTGCCTGCCTATGAAGTCCCATCGGAAAAGGTTGTGGACGGGGTCATGTCAACTCCAGGAGCCATATTTAACCCTAACCCCAGTAGGGGGGGTACACAGCTATCCGAGGGGGGGTGGCACGGCTACCATCTCTTTTTCCTTACTCGTTGGGCCTACAGAATCGGCACACCAACCCCATAGGGCAACGTCACCGCCGCAATCAACCTTCAACCTCGCGCGGGCAATCCGCAGCAAGCTACACTATGGCGGTCGTTGATGCGTCGTTTCAATTCCTGCAATGGCAACCTCCATACTCACAAGAAAAGCCATATGAAGTCTTCCTGCCAGCCGAAAGTTTCCAGAACAAGATCTCGCGCAGCAACCTCGTTTTCGAGCCCCACTCCGTCCGCGTCCACGACGTCAAGGCCCGAGCCAATGCAAATGAAACAAGTTCAAATCAAAGCAAGCAATTCAAATGGGCCAAAAACTGGCTCAAATAGTCAGTTTTTGGTATTTGAATTGAATTGGATTACTTGCCAAGCGGTATTTAATAGGAGTACCGCACATGTAACCCTAACCCCATGGACCAGCACATCGATGATAATGTCTGAGATCAGGGTGAAAACCGCCCAAACTAGAGTTTTGTGTACGAATTATCCGTAGATTGCATCTTGGCAAATGCTCAAATACAAACAAATCAAAGCAAGTAGAAGTTTCCCCTTCACAATTCAAGCCAAATACGTGGCCATATTTGCATTATTTGCATTGGATCGGGCCTTGCACGACGTTCGAAACCGCCGACATGAATACACACTTGACACACATAGCTTCCAGTTTACCCGACATATAACAAGGACGGAGGACTTCAAGGACCGTACTGTAGTGGAGGAGTCTTACATTCCGGAGATGGAGCGGCTTCTGCAGCAGCATTTGAGCGAGAAAACGGACCAGGAGGTGGTCAGAACAGTTTGTTTTGACTTTCGAGTATGTTTTGGACTAAACCACCTGGGCTTTGTGGCATGAGGCGTCCTTTGACATGTTCTTTGCAAGCTTATTAGGGAAAGCATAGATGCCGACGAGTTTGCCAAACGCACCATCAACCTTGAAGATGGCTTAGACCGGCTGCTCCCAGCTACACATCCACACATCGGTTGGCTTCAAGATCTTGTCACAGTCAGAGTGGCTGAGACAGTGGCTAACGCGCTTAGACCAAAGTACACGCGGCGCCCTCCTTCGGGTCAAGAGGCATATGGGCGAAGAGGCAGACGAGTTGCTGAAGGGACGGGTACGGGTGATTAAGTATGCCTCTTTCAAACCGTACTCATGTATGCACACTTGTTCTGACTTCGATATGTCTAGTGTCTGGAGACCCTTGGCTAATGTCAAATCCTGGCCACTAGCCCTTTGCGACGCGCGGACCGTCAACCCCGATGACCTTGTAACCTGCGATATTGTTCGCAGGCGGTATGTGGGCGAGACATACTTTGGAAAGTACAATCCGAAACAAAAATGGCATTTTCTCTCAGAGATGACGCCAGAGGATGTCATCTTTATCAAGGTGTATGATTCGGATCAGACTGTGGAAGCGCAAAGTACGTGATTCTGGTTGCACTGTCCACGAGAACATGTTTAACCTGTTGGGATCCATAGGGTGCCTACATGCCTCTTTCCAACACACAGAGTCGTCTGAGCCACGTGTCAGCATCGAGTTGAGAATGTTGGTTTTTGGTGGATGATAGACTGTTGACATCAACCACGGTGCAGTCTTCGAAGCTGATCTGGCAGAAGCGCGCAAAGTTAACCCATGTCTTAACAGATAGAGAGAGAATGAACAGGTTCGCTGAGAGGAAACAAACTCTCATATATATATATACACACATGAGAAGGCCACTTCGTGTTGGAATTAACAAGCCTGCCGCACCTCCCTCGTATCCGTCAAGCCACACTGGACCCATGTATCCACAACAATCGCATGGTCCTTCAACTATAGTAGTTAGCCGTGTACAAAGCACCAAAAACTTTCCATTATTTTTCTAGCGCAAGTGTGAAGCTGACTCCTGCAGTGCAATGATGGCAGAATGTGGGATTCTGGGTAAACTTGAGAGCGGAGAGATGCTCTAATCAATCATGTGGTGATGTGACTGCCTAGCCGCAGGGGAAGATCAAGTCTAAGCCCTGTATGCACGTACATCTGTAGTAGTTTTGGTTCCCAGTCTAGGAATTGATCAGTCATGAGCACATACAATGCGCCGCTGGATGCTGAGCTCGGCAGGCTAGGTATCGACATTAAGTCGTCGTAAAGTAATGATGGCAAAACAAAACAAAGATCACAACTGTAAAAGCATAACAACAAATGAAGCGAAGGGTTGGATGTAAAAGGGCTTCCAAAGAAGTCTATATAGAAGGAAAGGGCATCCAACCAGGCACCGAGAAAACACCCACAAAAGAGAAACCTTGCCTACGCTTTGACCTTCATCTCTTCCAGGTCCTTCTCCTTTTGCTTGTTAAGCCTTGGCTGGGTTGAAGCTATCCGGAAAGTTCGCATGATAGACGAGCAACAACAAACCAGACAGGATCTAATGGCGCTACGTCCTAACCGTATCCAGCGCCGTAGTATGGGGAATGCCGAGGGGCCTTTGGAATGATCGGGAGGATTGGCTCCTAGGAGTCGAGGCTGCTCCCGGGCATCCACCACCGCTCCGTCTGCACGCCAATCCCACTCGGGTGGCTCATCCTGCACAACCAGCGTGAACTTTGTTCTGCCAGACTCCAAAATACAAGTTCGCAATATCTGCTTCTTGACCTCTTTTGCAAAGGGGCGCGAGCTGCTCGTGAGCACCACAGCATTCACACCGTGTCTGTCTGGGTTGGATTTCTTCTTGTCTGTGACCCGGTACCCTTCCACAGTTGCCGTAGGACTTCTCGCGGAAGGCCCTCTATTTTTGACGGAGGCCAATGGGATATTGCGTATGACGGACATGAGCTGCGGTCGGATGCTCTCGAAAGCTTGCTCGGCTTCGGGGTTGAGGGGCGTGACGTTGTTTTTACCGAAACCGACGATTCGCCAGTTGCGCTTCTCGGCATCGTCGTCCTCAATGACGTGGGTACGGCGGAACGGCACGTAATCGTCATTCGCTGCTGCTGCCATTCGGGCAGCATATCCCGTTGGTTTGAGTGGCGTGCGTGGTGAACTTGACCCGCCAAACGAGGAGGGAATGGACTTGGTCATTGAGCTGCGCCACGCTTTCTTCGAGTCGAATCCTTCCATGGTAAAGACACTGGACAAGCGTGGAGGAATTGAATATGGTAGATGGGGGTAAGTTGAAGGAGCAGAATAGTGATACTATGCCACTTTCTTTTTCGTCCAACACAGTGTAAAAAGAAGGAAACATCCTTTTATCTGATCTGAGCTGTTGGTTACATGAGACGAAACATCCATCACGTGGTTTGGGGATTTGTCCAAGGTGGCTTTCAGAGGCGGAGGCAAGCGCGGAACAGGCACATGCCTGGTCGGTTCAGGTGTGCCGTTCATTCCGCCTGTGTCACAAGTCGTGGCCATGTTTGTCTTTGCAACACATGTGATGTATCGATACGCCGCCAATGAGATACGAAGATCAGATGCAGCCGTAAAGCTGGCCTGCCAGTGTGATGTCAATGCAATGCCCCCAGAAGGCATTTTCGGCACCGCCGGTCTCCAAGATGCCGAGGGGCCTAACGCCTTGTACATTACAAGGCGGCGTGTGGCTTAACTTTGTTTTTCTCTCAGCCTCATCACCATCTTACCATCATCGCCACAACGGTCATGAAAGTCCTGACATAGAACAAAAGTCAAGCAGTCATCAAGTCCAGTGAATCAGCATAGCCGTGCTATCCAGCTTGTACAGTACCCACCTCACGTACACCCCCGCCTGGTGTTACGTACCCACAGGAACCTTACATATTTTACTTCTCCCATCAGGTATGTTCACAACAAGCCGGTAAGACAACCCATCTGCACATCGGTTTCAAACCCCTTCTGTGACGAAACTAATTACGGTTTGCTAGCAAAGGTAGTACTCAGAGAGTAGATAGGTGAACTCGCCACTACGCTATTTGACAGCAGTGTAGGTGAATGTAACTACAATGAATGGTTACGACAGAGTCATGATTGCAAATGTCGTACCTACTTTTTGTGCCCTGCATCACGACTTTGGGTTTCCCAGTTCTGTCCGTAGGTGGGTGTTGATCAACTTTGCAGAGAAGACCTGGAAAGATAGGTACCTACCTACCTTGCCTTGTTCAAAGTGTTACTGACAACGGCAGAGTATTTTGGCTTGCAGAAAACAAGTATACCCCTACTCAACTCGTCATACGCATGAGCGATTGCAGCACTCATTTAGTCTCACCCATAGCCTAGGCGAAATAGGGTTTTCGGTTTCTCTTTCCCGCTATCAGCTACCATGTCTGCACTCAATCCTCCTCACCCTCAACTTCCGCTGTGGCGTTTGACACTCAAGGCTTTCCAAGGAATTTCTCAGAATCCGCCATTGAATCACGCGTCTCCGAACCACCGACCGCAGTGGATCGGACCAAGCAACCGTGACGAACTCATCGCCGGAATATGGGGCCATTGTTATGGCAACATTGCCTAGTAAGCGACCTACCTAGTCTTTTCCCTCCCCCAGATCATTCTTTCTCAACTCTTTACCACGTTATCGCACCTTATTGGGTACATACTAAGACGTATTGCTACAAAAGTGAAGACGAATATGATAGTTACGTGGTATACCTCGAAAGAGAGCTTTCTGAGTTCCGGACTCAAGACTGCGTATTGGAGACATTCGGCGAACTATTTGACATGATCGCGATTTTAAAGGATTCACATTCCGCTGCAATGACCAAGTCTGATATAGCGCAGACTTATGAACCTGGATTCCCCCATGGGCTTAATGTAAGATTTTGCTTTCAGGATTTCGATTTGTCCAACACTTGCCCATAACTAATGAGGCACGCTCCGTGTACCACTCTAGGTCCAACGGATGTACAACTCTTTGGACATGGCCGCGCGACTATGGCTCATGTTCGGCTTTGGCTCCCAAGATTGCAACTTTGTCTGGGATGGAGACAAAACACTGCTTCAGGCCGTAATGGCCATCCTGGGACCATCATCGCCTCAACAGTGTCGGTATATTGTGAAACTCGGAAACGCTGATTACCAGACGAACCCGTTGCACGACCCGTCAGTTGCAGTAGAAACAATGCCTAAGCTTCTGGGCATTATCGACAAGGTGGAGGTGGAGGACCAAGGAGGGCATGACACTCGAGCATTCCCTGGGAACTTCTCTCTCCGTCAGATGAGCAGACTTGTTTCTTTTCACATTGAATGGACTGATGATATATTTCAACATCTTATTGTCAAACTCTCTCAAGACAATGACTACTCAGTCTATATCTTTCATCACGCAACGGTGTTGAGGGAGATGTGGCTCTTTTCCTCGGATGTGTGAGCACTACCCCTACCGATAGCCTCCCACAACGCATCGCGAGATTATTACTAACCAGACCTCCTCACATCAGAAATCAATACCCTTACCGAGAACTTGCAGAGGAAACTCTCAAGACCCTGGCTTTACTCATCCCCGACACGGACATTGACAATATCTCCTGGTTCCGGCGAAAGTTGCAGAATGACGAGATACCCTGGCCTGGGTATGTGCGAAAGGTGCGCGGGCTTGACGCCAGGGCTGGTACACAGCTATTGTATCCCCAGGAAATGCCACCCCATACTCAATTATGGAGTGATAGGATCATCACTGTGCCAAGAGAGGTCGACAGTTTCAAGTTCTGGAAAGCTCGCCTCTTGATATTGGAAGACACATTCAACCGCGCGTCACCACGCACCTTTTGGGGCTTTCGGTTTGATAAGCGCAACAAACGCGAATACTACATCTTTTGGTTTGCCGCGCTCAGTCTCGCTTTTGTCGTCATCGGACTTCTTTTTGCCATTGGAGCTCTGGTTGCCGGGGTCTTGCAATTGAAGGCAGCCCAGGAGGCCAACAGGCTCGCGAGTATGGCTACTCTCTCGACAGACTCTGCTGCTGCTGCTACCGAAGGTTTCAGCGGGCGGGTGGAGTGCTGTTGTTTGACCATGGCGTACAGCAACGGGACTTCAACTGTCGGCGCGCTGTGGACCGCGCAAGAATCCTCTTCGTTGGTGCAGGCGACCACCATGCCAGCCTCTCCAGGAAGTCCCCGCCAGACAACCATGAGCGTCAGGTCCACGAGGCCTATGGCCAGCATCATCTCCACAACCGCTGAACCCGTGTGGTATACATCGCCGGTGACGTCAACAACGACAACACTCTTCTCGATGGATCGATCCGTCACGTCTTGTAGTCTTCTGTAACTGAATTCCAGCATTGGAGGACTCACAAGAAAATAAAGGTATATCACATTGGACATGGCACCATGGTCGTGACCGTCTTTTATCGATTCTATGAAGTGGTTGCCATGACAACTGTTCAGGGGTAACTTCCTACTAAATAAAGGGGGGTTTGGACATTGAGAGCCACAACCATCAACTATCTACACACAACATATCCAACCTATGCATTGAAACTATCAGTGTGTCTGTCTATAGCATGACCTTGAGAATTTCAAGTCCCAGCATCTGTAACTCTTAATCCGAACATCCCCTATTCTTAATTCCAACATCCTCTGTCAACGATCCAAGCATTCTCTCCCTTTTATCCCAGCAATGACCGTCCACTATCCGAGCATTACCTATTGTTAGTCTAAACATATAAACCATCCATCTCAACACCGCCAGTCCATAGTCCGAACACAGAAACCGTCCATCCGAACACGGTGGCTTTCCCATCCAAGCTGCTCCAAGGTCGTTAGCAATGTACCAAGGTCCTTCAGTCAACATACATTTCCATCTTGAATGCCAAAGAAATCTCTCCCTGACAACTAATCCCAATCGGCTTCTCAAGCTGTGGGACCAGCGTGTACCGAACACCACATTTATAGTGACATGCACGGCCTTAACCCTAACCCCAGTTCCGATCCTCATGTGTATAAGATGGGGGAGACGCGGACAGATATGAACCTCAGCCACAAAACATTCCATACACCTCTAAGTCTACAAAGTTGATTTTATCAAAAAAGCACATCTATCTTTAACAGCAAGCACAAAACAAAAAAAGAAGGAAATGATGAAATTCCGCACTAATACCACCACTCCCTTCTCAACCCCCGTCCCGGCCGACCGGACTGACATTGCAACACAAGAGAGCCCGCGCCCACAACAAGCTCAGCCCCTCCCTTCCCCTCGGTACCTCCCCCAAAAAAAGTCCCGCTATCTATATCACCAGCCGGAAAGGCGCAGCTAAAACGAGAGATAAAGAATCGGTCAACCATCACCACGATAACAAAAATGCGGTGAGAAAGCTTCCGTACCAAAAAGAAAAAGAAAAAGGCTGGGGCGCTTTTGGGTTTGGTGGGAAGAGAAAGATTGCTGGTGTTGGCGGCAGCCATGTTGAAAGTGTGAAATGAGGTCAGGGCGGTTTTGCAGGCTGACCAGCGCCGTGCCGTTGGAATTGACTTCTGGAGTCGCGTTTAATTGGCGCTAGGGAGCGGGAGTGGGGCTTGGCACACAGCCCTGCGGATAGTGGGGTTCGGCTTTTGGGGTCACCCTGGAAGTGGAAGGCTGTTTCTTCAAGACAGTTCGATACCTACAGTGCCAACACCTACTTAATCGTGGCCACTCAAATATCGAGAACATCACCTAAGAATCCATCACGCCCGAGATGTTGGAGAACAGCCAAGAGGTATGAGTTGAGTCGACGACCTATCCTTATCTAGATGTCAATCTAACACTGACCCAACTGAAGGTCACTGGGGTGCACGGCACTCTTGAAGCTCGAAGATTCTCATGAGAAGCCTGGATTGGCATGGTTGCTCTAGTTGGATCTCTTGCTCTCGGCACTGGTATTGGTGAGATATAACATGAGCGGGTACCAGGACCACCAGCCTCTGAACATGTTGTGGCCTTCATGAACATGACTAAAGCGGTCCTAGATATGAGATCCAGGTATGATGCAAGTCAAGACTCACGGCTGACTTCGACAATCATCGTTCAGTCTGGTAGCCTGACCAGCCTTCAGTATCACCAACCTCACCTTCGATCCAGAGACTCACCAAGAGGGGGATTATTGCAAGGGTTAGCGAGCATCGAGTGGACCTACCTCTATTAGCTTCGACCCACCCGAATCCTCTACACTAACCAGAACAGCACATAACCCCTGAGATTGATGCGCACAGGCCACAACGATTGGAGCGTCACCGATAGGTTTACTCCATCTCCAGGCGGAACTTAGGGAAATGATCCGATGCGCAAGCGGTGTGCTTGCGGTGGAAATTCAACGTCCTTGGCGAGCCGAGTCGTTTCCACAGGGTCTTCTCTCATTCGCACGTAAAGCCGGGCAGCATGTCGCTCCAAAATCCCGTCGGACTTTCGCCCTGTTTTCTCTGCTCCTTGTACGCACGACTGACGCCGCAGTTCCAACAACGATAAACGAAAACCACATGCCGCCTGGGCCGGGGTAACACCGGCACTTGTGAGAGGAGCACATGGCCCACCAGTCACCTCCCATGCAGCCCCCGGCGCAACGACCTTCTCCACTGCCTTTCGACGACCAGCCGGGCCTCGAGGTTGTGCCACACGATTACCTTCCCGAAGTTCGTCCGGAGGAAGAACCCAAGTTCTATCTGGTACCGGCTCAACATCAAGCTCAAAAGGCCCACCTCAGCGAAGATTTTCCACAGGCGGTCGATAGCAACGGGGAACTAGATGTGGGCAGTCCAACCTCGACCGAAAAGGGCACACTTCCTGTCAGCAAATCGTACCAGAGGTGAAAATGGTGGATCATAGGCGGTACTGCTTGTGTGGTGGTTGCCATTGTTGTCGGCGTTACTCTGGGTGTCGTGTTATCACTTAGAGCTGGCGATGATAACAGCAACGCTGTCCTAAACAGCAGGCCAGAAACCATCCGCCAAGGCTCCAAACTCTCTGCAGTGGGCTGGCGCAAAGCGAATGGTGATGTTGAGAGATTCCTCTTTTACCTCGACCCCCAAGGTCGAGTCAGACGCTCGCGAAGTATCACCGGCCCAGGCAGTTCTACTTCCATATGGGAAGAACAACCAGTGCTTGACTTGAAGGCAACCAACGGTACCTCACTTGCCGCCACAATAGCTCTTGACGGCAGAGCGTACAATGTATGTCCATTTCTTTTGTTGCTACATTGATTCCCAAGCTCACTAGATGTCTCTTAGCCGCAGACAGTACTATTTTACGAGGAGGACACAAAGGTCTTTGCCGCCGTCATCAACGAAACCATACAACCAAACATTCAGACTGAAAGCTTCTCGGGCGGGTACGGTCGTGATATTGGGGATTTTACCATGGCCAGTGGGGCTAGTTTAGGCTCATACTGGCCTTACGTCGTTACTCAACACGAGTCCGGTCATATTATTCAAAACGATCTAGCGCTAAGGCGTGGCCTTGTTCCCAGTAGTGGCCATGACTGGTATGTAAAGAATCTTACCATTGCTGCCTACGAGGGTACATCATTGTGCATAGTACCCACAAGCACCAACTTTACCAAGATCAGGGACTACGAGGCCTACGGTGTAGTCTATCAGAAGCCCAACCAAGGCATAGCCCTCCATTACCCTGCCTTTGGTCCAGGCACAAACGAATCCGTGCAGCGCGACCAGGTTCCAGAAAGTAGGTCAACTGCCAACAAATGGCAAGGGTCTGTTTGCTAACAAAGCTTTCAGTATTCCCACTGGAATATGTATTCCCTCCCCAGGCGCCGATGGCCGCTTTCGCCGTCGCTCAAAATGACAACGACGACGAGGGTCCGGTGAACATCTATCTCATCATCAAGAGTTATACCAGCGGCACATTTTCCGTTTGGTTCACGGAAAACTCGTCTTATTGGATGGAGGAATCGCCTGCGGTATTCCAAAACGTTGACGAAGATTCGGATATTGCGTGCTCCAGTTTGGCTGTTACCAACTCGGACTGGGAAGAGCAGGAGGTCCCGCTGGCGCCGGACAATGTGCGGTGCTACTTTCAGCGTAATGGCACGGTTGTCGAGGTGAGCTTTGAGGGCTCAGGGTGGACTGAAATTGGGGTGGTGCCGATACCGTGAGATACAGTTTGCTCTCAAATCAGGGACAGCAGCTGGGAACTAATTGTCGTTAAATGGCAAGCCGCGGGGGTCATGGGAATGGGAAACGAGCTAACATTCTTGGTGATGGACGAACGTGGGGTTGTAATACCTGTTGAAATCTGCCTTGTCGGGGAAGTCACTTCAAATGCACCTTGGGTCTTCAAAGTTCCGACTGGCTTCGATAGAGGACTGGAGTGATTGGATTAGGTTGATGGTTACTACGTATTAAACTACAAGATCCTTGGATAGAGTCATCACAACATGCTGATAGAGTTCAGTCAAAACTTGAATCTATATGTTGAAAAGCAGGAATTAAAGGAGCTTAAATCTGCCTCTACAGATGAGGGAAAATGCTGGGCCTCATTCTGTATTACATATCGCTCCTTCCTCACATAACTTTGCAAGGATCCAGCGATTCGGGAAGGTCACACAAGCTTTACGTTCGACTTTATGTCTGGGCAAGGCCCAGCAAAACAGTCGGACAGTTCGGTCAAGATATGTCTCGGGCGTACCGCAATTTACGTTGCCTTCCATATATGCTCAAGTGAGGCACTGGCGAGTGTCTGTCTTCGTGATAGGCTCAAGGTCGGTAACTCCGGCAGGTAAGCGGGTCGATCCTCTTCCGCCAAAGCCACGAGATCGGCCATTTGTCTGTCTGATGCTACCGTGGGAATAAGTCTGTGACAAACCCGAGGGCCGTTACCTAGTTACGAGCTTTGCGGTTTCTCTCCGAACACAAGGTCAAAAGCCGTGTCCATCTTACCGAAAGTTGAGTGCATCATCTTAGTAGGTGCCAAGGGGAATGAAGCCACCAAACGATCGCAGAATATGGCTTTTTTGCAGCATGCGACTACCGGCAATCTCAACAGTGCCCTGCCCGCTTCACCACCAGATCAAGTTGATGATTTGGGCCCGGTTATTTTGGGAACGGGAGCAGCGTTGATCCCTATTACCGTGATCATAGCGGTGGTTCGGATTGCCACTGGGCGCATCATTTCGCGGCTGCATGTTGACGACTGTAGGCAGCACATCTCCGTGTGAACTTGGTATCTACGATAGCTAACATCAAAAGACGTGTGCCTACTCACATTATCCCTAGGCATCGCCCAATGGGCCACCATGTACCGCAGTAAGCTTCAGGTACCTACTCACCTCTCCCCTTCTCCAGATTCTGCTATCTGCTCCCTAACTCTCACAACCATCACAGTCGCCCAACTAGGCATAGCCCGCCACGCCTGGGACATCCCGCTCACGTCCATCACGCCCACAGTCTACCAAGTCTGGGCTACCCACACCATCTTAAGGATCATCTCCTTTTTCCAACACGAAAGCTCTCATCCTCACCTTTTACCTCCGTCTCTTTGGGACTATCCGCTGGGTTCGCTGGACGTGCTACACCTTTTTGGTCCTCTCAGTGATTATCTACGGTATAATCGACATCTGGTACATCGCCGGCTGTGTCCCCAGGGGTTTGAAGCTACCGGTCTGCGACGAGACTGGGCCGTTGATTCTGGTGGGAGGTGTTTTCACAGTGGTGGCGGATGTGCTGTTGTTTGGGCTGCCGTTTCCGATTATTGGGGGGTTGAGGCTGAGTAGGGATACGAAGAGTGGATTGGTGGTTTTGTTTGGTTTTGCGATTCTGTGAGTGTTCTCAACGCTCCGCTCTGTAGGTAGGCGTGTTATGAGCTCGGCTAGTTGCTGACTTTATGCCTGCTTGGGCAGTATCATCACCACAAGCACGGTCAGTTTGGCGTATAGAATCGCCATTGTTAAAAATGGGACGGAAGACCCTCCAGCTTCTTGAATCTTGGGACGGTGCCGAGGTTGCTAGTATAGTAGTACTGCGTACCTTATGATACCAATCTCCTCACCATTTACCATCATTCAGCTGACGTATGTGAACTGGTACGTGGAAATCTTTGGAACGGTCATCGTCGCCTGCGCACCAGCTTTGTATACGTTTTGGACTCGCATCCTTCGCCAAACAAGGCTCTACTCAAGACTGAGGTTTGAGTTTGGGTTCAAACGGCAAACACAACAAGACATAGGACTGGATGGGTGGAAGACCTGGCCAGCTGGGGATGGGGCGGTTGCAAGGCCGCAGAGGGCTGTTGTCGCGGAAACCGAGAGTAGCCAGGACTTGATCCAGGGGCATGGTGGGATTGGTGGAATACGGAAGACGGTGACTGTTACTCATAGTATCAGTGTTTAACAGCTACCTAAGGTACCTACCTACCCAACTACAGGCTGGGTCCTGTCAGGCGGAACCCTGGAGGTTGACGCTCGAAATTGCTTGCATCCCAATCTGCCCCCTTTATTCGTCGCTTCGAGATCACATTCTAGTAATAGACAGCCTCTCTCACGGCATCCCCGTGCCGAACCCAGACTCTAAGTCTCACTTGTACTTCGTGACCAACAAATGCAACCAAGTGCCCAAATTGCGAGGTGAAGCTTTCGCGTTAAATGTCCGGAGAGCTGGTAGAAAATGGACCAGGAAGAGGGCGTACACGACCTGCTGACAATAAATGGGAAGGAAGAAGGTTCTCTAACACTCTAGCTATCCTGTTGTAAACCCGATCACTCTATGGTTCCATTGGTTGAGAGAACATGGGTACCTCCTATATTAGGGTTGGGTTTTCCGCTCAACATACGTCGTGATGATCCCATTATGGGTTCTGTTTTCACAACAACCCAGCACATACGACCATAGATAGCTGAAAGCTCGGGATCCCGTCCGCTCTCCCCTAGATAAACAGCTAATCGCCAGATCAGTACTCAGGTGGGTGACCACTGGGGAATCCCTGGTGTTGTATGTTTTTGGCTCCATTTTGACTCCATTTTTGGTGGGGCTAGATATCCAATGTAGAATTGCGTTGGTGGGAGGCCACATGGAGTCCTCAGTCATAGCTACGGCAAACAGTTTTATTTTTATTAGGTTTGCTTCTCAAGTTCCTTCTCTTTTTACCAGTTATTTCAACAGGTGTTGATTCAGCTCTGAAGTCGTAATGAATCACTGGCACACAGCTTGCATCTGTTAGCCCGCCCCTGAATGGTTGCCTTGGCAACTGCCGTTAGGTCCCTCAATACTCTCTTCAATCAAACGAAGCTCGGTTTAAGTCAGTTGACGTTGTATCCTACACCGTCATTACACTCGATGACTGCGAGTCCCCGAAGCATCCTAATTACACCGGCCGTAGCCCCTTTGACACCCTGTCGCGCAATGGGCACTCGTCGTGCCACAGAAACCCCCCGCGCTGCAGCACTGGTTGTTGAAGTCACCGCCGTTGCATGTCCACCCGCCCTTGCTGGGACCGCAGCTGCCGTCGACCGAGGGAATGTTGGTCGTGAGACACGCGTTGGAGAAGCTCCTTTGACTGTTTTTGAAATCACATTAGCAATCAGTCCTTACGTCAGTTGTGTTGGTTGTTGAAAACAATACTCACCATCCTTGTCCGCAATGATTCGCCGTCGCGCCACAATTTCCAGTCGCCGAGCAGCAGTTTCCAAACCCGGAGCCAACACACGTCTTGCCATTCAAGCCGCATTTGCCGTCCGTCGAGATCGTCCCGCTTCCACCGCTGCAGGTACCGAAGGACGCCTGGCAGCCCGCTTGGCAGTGGTCGTTTGCGCTTCCGCAATACCCGCCAGAGGAACAACAGTTCCCGAAGCCCGATCCTGTGCATGTCTTGCCGTTGAACGTGCCGCATCTTCCATCGGTGGAGATGGTGCCGCTCCCGCTGCTACAGGTCCCAAATGACGCTTGACAACCCGCTTGGCAGTGGTCGTTGGTGCTTCCGCAGTAGCCGCCGGCCGAGCAGCAGGTTCCGAAGCCCGATCCGGTACACGTCTTGCTGTTGAAGGTGCCGCACCTCCCGTCGGTGGAGATAGTGCCGCTTCCCCCGGAGCATGTGCCAAAGCCGGACTGACAACCGGCGCCGCAGTGGGTGGTGGTGCCGCCACAGAAGCCGGCAGTAGAGCAACAGTCTCCAAAGCCAGATCCGGCACACGTCTTGCCGTTTCTGGTGCCACACTCCCCGTCGGTAGAGATACTGCCGCTTCCGCTCGAGCATGTGCCAAAGCCGTACTGACAACCGGCGCCGCAGTGGGTGGTGGTGCCGCCACAGAAGCCGGCAGGAGAGCAACAGTCTCCAAAGCCAGACCCGGCACACGTCTTGCCGTTTCTGGTGCCACACTCCCCGTCGGTGCTGACGTTGGACTCGGTGCAGGTGCCGAAGAGAGACTGACAACCGGCGCCGCAGTGGGCGGAGGAGTCGCCGCACCAGTTGGTGGCGGAGCAGCAGGAGCCGAAGCCCGAGTTGGTGCAGTTGTAGAGGTTTGGGTAGCCGCAGGAGCCGTCTGGAGAGGGCACACCGGTCCAGGGGACGTTGCAGTTGCCGTAGCCTTGCTGACTGTTTTTTTTTGTAAGAGATGATGATCCCCAAGACACTGAAGTGGGCGTGAGGTGACTTACCAGCCATCACCACAGGCTGCCTGGAAGCCGCAGCGGCCGTCGGCACCGCAACAGGCTCCCCAGGTAGGTGTGCATACCCAGTCGTCGGACATGTCAGGGCCGCAAGAGCCATCCTCTGTGATGGCACCGTTGTGCCATGGTGGGGGATCGCCGGGGCTCTGGCAAAGGACACCGGCGAGGTGTGCGGTGGTGATGCCGAGCAGGGTGGTCACGCTGGAAAAGCGCATGGCGAGGGGCGCTGAAAAAAAGGCTTAAGGCAGTGCTTGTGGTTTGTGTGAGGAACAAAGGGTTTTAGCGGGGGATATAGTCGAGATATGTCGGTCACCTCCGCTTCGCGCTTTTGCTCGGGCCCCGGGGCATGACTTCAGTTCCTAGGGGGAAGTGATGTTCCCGATCCCTGGTTGAAGTCGCCTGATCATTTCGCTCGGGCGGTTGCCTCGGCCCTTGGACAAGCAGTGTCGACCAAGAATCTCCGAATTATCACGGTCTAGATGTCATCTCGGTAACATCGGGCCGGCGAGGTTGCTGTGACCGGGGTTGGAGTGTTCGGAGCAGACTGCCCTAAACCCTTCGCCGAAGATCATAGTTTGTAAATCCTCAGCACTAGAGTTTTTTGAATAAGTCCGACCCCTGTCAGTGGGTCACTAGAGAATCCCATCACTCTTCCTGTGACAGGTTCGATTTAACGGAACAAGATGACTAGTGGCAACCTCAATCCCGATTATCCGGTAACGACGGAGCTTATAAACATGTTTACATGGCCTCCCTTTCAAGATTTCGTCTGAAGTGCTCCAAGGCTTGACTCAACGATGCCTCGCGGAGGGGGAAATCACCTCAGCACTGCCCTCTGGGTAGCTGCAGCGGTCTTTCTTTTTTGCCTCTCGCCTTTCCTCTTTTCCGAAACTGCCCCTCACAGCAACATCATACAACGCTCAACAACAGATGCCCCTATCGACTCTATCATTGCCCGCCGTGACGCGGCCGCCATCCCCGATTCTCGCCGTAGCCCAGGCCATTCCAACCCCCTCAAACTACCTCCCCATGAGCCTCTTTTGTTTGAGGAGCCCTCTGTCTCTGAGCCAGAGCCATCATCGAGCAGCAATCTGACACGGCGGTCGGCAAGCCTGTCCAGACGCGACGGTCCGCTGTACTGTCACGATGGACCTTGCATTGACGGCAGCTGCTGCGGCCCCGACAACATCTGCGGCTTTGGCCCCGACTTTTGCGGAGAGGGCTGCCGGTTCAACTGCACTGCCACGGCCATGTGCGGAGAACACAGCGAGTTCGGACAGATGCCCTGCGGCATGAAGCTGTGCTGCTCATCCAGCGGCTGGTGTGGGGTGAGTACCTACCTACCTAACCTACCTTCCCTTGTCCAAGATGCTGATAGCTACATGTACGACTAGTCCACCGAGGTGTACTGCCACAACGCCGACCCGCTGCGCGGCACTTTGCCCTGCCAGGCTGGCTACGGCTCCTGCTACATTACCGGCCCGCCCTCATGCCCCTACGGCGGCGGCACCACCAGTGGCCGTCACATCGGCTACTACCAGTCATGGAACGTGCGTAACCGGCTCTGCAACAAGGTCTCTCCCAGGCAGCTCAACACCACTGGCTACACCCATTTGTTCTATTCTTTCGCGTCCATTGACCCATCTACCTTCCGCATCGCCCACGCCCACCCGGATGATCCCGCCATGATGCGTGAGTTCACCGGACTCGCTAAACCGGGTCTGAAAACCTGGATCGCCATCGGTGGCTTCGACTTCAGCGACAAGGGGACGCCCACTCACCGCACATGGAGCGAGATGGTCGCCTCCCGTGACCGCCGAGCCGTCTTCATCTCGTCAGTGAAGGACTACATGGATGAGTATGGCTTCACCGGCGTCGACATTGACTGGGAGTACCCTGGTGATCCGGAGAGAGGTGGGAACAAGCTTGCCGACACGCAGAAGCTCGTCCTGCTGATGAAGGAGATGAGGGCCGCGTACGGCAGCAACTACGGCATCAGCCTGACGCTGGCGCCTGACTATTGGTACCTGCGCTGGTTCGACGCCAAGGCGATGGAGCCCTACGTCGACTTTTTTGGCTTCATGGCCTATGACTTGCACGGCCCTTGGGATGCCGACGTCAAGGCCCTGGGCAGCAAGGTTCGCGGCCAGGCCGACATTCGCGAAATCTCCGAGAATACAAAGCCGCTGTGGTTTGACGGCCTCAATCCCGCCAAGCTGAACTTTGGTCTCGCCTTGTACGGACGCGGCTACACCCTGGCTGACCCGACCTGCAACCAGCTCTTGTGTCCCTTCGCTGGCGGAAGCAACCCGGCCCCTTGCACCAACTTTGAGGGCGTCATGTCGCTCCACGAGATTCAGCAGCTCATCGATCGGAAGGGCCTCACTCCCCAGTACCTTCCCGACGCGATGATGAAGCAGATCACATGGGATGACCAGTGGATCGGCTACGACGACGACGAGACCTTTGCCGCCAAGAAGGCCTGGGCAGACTCGAGATGCTTCGGCGGCACCATGGTCTGGAGCATCGACTTTCAGGTGGCTGGTTCTGGTGATTCAGATGACCAGAAATACGGCGACGTTGTCTACATCGGCCAGGAGGTGTTCGAGACACCTGCGGCCCAATGCCCAGCCCCGTGTATCATGGTCTTCCCCTCCAGCTCGCTGCAAGAGCCCAAGGTCCTCACAATGCAACCGTACACGGCCACGCTTGAGGTTGGCACCACCACAACCACTATCGTCGCTGTCAGCACCCCAAGCACAACCACCGTCTCGGTCGTCAACTTTTTCAACCACTACATTACCAGCGGACAGCCCGCGGGGGCCGTAGTCACGCTACGACCAAGCATCCAGCCGCCTCCCCTCATGCTTGTGGTGACCGGTCAGGACAGCGAGACAACAACAAGAACAGTCCTACCCCCGCCCCTTGGTGGTGCCTTTTCCGGCGGCGGTGGTGGTGGTGGTAGTGGTGGCGGTAGCAGCAATCCGACAAGCTCTCCTACCACGACCATCAACACCACTTACACTCCCCGGCCCCCCAATGCTGGCGGGCACACAACAACGATTGCCATGCCCACCAGCCCAGTGGAGGATTCTGACGATTCCGACGACGACGATAATGACCCCCCTGTGCTCCCAGGCTTTCCAACGGGCACTGTTGACCCCGTCGACGAAGAAGACGACGATGATCCTCCCCCTCCTGGCAAGACACGCCTCAAGTGCGACCTCTGGTTCTTTAACATCTGCATCAACTGGCCCGAGCTCGGCATCAAGATCGACTGGTGGGATGTTGAGCTGCCCACAGGCCGCCACGGACCGGGGACCATGCCCCTTGGCTATATCAACCTCCCGGGTGGATGGCACATCGGCTGCGCGAACCCTCCCTGCTCGCTGCCGTGGCCCGAGATCGACATCCACCCCGGTGGCGGCTTACTCGCTGTCACCCCCGCCGCACCGACGCCGTGCAAGCCGGTAACCGCGACGCTCACTATCTCGACCACTTCGTACGCCACGACAACCACCCAGGGCACCGTCCGGACTATCTCGTCCCGCACCATGTCCAGCGAGTTTCCGATCCTGGGGTGCGCCCTCACCGACCTTACCGTTAGCGTGTCTAAGACCGCCTGCGCCTCGCCGCAACCTACGCCGAGGTCCATCGGGGAGAGAGATGACACTCTTGATGATGACGACTGTGAAGACGACGACGAGTGGGCTGATTTCGCTCTCGTCCTCAACAATCCTTTGAGCAAGATCAGCGGAGCCCTGCGGGCGGAGCTTGAGGATGCTGTGTCTGGCCAAGAGCTGGACGACTGGACAGTCATCACGATCGACGACCCGGTCTTCACAGCATTTATCTGGCTGTATGACGCGAGAAAGGCTTATGGTCGAGGACTAACGGGGTCGTATGGGGTAAGCTTTTTATATTAACCAGATTACCTAGGTATACTTCCATCTGCAACGCGGCTAACCACTCCACCTTGTTTTATAGATTGGCTCGGTCCATATGATAGAACACCCGCCGCGGCGGGAGGACTCGCCCCCGGGATCCCCCTCGTCGTCTTCAAGGATGCGACGACGACACAGTCGATCCTCACCTGGCTCTCGCCGAGGTGTGCAAAGTCGGAATAGGAACGAGACAGCAGCATTGGCCGTCGGCTATCCGGACCAACCCATCTCCCCCAAACGCAGGATCGTTAAGCGGACGCGCAGCGAGATGCGCAACTACGCCATGGCCCACCTCAGCATCCCGCCCGAAGTCGAGTTTGCGAGCAACGACGAGTACTTCAAAGAGGGCGACGACCGAGACCGATACTACTACCAGCGAGACGCCTCTGAGTGCCAGGACCAGGACGTCTACCTGATCGAGAGCGGCTACCAGACGGACCACCCGCACTTCCTCCCCCTACGCCAGAACGGCCACCAGGAGACGCTGCCCCGGCACCTGTCGTCGTGGTGGGACGACAATCTAGTCTGGTACCCCGACCACCCCACCGGGGTGGGCTCCGTCATCGCAGGCCGCTACACCGGCGTCTGCCCCGAAGGCAAAGTCAGGCTCATCGGTACCGACGTACCTCATAGACGGTGGGATGAGGGCACGGATTCGCCCGTCTGGGCCTGGATGCTCATCGATGCTCTGACTACGACGCTGGGGCGGGTCAAGTCCAACGGCCGCGGCACCAAGTCGGTTATCAATATGTCGTTCAGCATGATCGTGTTTAATGAGCCGATGCGCAATATGTTGAGCACGCTGCTCCAGCAGCTAGACAGCCTCGGCGTAGTTATCGTCGTTGCGTCTGGCAACCACCCAGATTGGCACAACGCCGATTTAGTGCCGCCGCCCGCTCGCGACGTCTGGCCTCGCGGGGAGGCACAGGTCCCGAACATTATCTTGGTCGGCGCGACCGATATCCACGGCCGCAGGGGTATCTTTTCCCAAGCGTGCGAGGTATACGCGGCGGGCGTGGATGTGGCCGTCTCCCTCCTGGGCGGCGGCGACGACGACTTCGAGGTGGTCAACGGGACGTCTTTTGCGGCGCCGGTCGTGTCGGGCTTAGTGGCGTACTTGCGCGCCCTCGTCGCCATTAAGGATCCCAGCAGACTCCGTGAGTTCGACGACCCGGCCTACGTCAAGGAATTTATATGGAGTAACCAGCGGCGTGTCCTGTACGACGACTACACGGAACGCAACCCCGAGCCGGGGCGCTACGCTAACAACGTGAAGCGCACTAGGTGGGTGCGTTCAGTGTGGAACGGTCAGTCGGAATCGGACAACCAGTGCTACTTCGGGGACTCGCTTCCAGCCGAATGTGATACGTACCCCGAAGACCTTGATGACGGTCCTGACGATAGGTATCATTTCGGGCAGGAGGACGACCAATATGGGGATGATGATGATTGTTCGGGGAGCGGTTCTGATGGCGGATCTTGGGACGGCTCGGATCCCGGCTCAGACTTGGCCCGTAGGCAGTCGAGGAAGCGACAGGCGGGCGGGCAGTGTCCCGTACCCGGGGCACCGGGTAACGGGGGTGGTGGCGGTGGCAGTGACGGCGGCGACGTTGGAGGGCAGGACCAGCTCGGCCCATCCAAGACGTTTACTTACCAAATTGGCACTCCCTCCCCCACCTGCACCACCGGATGCGGCGTTCTTTGCACCGACTTCTGGTGCCGGCCCGATCACACCGGACAGCCGCCGCACTTTACCGAGCCCACCCGCCTCCCGCCGTCCACCATCACCCCTGCGCCGACAGCCGTCGAGCCGATCCCCTCCAACTGCATCTCCTCCACTACCACAAGGATCTGCTACGGCGACCGCCAGGGTCAGATCTGCGCGTCAGCGACGGTGTGCGTCGCCACCCCATGCCCGGACGGCTCCGTCTGCAGCATCACCAGCCCTGTTGATGGGAGCACCCCCAGTCCCACTACTAATGAGGATCTGCCTCCACTCCCGGCACCAACCTCCCTATCCTGCCCCCCGCCCTGGTTTTCCACCACATCGGCCTCGTGCGGCGGCAGCGGCGGCAAGTCGGCCTGCGTGACAACTACCGTTTGCGCCGTCACACCGACCTCGACACCGGTCTACGAGCTCACCATCATCCCGTCGTGTGGAGGCAACTTGCTGTGCGTCTCCAGAACCGCGTGGGTCAGCTGCACGGGCGGCGTCGCGGCGCGCGAGCTGCCCGAGCCGACAACAGTGTCAGCCTTTGGCACGATCCCGACCAACCTTGCCCCCCACCAGGACCACCAAGGCAGCGGGGAGGAGAAGCGTGCCGCGGTAGCAGCAGCAGCAGCAGTCAAGTACCCTCGACGGCCACCCGCGGGCCGTCCCGTCCTCGCACCAGCCGCGCCCGTCGTCAAGGACCTCTCGCCAGCCGCCCCCCCGGCGCCCCCCCAGATCACCGACCACGCCGTCCTCCAAGCCCGCCAGGCCGGTGGGGAGGTCTGCCACGTCACCGTCTTCTGCAACGTCTGCGAGTCCCCCCCCAGGCCGTCGCCCGCGCCCCCGCCGCCGCCGCCCGACCCGTGCATCAAGATCAAAATGACCGAGGTCATGACCGGGCTCAACCTCAACGGCCTCCAGTACGAGGCCGAGGTCACCCTCAACGGCAAGCGCGTCTGCAAGGTCGACTCGCGCTGCAACGAGCTCGCCAGCAGCACGGACGAGTGCCTGGGGGTGAACGGCAAGCGCGAGTGCTCGGACGGGAACCGGATCGACACGTGGAACACCAAGCACTTTGCCATCTACAGCAAACAGAACGACAAGGTGTACGACGTCGATATGAAGGTGCAGGTGTTCGAGGGCGTGTGGGACCCGTGCAACGGGGCCGGGTTCATGTGCATCGCGACCGTGTTTAGGGGGCAGACGGGGAAGTGCTGAGACAAGGGAGCATGCATTCTGTTGCAGGAGGGTGGTTGGGGGGTTGTTTCTAGGGCATTTACCTAGATATATAATCTTGGAAATCAGCAAGTACATACATACCTACCTATAACTTGAATGTTTGAACTACGGAGTGCATGATCTTGTTGAACTTTCCAGCATTCCTGGATGGATACCCCTGAATGTTGCCGTGGCAACCACCAGTTACTATAATATAACCCTGGTTTGTTTGTCTAGCGCGGTACAGCCAAGGTCACTATCACCACAATTGGCAATTCTTCCAGAACTCCCACACAGAAAAAAGGGTCTATTCGGAAAAGACCCCAGCAAGCGACAGCAAGCCCTTGACAGTTCTTTTTCTCAGGTTTCGGTACGATTTCTGAGTGGTGAGAACCCCCTTGAAATTTTCCACCCGAGGTACACGCTAGACAAACAAACCAGGGCTGTATTGTGAGTGAAGGAAGAAAAGAATACTTTTCAATCTTTAATACTACGTCTCCGGCGACACTGCAATACTGGATAAGTTCCGACCACTGTCGTGCATTACCATGAAGACAATAACCCCCGTGATAGTGACCTGTAGCGTGGAGAGAGCCGAACTAACCAACCCTTGAGCACCTAAAACAGCTGTCGATGTTGCACTGAAGGTCGTGGCCACGCAACCACTGTGCGAGTCTGTTCCGTGCGCAGAGAAAGAGCCATCCCGTTTTTCGGCGGCTGCGGCTGCGGATGCAATGTCGTTGTTTGTTTTGGCGAGGTCGATGTTGGTCCTGGCGAGGTCATTTGCAATCCTGGCTTCTCCGAGGGACATCATCGTTCCAATCATCGATATGAATGAGCATATACCGCCCAAAATAACCAGAACCAAACTAGTAAAGGCAATCCAAAAGGTCCACCACCCACGTTTATTCCTTCTGTCGAACCACCATGTTTTGATGCCCCGCGGGGAGGCATTGTCGAATGCTTTCTCCAGGGCTAGCAGACGTGGTTGCCAATATCGAAAGCCTTCCACTGCTCTAGACGGCTCAATGGAAGGGCCGTCCCACATGCGTTGTTCTCGTAGAGATCTGGCGATTGCCCTGCGAGGTACTTTCTGTGGCATGCGAAATTGTTCGCCTGCTCTTGCATCAATGTCGTAGAGGCGGTATTTGGGGCCGTAACCAGCTTCAGGCCAGCAAACCACATTTGACTTGTGTTGCCTTATCTTGTTGAACCAGCCCTGGGAATCACTGTCGGTGGGTATCAACAAGCCAATAGTCCTTAGGGTTTCCAACGCGAGTTCTCGGTAAGGATTCCCTCCACTAGGTAGTCACAGCGTCTGTGTTAGCTGACTATCTGTATGGTAGCTGGCAGCCATGACAAGATTGATTCGGCAGGCCCGGTGGCAGTGAGAACCTTACCTGCTATCTTCGAAAAGCCACATCTCTCGGAGCACAGTGGCGTGGTGAAAGAAGTAGAGTCTCGGTTTGAAACTGGACTTGTCATTCGCGATGACATGGAGATGCTGGAGGACATTGTCTCGCCATTCGTATGTGAAGGCGCATAACTTGGACATGCTCGGCAATGTAAGTAATTCGGAAAAGTCTCTTTTAAGCGAGCGAGCGATCCAGCGAAATTCCACATGCCAACCTCAGCACCACTATTGTACACCGCGGTTATTCTGCCCCCCACGAACCAAACACAACTAGCGCACCGGCCCCATTAAATAGCCTGCCAACTCAACCGCTGAACCGCCGTCGACACTTGTCGAGCTTGTCAGGCGGGAAGGGAGTGCTGGTGGCTCTTGGCAGGGCACTAGCACCGAACATTGAGGGAAGAAAAATACCATGAGGATGAAATAGATGATGCAATATCTGCGCGTGAATCAGGCTTGATTGCTTTGTTTGAGGCTGTGCTGAGAAGTAGGTAGCTAGAAGGGGTAGGGAGAGGATGGGAGGGTGGTATTTGGGTCCGAGTCGAGGGCAAGGAGGGAATCGATGACTGGTGCTCCGTTGTAGGTACGTTGCAGAGGAAGAAGCTGATGAGAGGAAGTTGATTAACACCGGGGACATACCTACTGATCAACAATTTAGGAATGGAATCAGAGCAAAGAGGTTAGAAAGAAGGCGGAGTAGAAAGGAACCGAAACACTGCCTGTACTTGATTCTGACACCAAAGGCGCCTTTTCTTTGCCCCCTTCCCTCCCCCCCACGCATTGATCCCGCATCACGACTGTGTCAGCTAAAATCCCAAAGAAAACCAGCTTTCGCACACCACACCATAGGTACCTAGACTTCGCCATCCCGCCCCTCAAAACCTCAACACCAACAAACATCCTCCTCCTCTCGCCCCATCGTACCCCCCCGCGCCAACCTCAAACTTCCAGGCAGCGTCTGCTCAAGCACAGCCACAGCACCATCAATCTCGATCTGCTATCATCACTCACCTTCTTCAATCCTGTCTCGTGGTCGTGATGATTGCAGCGTGCTGATGCGGAAGGTGACCAACCGCGGCCGAACCGGCTGCCAATCGTGACACGGAGCCAGGGCCCGAAAGCTCCGCCGAGACAACCACATCCCACTCTGTCCTTCATTGTGGGGCTCAGTCTTGCTGTGTAGATCTCGCGGGCCGGGAGCCGCGATCTTTGAGACATCATGGTGCCTACGTAGGTATGCGTGATGTTTTGAGGTGAGCAAGTTGATGAGCCGCAAGGGATACGTGAGATAACCTGTGCAACATTTGTGGGCACAGCTTGGAGTGTACGCTATGTGTACCAAGAAGGCTTGCGATGGAAGAGATTGTCTATGATGCGAATGGTTTGCTAATTACTTCGGGGGAGGGAAATGCTGATGGAGAGGTCGTGTTGTCGTCTCACACGATGTGGAAGTCTCCTGAGAGATGGTGGGGATAGCCATCGCGATCGGGGAGATTGTCTCTGTCTGTTGTCAGGATGGAGGCCTGATAGCCTCGCTTGTAGCCCAACGAAGCACCTTCGTCATTTGGGTGACCGGGTTGACGGTACGTTTGACGAAGTGGCCAAGAAGCAGGCATCGAGATCATGCTCGGGTTGCCTGGTTGGCGACTTTTGGAATCGTGCAAGCCTTGGATGAGAGGGCTATGATCGGCTGCCGGCATTGTGGGAATGAAGGCCCCATACGGGGGGTGACGCACCTCCTGGGTGATGCAGCTGATGATGACTTCTTGCGTGAGCGCAGTTTCCGGTCTTGGTTGTGTGTCGTCGCTCAATAATACCAACCAGGGAAAGATAGTGTGGAGGGTTCACTCCAGCGGACAATAAAGCCGAACTTATTAATGACTGGTACATATTCTCGGAGAAGAACTCTATTCTCTCTGATCGTCCTCACGAAGACTATTGACATCCTAATTCGGTATGTTTCATAGCTCGTTGGTCGACCCGTCTCTGGCCTTTTCAGCTTGTGATATGCATGCAGGAATCCCAATTCAGCGGCTCCCAGCATTTCTATTGGATTATAGCCAGCTGAAAGCCGACTTATGAGGCCGCGACATGTACATCTTTCCGTGCTGATCTAGAGAATAAATTACATGTACATATAGAAAAAAGCAACACATTCATCGGAAGCTCACAGCTTCGCCTTTTCTTGCCCACCTTCTCCACTCTCCGCCTCTGTGTCATCATACTTGATAGACATGAACTTCCCAGGATAGTACTTGGCAGCCCACATCTGCGCCAGCATCTTCTGATCAATATCCTTCAGGTAGTAGTTGATGGGAACGCCGGAATCGCCCTGTGCCGCTTTCTTCAGATAGTCATCCAGCGCCGTCATCATCGAGTTGACGTCCAGAATCTTGTTCTTGCCGTCGTCGATGGTCGCCAGTGCGCTCAGCGAGGCCTCAATGGCCTTGCCCTGCATCTCGGAGGCCTGGCCACTCGTTCGGGAGGCCTCGGCCATGGACTGCACCGTGGCCTGCTCCGATGAGGTCGCGTTCTGTATGGCGGCGACGGCTTCCATGTTGGCCTTTGGGTCGAAATTGGCAAACTTCTCGACCGCAATCGAGACTTCGTTGGCCACCATCGAAGGGATCACGCCCATGGTCAGGACTGTCACGTGAGACTGGACGTTCTGCTGACTGAGGAGGTTCTTGACGTCGCTGGCAAACTTGGCGTTGACGCCGACCTTGCCCTCGGCTTTGGCAAACCAGGCACCCGTGTCCATGGTGCGCTGCATGGACATGGCGGCTGCCTCCATGGACTCGGAGGCGGAGGTGTGGGTGGAGTTGAGCACGTGGACCATGCCGATGAAGCTCGATCCAAAAGTGGTGCCCGAGATGATGGAGAATTTCTGCTTGTCTTCTTGGCTCTCGTTCATGGCGCACTTCATCATGCTGGTACCGCTTGTCGGATCTAACTTCTTGCCAGGGAAGAGATGGTTCCACACTTTGATGGCCTTGTCGATGTGCAGCACGAACGGGGCCACGATGGATGCATTCTTGTGGGTGCAGCTGACCGACAGCACGAGCGTGCCCTCGATGCTGTGCGAGCTCACTTGACGACTGACCTGGCGCGAAGCTGCGGTGCCGATCTTCATGGACTGGGTCGTGCCGAACACGCTGCTGACGGCCCCCGATACGTACGAGGCGATCTGCGCGCTGTAGGCAGCTGAGTTTTGGGAGTTGGAGTCGAAAGAGAAGTACTGCACGTCCATGTTCATGGTGTCGGCGGCAAGTGGCATTGTCTTGATCTCGCTGCGCAGGTAGTCGACAGGGCTTTCGATCTGCCTGTGAACCGAGTGTATTTTCTGGCGCAGTTGCATGATCTGAGGTTCGGCAGCCATTTTGGCAGTTGCATACGTGACCGCGGCCTTTTCCACCGCGGCGTTCAGCTTCTTCAGCTCTTCATCCAGAGCATCAGTCCCGATGCCCAGGTTTCTGAGTTCGGTCTTGGTCATGGTCAGGCCTCTCTTGGAGGAAATGAGAGAGTTGAGAGCATCATGGGCAGCATCAACGGGTGATTGCAGCTTTGAGATGGCTTCGACATTAGTGAGTGCCTCTTCGCTCACCACGCTCATCAACACAAGACTCGGGTCGTAGGGTATGGAGGTAGGCATGGTGTTTGGTTTGCTGGGCCAAGGTATGTAATAGAAGTATTGTAGGTAAATGAAGGTGTACGGCGGATCTTCAAGTTTGGAAATCACGGTCACTCGGACCCTGCGGTGGGAGCTAAAGATGGAGCAGGTGAAATATGGGAAGCAGGAATCACCTGGTTCATAACCGCCTTCAAGCAAGCCAACTTGGCAGAACACATCTTCAGATCCGCCCTGTCTTGATCACCTGATCGCCCATCTGCAAATTCCAAAGCGACATTATCTTTGTCCTTCAGGCAGCCACGGAAGCGCTGTTCTAGGCCAGAGTCCGGGTGTCTATATCACAGCTGAAAAGACCAACAGTCGATCAACAGGACAGGAGTACCCATATCGAGTCCTACCTACAGCCTCTAGAACGTGATCTAGGCCGTGATATGTAACTGGGAACCTCTTATCCGAGCGCCGGGGGGTAACACATCTAGGCTCGGTTGCGTGTACACCAGTGTTATTGGAATCTGGACCCAACACTATTGAAGTTTACTTCACCGGTTCAAGAAGTGAGTCGCGTGCTCTTTCAGAGCTTATGGTGGAACCATCTTCATCACCTCCAGTGTGACACAACGTCCCTGTGTGGAAGAGGTTTTCCTTCATTAATTCGAGAGGTGTGTGTCACATTGGACGCAGTGAAACCAACATGCCTGGTTTAAGTATAAGTCGCCTTTTAGCGTGCCTTTCCGGAGCTGATCGCGAAGTTATTTCAAATTGCTAATAGTCTAATACGACGTTGGTACGATTAGGAGGTTCATCTGAATGGAAGAGATGTCGTCTGGACTCGACGCTAGTGAGAACAATACCTATATTCTGCGGGCGGTTAGCCCGGACGAGAACCAATGCAGGTACTGGTGTGATTACATGCATTTATCACGGGTAGGTAAGGTACTCTGCTGTTTGGAGGGTTGCATTGGTGAGGCTGATCCCTTCCTCCAGGCCCAAATATTGGTTGACCGTGAAGGGTCTGGACCCCCACCGTTCACAAGTCGTAACTTGACAGGGGCTGATGATGCACGTCATGCCTTTCCGAGCAGGTCTCAGCCAGCCCAACGTCTTTCAGCCTCCCTGCTAAGCTTGTTTCGGATCGATTGAACCGTCTAAGTGAAGCTTGCAGCTATATGAGAAGCATGAGCATATCATCATGTCCACACGACAAGCTTCATCACCTTTGCCATCGCATTTACGAACAGCTATTATGTCCAGCCTGAACTTACACACCATGTACGAAGAGATAAACGCAACAAGTCTTGAGACGTCGACCACGTCTGAAATCATCTACCCAGTCGCTGTCCAACGAAACAGCGCCGCAATGGCGCTGGGGCCCAAGACCGCACTGCCAGTGGGCAGCACAGACCATTTACTCTTCAGATTGGAGAAGTAAGTATACCCGAAGCAAATAGGAACCAAAAGAGAGACTCCCCCTCACACCACTCTCAATTCCAGACTCTTCAGACCCACCAAGGATCTCGGTTCCGTCCTCACCACTTTCAACTACTTCCTCTATCTCTTGGCTTACTTCGACGCCAAAGCCCACAATTTCAAGTCGCAAGCCCTTTCCCTCGTCACCAAAAATGCCTCTATCGACGGTGCCCTCGCGGGGGCGACCGCCCACCCCGAGGGCTCAGCCTTTGCCAAACTGGGCGCGGTCGTCTACAACGCGCGCACGACCCTGCGCCTGTTCGGCCTGCTCCCCCTCTACGTGCGGGCGAGGAAGCTGATGAACGACTCGAAGGACATGGACAAGGTGCTCTGGGCCGTTTCTGCAGTCCAGTGCTCCCTGTTCACCATCTTCCAGTTCCTCGAGAACGTGGCGTTTCTCACCGAGAACGGTGTGCTGTCGTCCCGTGGCAGGGTGGGTCAGGCGGGCGGGCGTGTGGCGGCCACGTACAAGCTGGCGCATCGTGCCTGGTTCCTGGGCCATGTGTGAGACTTTGCCCGCTTGATGCGCGAGGCGCAGATCTTCTTCCGCAGGAAGCATATCGACAAGGACGACATTACTGAGGAGGAGGCCGTGAGGGCGTCCGAGTGGTACTACGACTGGATTCGCCCGCTGGCATGGCTGCCGATCGGCTGACAGCTCTCGGCGTGGACCGAGGACGGCATGTCGGGCAAGTTTAGCAACTTGGGACTTCGGGGCGTCGCCGGTGTCTTGGCTGATCTGAAGAGGACGGCTACGCTTTGGCATGCCACCAAGGAGGTTTGAGTCGCATCAGATTCACAGGCCCTTTGGGCATTCACTTCGCGCACCCCTACAGATATCGGCTCTAGTTGGGAGGCTTTGGGAATGACTTGTTCTGTCTATACTTTCTTCTTTGCTGGCAACTTTGTTCTGTTTCCCCTTCCAGTCTCAACCTTCTAGTTTGTACACAAATACTTAGTTTTATCTATATTCTTGGCTTTTCTCTGAAGTGTCCATCGACTTTGTCATCTCCAGTAGGTAGTTGCATCAGTGGCACATCCTCTTTCGTGTATGGACGCCAGTGGCAAGCCGGAATCATTCGATCGAAATCATCTTCTGGAAGCACCTTCGACTAACGTGGAGAGATGATTCTTCCCTCGACCATCCTGTATGCTTCACTTTGTCACGGAAGGGCAGTTCCAGGGTGGTCTCCATCGGGCTTGCCACTCAGAGTGCTCAGGGCCACGCCTGAGAACGAGAGATCAATAGTCAATCCAGACAGACGATAACCATTACTGAATCTGGAGTATGACCGCCGCTAGGAGGGCGCGTTCTCTTCAGCTGGGACGGAGTGGCGCTTATGCAGCTGTATCTCCGTGCCTGTTAAATGCGATATGACCTCGCTGCGCGTGGAAACCTGTTTTCTTGGTACCTAGGTAGTATAGAGGCTCCTCTAGTCTAGACCCGACGCTATCAAATTCAGGTGTGACCATTCCGACCATGATCGGCTTCTTGGCATACTCTCCCTGAGCTATTGGTCAATAGATGAGCTTGCGTGATTCATTTTCAGTGATATCGGAAAAGGGTGGGGGGATTGCTGCGGCGCTGGTGGCAATATTAGACGACCCGAGCCGCACGGTTCACTGGAAAGAGTAAGAGGTTCGTGCCGTTTAACGATTGCTGCAGATTGGGCAGGTTACATCCGTGATCCTGGCTATAAGACCTGGGATACTTTGGTCGTGACACACCCGAGTAGGTAAGGTGCTGGGGTTTTCTTTCAGCTGGTAACAGACTGGTGGAGGTCCCTGGCTTGAACAAAATCGGTCGGTCATATTGGATGAATTGAACACGTCTGGTACCTACCTACGTACCTTGCGCAGTCCAGCGCGCGATCAATTCTTACGTACGCAGAGCCTGGAAGACACATGATAGCAGCTCGAGGCTATATATACGATGGCACAGCAGAGCAGCAGTGCGCCCGCCGCTCACCAACTCTCGTGGTGGCTTACATGTAACCGGGCATCGTATAAAACACCTTTCATCGGGCTTGCTGCTTGTAAACGCAGATTTTCAAGCTTTCCCTTTGTATTCGACACAATTTGCCTTGCTTCATCACTATGCAGAAGAGAACCCAGAAGCCGTCGACTTACCCACCAAAGGACAACGTTGCAAAAAAGGTGAACAAGTCGATCACCAAGCGCTCTCTACAACCCCCCCAGCATAACAGCAAGCAGAAAACCACGCAGAACATCAGTCCAACCACCAAGGACATCAAGCAGAGCAATAACCGGAACTCTAAGCGCAGCAATAATGCTGGCAATGCCAAAAAGCAAGGTAAGCCGTCCAGCTGCTCATCGCCCGCCCCCCGCCTTCCTGTCACATTTCATGAAACTGATTTTTCCTTACCTAGCCTTGGCCTACTTTGTCAACGAGGTAGAATTGCCCAATGGCATAACGCACCTGCCACCTGCCACACCCCCCCCTAACTTTGACGAGCTGGGGAAGGCTGAGCCAGCATTTCTATTTCAAGGTTTGTTCGACCGGCCACCAGTACCGATTCGAATCACTTACAATGAACATCATCAGATGGCTTCATGGTCGACGGAGATCAAACTTCCATCTCCCCATACACGTGGGGAGGTGTTCCAGCTTCGGCTAAGACGGGGAAAACAACAAGATCGAATGCGCCTGTCTGGCCCTTGGTATTTTCTTTTCTGGCAGACCCTAGTGATGCGGACGCACCACTCAAGAGCAAAATCGCCATAGTCCGAGAGAAACGGTCGGACGAGGGAGAAGTCGTCAACAAAGTAAGTACCTATAGAGCTCCCTATTATGCACTCCGTTTGTGTTGACCGTTTTACCAGGATTACTCTTACAGCTTGTTCACGTATGGGGATGCTTCTCAAGAGTCAAGTCTCAAATACGTGTGCTCTGGAAGCCGCCAGTCTGTCAGTCCAGGTGGTCACCTGATAACCAATACCTTCATCCCGCTCGAAATCTTGAACACCAGGCTCTGCGGTGATTGGCCAGAGCGCCAGCAGGCATACATGAGAGACTGGCTGACGTTTTGCGGTTATATTGTCGGCCTCGAAGCGGAAAGACCCCCTAACGAACGACGCCACCCCAAGAACTTCTTGCCAGATGCCCTTTTGCCCCAGTATCAGAACCTTGAACACCTGAGAAGCATGCTAGTGGACTGGAACGGATCGCACTTGGTAGCCCGGGACAGTGCCGGGAACATCTCGAACATCGGCGCCAAATTCTTGTACGAACTGTTATTCGACAACAATATGCAATTGATGTCTGCGTCGAATCTAGCAAGGCATATTTTCAAGAGGTGGTGCCGTATGTCCAACCTGGAAATCTTCAGCCCCCTTTTCAGTGCTAACACAGCTGCAGTTGTTGCTCATAGCGCCGCCTCCTTGGCAAAGGAACCATTCTCTGTCAAGGCGCGGTACTGGAAGATTCCCAAAGACGTCATTTTGGTCGACAGAGTGGTGCTGGTGTATGACATGGTGCCTGGATTGTGGTTGTGGGACGTCCACAGTACAATTCTGGACGATGACAAACTCTCTGAGGGCCTGAAAAAGGTTTTGAAACTTTTCTGCGATGTCAACCACAGGAGTCAAGTCAGGGACCTTTGGCGGGAATTCATGGCTTTAGTTCTTAAAGCACATGCAGCCCCCCCTGACACCGCGCAGCCCATAACAGCCCGACTCCTACGCCCCGACGACAACCTGCAGCATATGGTACTACTTGGTTCTCATCCTCAAGGCTACTACAACACGTACATTCGGAGAGATCATCTGGCATCGTTAATTTCGAATGGTTATACATGGGGTAAGGGCCGTCTATTTCCCGAGCGTTTATCGCTTAATCAAATCGTGCCTTTGCCTAAAGGCCAAAGACTAACACAAGCGAATGACTTTCAATGTACGACAACGACGATTTCCAACACAAACATCAAGATTGCAGGCAACTGGCCCAGGATACGAACTCAGAATGCTGTCATGGAGAATGTTAGTGCGAACGAGGCAAGCCACCTACCTACATGCATCTCCCATCGCCACCCAGACATGGCTAACTCGGAATAGATCGCCTCTAACATATGGCGCAATGACCCTACATTGGGTCCACGGTCAGCCGAGGTAGGCACTCCCGGTCGGGAAAAAGGGAGAGGAGACTGCTATGACAACAGAAACTAACACCCCGTGACCTAGTGGCTTCATCGCTCTGCTTACTCATTTGGAGGCAGCGGCAACCCAGACTCGGCACAAGAGCCGGAAAACCTGGTCTTTGGGACATTTGAGGCAAACACCGAGATGCTCAGGTTGGCAGCCCGGACTTCCTTGTCACTTCCGCACAGCCCGAGTATCAATGCTGACAGGTTCTGCAGATTCGAGTCGTATCTGAAGCGAATCGCCGACGAGGGTGGAACGAAGGTGATCCTGGAAACTGAAGTGAAACGGGACAACAGCCGACTCGGCGGTGACAAATATGTACGATGGCTCACGCCGCAACTCTTTTACCGGTGGTACCTTGACCTCAACCAGATCTGCGGCTTCCAGGCCCTGAATAACGCGCAGGATGTAGCACGGGCAGTCAGCAGAGACAAGACTTTCAACCTCTTCTCTCGGGGCCACCCCATGCTGTTCGAGGTGGAGGTCGATGAGACTTTTGATGGGATGCTGGCAACCGCATCAGAAGATATCAAAATCTTAGTGGCCCTGTTTCTCTTCTCTCAGTCCGGGCTGGCGGCTGCTTACACCATCAACACCATGATACCGAGCCGACTCTAGATTCTACATAGGCAGCTGGAGACTGGGCTCAAACTAATACTCGTTTCGGATGACGCTAGGTTGTCAGTGGAAGGGATGGAGGCTGTGGTTTTCTGCAGCTGTTAATTGAGGATATTTTTCTGTTTCTGTTTTTGCTTTTATTACTTTCTATTTTTGATTTCGTTTGTTCAATATCTAGCTTGAAAAAACTACTCCTTATTTTTACTTTTATAACCAAACAACATGGACTGTATCACCACCTTTTTAAGGTGCCTTGATACCTTATTTCTGTCTAGGGAGGTAAGGTACCTAAGTGTGAACATCCTCCCTAAGTGGGACTCCTGGATCAGACGGAAGAGCCAGCGATGAATCGCTGGAACTGGACATTTTGGGTTGTGAATGCTTTTCATAGCACTCGGGGTCTCGATGCTATGCAATACACTGCCAATAGCAACTTCGTCACATACGTCAGGTATGTACGGCAATCTTTTCTATAAGGTAGGTAGTATTCCCGTTTTTCACTTCGCAAACTATAGAGGTACACAGTTCTTTTTAAGTGTATTGATGGCTCAGGAGCTGCCTGGTCATAATCAGTAGAGCCTGTTTATATCCGTGCCCAAGCCGCTTAGGCATCGATGACAGACACGTGTAATCTGATAACTCGCGGTCTCAAGTCAGTTTCTTCTTCCTCTCCTCCTCCCTCAACACCATCTCCATCTTCTTCAACCCAATCAAGCGATACAGCACAAAGTCCAAAATCCACTCCCCGAAGAATGTACTGGCCCAAACACCCTTGCTCCAACCCCCAGCCCAGAACCAATCGGCTCTGCCAAACCAAGACCGCAAGATCAACGGCCACTCAGGTTTAAGCGCATTGGCCACCAGCTTCTTGGCATAGTCCTCCGTCCTGACCGTGGCATTGTTCTGGCTGAACGTCAACCTCTTCTCAAAGATCTCCTTCACCCTCTGATAAATGCTCCCCTCAGGCAGCGTGCGATGGGTCTTGCTGGCAATCTGGCTCCTCACAGTACCAGTCATGCCAACGGTAACCCTCACCCCGAAAGGCTTGAGCTCCAACCGCAGAGTGCGCGAGTAAGACACAACCGCACCCTTGGAGGCGCAGTAGACAGAGCCAAAGACGTAGGGGGTGATGGCAGCCAGAGAAGCAATGTTGATGATCAAGCCCTTGGCGTTGATAAGCAAGTCGGAAAAGGCAGCGCACATGGCCATGACACCGAAAACGTTGGTCTCAAAGGTCTCGCGGACGTCGTCAATGTCGATGTCGGTGGCAGGGTGTGTGTGGGTGCGGCCGGCGTTGTTGACAAGGATGTCGAGCTTGCCGCCGGTGAGGGCCGAGACTTGGGAGTGGCAGGTCTTGATGCTGTCCGACTTGGTGACGTCGAGGGCGAGGGTGGACATGCCCATGGCGCCGAGGTCAGCCAGAACCGCCGGGTTGCGGGCCGTGGCAATGACATGCACACCTAGATTGATTTGTTAGCAAAACTGTCCCGAGAATCTGAATTCCCCATAACATCGGGTTCACTGACCCTTGGAGTGGAATTCCAGGCACAGCGCATGGCCGATGCCTCCAGGGGTGCATCTTGACGTTGGGGTCCAATGTCAGCAAATGAGCTTTCACGGGCTTCCCGCTGTGGTTGGTACTCGGGCCTGTTGGTCCTGTTGGTCCTGTTGGGGCCCGCAGACCAGCAGCAGACGCAATGAAGGGTCAGGGAAACGTACCCGGTGATGAGCACCGTCTTTTGTCCAGGCTGTGGTCCCATTTTCGTATGCTTGTGATGGGTGTCAATGGGAGTTGCGGGTTGAGCAGATGTTGTTCACGATCTTCTCGAACCCCGCCATCGACCGGAATTGGGTTTGACTTGGTCACCGAGGTGAGAGTGACCCCACTTTCACATACCGGGGCGCTCGCGACACAGGGTTAGGGTCGGGCAGCAATATCGGATGGCAAGAACAGGCAGCTAACATTTGACAAGAAGAAACGTCGTTTTTACGGGTGTTCTAGAAGCTGAATCTTCTCAAATCAGGTACCTAACGATTGTTATCCCATCCGGCTTAGAAACAAGAAGAAGATGATTCGCTGTCAACCCCACAATATGGAAAGCTGGCGCGTATGTCCGAAGGTCACAGGCGGTTTTCGTTGCAGGGCCTTATCGATAGGCTAGTGCTGTGGCGGGATCTAAAAAACTCGCTGCGGGATTGCGGGTCGATAGAAGCCCTGCATTTATGGTTTCTAGCTAAGACTATAAAAGTCAAAGATCTCCACAACTTACTCACATCCGATTCGCCTGTCCAAACGCATCTCTCGTCGAAGAGGAAAGGTCTATCTTATCAAATCACGTATATGGTGTTCAAAGTGCTCAATTCTGGTATTGTGTGTGAGAAGAGGCCCACCCCCCAGGGTGGCCCGGAGGGACCCGGTAATATACCCTCTGCTAAGGCCCCTATTTTCACATCTATTTATTCTAACACACCCCCCAGCCACCACCTTGCCAAAGGTATGGGTGCCTACTTTTGAAGCCCTGATTTTTCCACACACTCCCGTAATCCCGTAATAATCCCGTAATAATATAGTATAATAGGATACTCTTTAGCATCGCTTTCCTACTCTTTAGCTATTACTTCCGCTCCATTACCGGCCCGGTATATACTTAAACCCGCTCCCTAAGCTCTCTGGTATTCTGGCTTACTAGCTTTTTAGCTCCATTATAGGCCTATTTCGAAAAGCTCTTTCTTCCTTGCCGGGCTCTTTAGCTTCCTTAGCTTTATAGTAAATAGCCTTTTTCACTATATACCTCCGCTTTATTAAGCTTATTCCTTACCGGGTACTCTAGATCCTTAGCTTTTATTAGCTTATGGGTTTTGATAGTAGGTAGGTTAGTTAGCTAGTAGGTTTATTATATAATAGTGGTGTTAATTACTTAAAGGTATAGTTAATTGCTTAATTGAGTAGTATGGTTAATTTAGTAGTTATTTAAGTAGGGTAGTATAGTTGCCTACTTATAAAGGTAGGTTTTAGTTATTAAGTAAATACTATAGTTACTGGCTTGCCTAAGTAATGTGGTTACCGGCTCGGTTAAGTAGTAATGACTGCCCGGTTTACCTAACGGGCTTATTAACTAAGTGCCTAGGAAGGTTTTAAATTAGTTAAATAACTTAGTACCTAAGTAGGTCTTTAATAAGGTACCTAAATAGGATTTTTACGGTTTACTTAATAGCTTTATTAAATAGTATAGTTACCGGCCTACTTAAATAGTAGTAACTTATTACAACCCTAGTATAGGACGGTTGTGGGGCCACGGGAATAAGGGGCCAATCGGGAAAACGTATAGGGGAGCTAATTACAGTAAAGGAAAAGTGATCAGTGTAATTAGGGCACTAAGTAGACTAAGCAAAGTAATCAGTATAATCAAGGCACTGAGCGGACTGAGTAGAGTAATTAGTGTAATCAGGGCATTAAGCAGACTAAGTAGAGGTGATCAGTAGCCTTAGGAGACTAATTACGGCTTAGTATAAGGACTATATATACGGAGGAATTGGCTAGTATAGATAGATAGTTCCGTAGTATATAATTTAAGCTTATATTTATAGTATTTTATATTTATATCGAAATATTTTATTATATACTATTTAGCTATACCGAACTAATTATTAGAAATTACTTTTAACCTATATCCCTTTTAAAGGTTTTATATAAGAGGTTCGTTATTGTTAGCTGGTAAGCCCTAATAGGCCTATAATATAGAACCTATACTAGGTTGCTGTAAAATACAGCAGTGCGCAAGCGGAAGCGGAAGAATACGACGGCAGTGCCGAAGGAAGGTAAAGCACTGTAATATAGTGAGGTATAAGGAATAAGAATAGCCTTTATTGCCTTTGGCTTTGGCCTTTAGGCCTTAGCCTTAACTCTAAACTTTTGCCCTTGAGGAGAGAAAGAAGAGAACTATTCTACAGGAGAGGAGAGGTCTATATATAGGCCTTCGTAGGCCTACTGTGGGTCCTGTGGGCCCTGGAAGCCCCTATACTATTTTAGGTATTTAGTGGGCTTAGGTGAGTCTAGTGCAAACTCACGGAAATCTATCGAACCTTCGGTAGTGAGGGTGCCCTGTAAATTATACCATTATGGCAACTTACTACGTAAGCCTGTAGCCACTTTAGAAGGTTCCAGTAGCCTATTGGCTAAGCCTCAGGCCACAGTAGCCCTATAGGCCTTCAAGGGTCCCTTGTAAAGAATATTCCAAAAGGATCTAAGCCGGGAAGTTCCGTTACTGCTTATAGCAGTACTGCCCACTGTAATATCAATCTGTAGGGCAGTAAATAGGGCACTTAGTAGTACCTACACGTTAACAAGTTCTTACCTTAATAATTTAGAGAGAATAAAGTATAATCGGTACCCGTTATATAGAATACGCGTAATTAAAATGGATTATTTTACGGTTAACTTTTTATACCGGGAAGTATATAAAGGATTTTAAGAGGAGAGATCGAGCTAAATATAAAACGATATATATATTTAATTTCGGTTACTAAAGGAATATAGAGATTTTAAGAGCTCTAGCTAAATATAAAAACGATATATATATTTAATAGAATTAAGATTACTTTACGTTTACTAAAAAGCTTTAACCGATCTAATTTAATCCCAATATAAATAAAACTTTATAACGTACATTATCAGCGAGTGACCCATATCAGCGAGTGACCCACCTCCCACCACACCCTGACAAACTATCCTTAATTACACTACATCAACACAAGGAATTAACTATAATTACATCAGAAACAGCTGAATCAGATGCTTCTGCAGCCTCCTGGTAAGTGCGCGCATTATGGCCAGGCTTACCGCATATACCATAGCACAGAACCTTCGTACGAGCCCCCCCTAGATTACTACTATCCGGCTACGTTTCTTACACTCCCTCCCTATCCACGGCCTTCTGATCCAGTAGATCCTATGCCTCTTATATAGTAAGTGACCCTCCAAGCCTCACGCGTATTTTTTTTAGCTCTCTGGCATTTGCTTAGTACCTCATTAGCCTTATGGAGCGAAGAGACCTCTGCCTGTAAGAGGGCTACTTGGTACATTACAGCCGTTATACTTTTAGCAAGCTAGTCCACTGCAGCCAACATCGAAGTCGGGGAGTTATTTTAATAATTAGTAATTTAAGTTTTAATAAGTATTAACTATAAATCGGTTTCTCGGGGGTTATACGGTGTGACGAACCCCTGTACAGAACCTCTGAAAGGGATACTGGTTGAAGGTAACTTCTGACAATTGGTTCGGTGCAGCTAAACAGTGCACAACAAGATGTCTCAATGTAAACACTAGATACCGTGAATACAAGCTTGAATTGCATACTGCGGAACTGTCTATCTACACCAGCCAGTTCCTCCGTATATATAGACCCTGTGCCAAGCCTGGCACTGTCCTGGATCGATTGACTCGACCATCGATCCTATCGATACTGTCCCTTTTGGGATTGACTCTTCTGGATCGATCCTCGATCCCAATGATCCTGCTCTAATTGGTCCTCGCTCCTGTACTAATGATTGGCCCGTGGTGCGCCCCGCGCCCCACCAAAGTGTCAAGCCGTGACAAAAGTGCAAAGATGTCGCGTCGCGTAGAAAGTGGGTCACTCGCTGATATGGGTCACTCGCTGATAATGTACGTTATTAAGTAGGGCGGTACCTAGATTTTATAGTCAGTAGACGGATCTAGACTCTATATTTCGAGCACCTTAATATACGGTCCTGCTCCCAGACCGCAACCAAGACTTTTTTCTTCTAGAAGTTATAGCTTTAATGAGAAATTTTACTATTTCGCAAAGCCCTGCAAAGTCCGGTGTTAATTTCATTGGCATGATCCTTTAGCACACGCTGCTCGTATTTCTTCTTGATTATACGAGACAGCTCCTATGATGATTTGACTGTAGTAACTAAGCCCGCGAGAGCGGCAGCTAATGCCAAGGAACTAGGAAGGTATGCGGCCATGAGTCTTGATAAGGTAGGTATAATATAAGGTACCTAGGTATATAAGACGGGCATGAGTCTCATGCTAAGTAGGTAGGTGTTTTATATAATTAGACCGTCAGTTTTATTTGGGAATGATTCCATTTAAACTGTTCAATTTGGACATTCTGAAATGCGATCGTAGCCTCCAGTCTGCTGACAGGGGAGGGGGGTGGCACAGGCAGTCTAAGTACACACCCCACCAAAATCCAAAAGGGCAACGCATTTCCCTCGACCAGGAAGAACACCAATGGCGACAATGCCAGCGACGGTCAAGACATCGCTCCCAACAGTGACACGCCCCAATGTTCAGCAGAGAAACGGAGTGAGGAGGCCCCTGTCGTACTTCAAGTGGGCATGGCTGTTGTGGACACACGCAATAAGTGGCCTCTGGGCCGTGCTATTAAAATCTGCTTCTTGGATGGTCTCAGTGACACTCATGCCATGGTCGAAGAGGCCGCCCGAGAATGGGAACGTTGCGTCAATTTGCGATTTGAATTCGGTCACCCGGAATGGAACTCTGATGTTCGTATTTCATTTCACCCCATCCACGCTCGCCATGGCATAGGGTCCTCGTGGTCTGGCTTCGGAACCGATGCTCTGACGTCTTCTTATGCATGCAACATGTATCTGGATGTTCAGTACAGAGCATTGACGCGCGGCACAGTGCTCCATGAGTTTGGACATCTCCTGGCTTTCGATCATGAACATCAGTCTCCTAAATCAATCATTCAATGGAACAAGACGGCTGTCGCAATGGAACTCCGACACAGAACGTCCCGCTTTCTGGAAGACAACTACTTCCACACCTTTCAAGGCCCTGATATTGAATGTACAGCTTTTGATCCCAACAGCATCATGATGTACGGTATTCCTGCGAGGTGGACGCTGAATTGGCAGACGTACCACAATCCTACTGTTCTTTCCGAATTGGACAAATCTTTCGCCGCTCAACAGTACCCATTCCCACCACCTAGCCAACCAACACCACCACCACAGCAAGTAGCACTACCTCGCGTATGGGAAGTGGCTTGCTATTGCGGAGACACGCTCAGCCAACCGTATAACTTTCGTCAGCGCAGGGTTTGCCGATGTCAACAATCGGTCAAGGCCTGATGCAGCCTTCAGGGGCCTTGTCATGGGGTACTGCGGGCTGAGAGTGCCCAAGACACTGAGCATGGCCGAGCGAGCACTTCAACCTGTTATGACTCGGTGGACTAGACTTTGCAATAGAAATTAAAACAGTTGTGCATCCCCTCTCGTCAGTGATATCCCATCACCGGTTATGTGAGCTATCTGTGTTTAACATTTTACCGAATTGGCTATCATACCCCTTTGCTCTGTTATCATTATTCTCACGAGGTCTCGTAAACATGATTTGTCAGTCTTCTTACCTACCTCAGATAAGAAAATTAGTAGATTCCAGGATTCAAGGGAAGTGTACAGCCAGAGAGCTGCTATTCGAATGGTCACCCAACTGAATCGTTGGCTCACATCTAGTTAGCTAGCCACAGCAGCACAGTCGGTGCAGCACTGATGCACTAGGGAGGTAGGTAGAATGAAGATGGTGTGCTGGTTACTTACTACCACGCGGCGTCAAGGCAACGATGACAGCCCTTCCTGCCTGGTGCTCCCAAAGAAAAATGACAGGTTAGGGACGGTTGCGGGTGGATATACCGACTGAGACAAAGGGGTTTGATGATAAGAAGGTTGTTGTTGAGGCTACGGACTTGAATTTGCAGGTTTATTCAACCAATGTTGTGACGAGCAAGACGTCAGATCCCGACGCGGCAAAGCCTACAGCGGCTGAAGAAAAAATACCACTGGAAACCCTGTCGTTAGCGGCACTTCAACCCATATCACTTCAGTACCTACCTGAGCACTGCCTATCTTATTCGTGGACAAACAAAGTCATTGTTTCTCTGTGTCTCATCGCGAAATGTGACAGGCCCTCGGAGAACCTTCTCGTCAAGTAAATGAAGGATAAACATGCGTCATATCTTTGTTGCATGTGACCAAGGCCTCATAAGTGTTTGCTGCGTTTACAAAATTCTTCTGAGTCTTTCCCGGGATGGTCTGGCAGCTTCTACTCCAACGGATTTTAGTTCCAGTGTCTTGAAGGAAGGTTGTCACAGATTCATCTGATTATAAATACCACCGTCAAACACATATGATCTCCCTGCGGCCTTCAAGACAATTCCCATCATACTACCTACTCAGTACTCGAGGACCTTTACCGATAACCACACCCTTCTCAACACTTCCCTCTATCATCATGGAACCCTACCACGACAGCCCGTTCTGGGACATCGGCGTAGATGACCTCGCAAGCTACTGGAACGGTGGCCAAGACAAGACGTACGACCCCCAAGACAACGGCAACGACAGCGACAGTGAGTTCAGCAGCAACTTCGGAGACAACGGCGACTCGTGTCAGAAGAATAAGTGGTATGAAGTCCGACTCGAGCATGACTCTAGAAGAATTCTGGCTCAATATCAAGACAATGACTCAGACGACGAGCCCGAAGGCGGCCAGTACGAGGATAACGAGGATGGCGACTGTCGAGGCTGCTGTGGTGACGAAGGGTGCCACTGTCAGTGTTGTGATCCGGACGACATGGAAGGTTGCCAATGCTGTGGGAGAAAGAGTTGTCATTGCCAGTGCTGCGATGGGGATGATGACGACGATGACTACGAGGATAGGTAGCCTTTGGGGTGCTGGTCGGGTAGCGGCGTCATGCATTAAGTAGGAAGAGAAACAACCATCATTTCTTGCAAACAAGGTCTTGGCTCAGAACAGGAGCTGATGTTCGCCCATGTCAAAAGTTGAACTCGGCGAGTAATGATCAGGTAACATAGTATAGTCAGAACCTTCGTCTTCCATTTAATCCATCATCGCGCTTTTCAAGGATAGATGTTCATGAATGTTTACCCCGCCCATGGCAATGACATACAGTTGCCATTTGTCTTCCAGACTGCCCCTCCCTACCATCAGTCGTGCCTTTCTGTGCTTCTGTTTGCTTGATGCCCAATGAGTGACGTGATCAGAGGTCGCCCATCATCCAGATCGCAGTAGATTTTACCATTCCCATCCTCCTCAGCTCTCGTCCACGTCGCAACCGCAGGATGCAACACTCTGAAGACAGAAGCGACACAATGAGCGCACCCGCCGCCCCAAATGACAACAAAACTGAAAAGCCTGAGCGCGAACATGTCTACGCCGTCACCATACCCAGCCTTCAGTGGAAACGCGGCGAGGTAATCCCCACAGCCTTTGTCAATGGCACCCCGCAACTCCAAGCCAAGGTGAAGCAGCATGCTCAAGAACTCGAAAAGCACGCCAATATTCGCTTCAAGTTCCAGCCTTCTGAGCATGGCCCCGTCAGGACCACCATCGCCATGGATCCCCAGTTGGGCTCCTACTCGAAACTTGACACCGAGTCTCCCGTCGCTGCCTACAACAATCCCGACAATCCCACCATGAACTTGCGTATCGACGAGACAACACCAGATGACGAGATTCGAAGAACCTGCATGCACGAGCTTCTTCACGCAATCGGGTTTGACTATGGGCACCAGTCGCCAGCCGCCAACATTGAGTGGGATGAAGATGCTGTCTACGACGAAATGGCCAAGAGCGGTTGGACACGTGAGAAGACTGACCGCAATATCCTCACTCAACTCAACAAGCGCAACGTGCAGCACTCAAGATTTGACCCCGATTCAATCATGGGTACCCGGTCCAAGAGAACCGGACAAGGAACGGGTTTTCCAACACTCGGAACACCATGCTTTCTGAGATTGACAAGTCTTTTGCCCGTGAAGTGTACCCGTTCGATGACCTGCCGCCTCATGGCTTGCAGTGCGCAGGGGAATGTTCCTCCCCTGGGGCCTACGTCGAACAACATTCTCCGCAACCTGTTGCCGATCATGATCAAATGTATGCCCGGCCGGACCAGTCTCGGTCAAGCACAGGATACATCGACGGAGACGGTGCCGACTCAGGGGCGTATGAGTATCAGAGCACCCTGCAAGGAAATGAGTCGGAAGAGGATGTCGGAGATACGGTGCGCTATGAGACGACTGGGTACTTTGAGGAGGTTATATCTGTCGCAGAGTCAGAACGGTAGCTTTTAGAGGATGAGGTTGGTAATGGAGGACATAATTTTGAGAGCCTTAACTACAATGCCGAGTGTGTGTATATGTGTCCGGTTTATTGGTTGAAGGCTACCGCTACGTGGTAATAGCGACCTTATAAAAAACTATTGAGGGATAAATATAGGCCGACTTATAATACTAGTTAGAAATAATTTCTGGAATTTATTTATTTATTTTTTTCGTTTATATTATTGTCATAATAGTAAAAGTAAAAGCAATGAAAGCTTTTATTTATGAATTTATAATTTATATAAAAAATGAAGATTTAGTATATCACAATACATGTATATTAAAACTTATATAATAATTGTTTTACCTGTCGGACCAAATATTTCCCAAGCTGTATTGCGAGTTCTCGGGTCAGAACAGTTTCATCTGTCCAATAGACCCGGAGCAATGGTTCACTTATGATCATTCACGCGATATCACGAAGCCCACAGAGGAGCATAAGTGAATCCGCGCAGATATTCCCCAGCGTGACAATCCCCGCAAAGACACTCTCAAGAATTATATAAATACCAAATCCTCTAACCAGATTTTCCACCCATCCTATCGCGATCATCACTCCCAACCAAGATACCAATCAACCTCATACATCCCATCACTTCCGAGTCAACCAGCCTCATCCCTTAACCGCAACATCGCCATCAAGATGCCCACCTCAACCAAGACAAAGACCAAGATGAGGTGCAAGTGCCACTGCGCCTGCACAGCCGAGAGCAGCAAAGACTTTGGGCCGTACTGCTCCCAGTGCGTCAAGGAGCACGCAGCCAACGTCATCGATAACCGGCTTGCCGGCAGCAGGAACGAAAAGAAGAACATGGGAACCCACAAAGCTCCCAGTACCGACACGGTCTCTGTTATTCCGACGATTTTCCCCGAGTCATCAAGACAACAGGCGCGCGATCATTTTTTCCAAGAAGTCCCCTAAGGAGGATGAGTATGAACGAGGCCGGAAGAAGAGGGAGGATGGGGTTTTAGTGCCGAATAATTGCTCGGCTATGTACGGGAGGGGGACTTGTAAGTTACAAGGGAGGGGGTATTCTGTTGCTGACGCTGGGGGTGTAGGTTATGGCGGCGGGCCGTGGTGGCAATGGTGATCAAGGAGCGAGAGGTATGGGGGGAGGCATGACACTGGGTACACACGAGGGAGGGATGATAATCGGAGGGGATTTCGGTATACAGGGCATAGTCAGGAGGGGGGGGGGAGGGTCTGAGCATTAACCGTCTGGACATTCCTTATCATCGAGAAAAATCGACACAATGAACAAAGAGAAATCCCCACTGGAGCCACTTGTTCATCATGTCATGGTTGCCGTCTATGCAAACATGAACCTGATGATTTGACCTGCTGTGCAACCGTTGGTTATCCGCCTTGGTTTGACGACCAAGCACACTTCTCAGTCAATGTTTGCAGTTAATATGAAGTGCAGCGGCCTCGCATTTCGATGGGCCTGGAAAAGATGCTGAGAAGCAATATGTTGGCAGGGTAACAGCAAGCGGTTAGCATCTCGAAGGCGGGCCAGAGTAATTAGGTGGCAGTGAACCACATATAAAACATATCAGCTTGTATATCTGTAGACACCATCCTACTCAACCCCCTGAAATTTCAACAGTGCTGCAAGCCTAGAAGTTCCATAAAAAGGAAAACCAAAAGAAAAAAGTACGTCCAGATATGGGAGTGTAAGGCTTCATGGGAGCCATTGCAGCATTAAACTTGTATACATTTGAAGTATGAGAAAAATCGTCACCTGCAGGATTCGAACCTACGCTCCCGAAGGAACAGCCTTAGCAGGGCTGCGTGTTAACCACTCCACCAAAGTGACCTAATGCTTTACTGATATATTACAGTTTTGGGAATAGCTCTCAAGATGGCCAACAGCGAACAAGCAGAGCTAAAGTAGCTGCGCGGCCCAGCGCTAAATTAAAGACTTTTGGCCTAATATCTATTTTGTCATCAGTCGAATCCTGAGATTGTGGGTGTTGCCGAGCTGCATGAATAGCTAGTTTCACATCACATGATGGCAAAGGCGGCGAAAAGCAGTCAAGATATCATAATATGTCCTTCTATTCAGAAGCAAAGTATGTACGACGAAGAATATCCAAATGGTATATCTGCAACCCCCCTCAACTTCACACCCCTCCCTTATTCCCCATCACACCAATCCACCTCTCACCACCCCGCATTTAGCAGCGGACGGGAGCAGGGCCAGGGTTGGTATAAGAGGTAGGTGTAGGCCAGTAAAGCTGGAACAGAATGCCAGGGTCGGTAGCCTTGTAAGCACCGGGGAAGGACACCAGCTGGCCGGTGTTGAGGGTGCCAGAGCCGCCCGTGACGGAGATCTGGGCGCAGGAGAGGTAGAGCTGGGCACCACCGACGCTGCCGGCCGAGTGGAGAGCGATGTGCTCAACACGGAGGAGGTACTCGCCGTTGGCGATGCAGCTGGGGATCTGGACCGAGACCTCGGTCTTGCCTGTTGGGTGAAAACAACCAGGTTAGTATCCTGTCTTTAACTGAGTTGCTGGCATTGAATAACTTACCATCGCTGGGCCACTTGATGGAACCTGTGCCGAGGCCGGAAGGACCATCCTGGTAGATCTTGAACCAGACAGCGCCCTTGCCGTCAAAGGTCTTGGCCGTCTTGCCGGCGGGGACCTTGGCCATGTAGAAGTGAAGAGGGCCGGGGTGGCCGACGGAGGAGCCGACCTGGAAGGTGACGGTGGAGCCGGCGGTGACGGCGAGGGTGTTGGGGGCACCGACGCCGGGGTCACGCTCGTAGCAGGTCATGAGGGGGGAGTTGACATCGGTGACCGGGCCGTTGGAGTAGTGGTTCTGAGTGATGCGGACGGTGTCCCATTGGGGCTGGGCAACGCCGTTGTACTTGGTACCAGGGAAGGTATAGTGGGCTTGAGCGCCAGCAGCGGCGAGGACCGCGAGGGTGGTGGAAGCCTTCATCTTGATGGTGGGGAATGAACCGTGAGTGAGATGAAGAATGTGATCGGCGGGTGGCGGACCAAAAATTCAGGAGATCGTCAGGGCGGTCGAGGCAGACCTTTATAGTTGGACGATCTCCCGGGTTGAGCCATGGCCATGCTCCTGCCCTGTCGATGATCGAGTCCAGAATCTCAACCGACAGTCACATCAACCGGGTCAATGGAATATCCAGCCGATGGAGGACGTGAATTGTGGAGCAGGTAGCAGTGGGTGGCAGACATGTGGAGAGCTGTCGAAGATTCTGATGTGGGAAGCGAATCCATCGACCAGTCAGCCGGCGGCTAATAGATTGAAGTGAAATGGCGAAGGGCTGCGGGTTGACGTTGTGAACCCGGTTTTGGGATGGCACTGAGAGCGTGGGCCGTGGCGTTGCGGAGGTTGTAGCCATGCGTCTGGTAATTGCGCAATGCCGTTCTTGCTTGAATCGAGTGCCGGAGGAGAAGATTGTCAAGGGGGGGCATCAGCGTTACATGCGGCTTCTTCTCCCGAAACCTCTTACCCGTTCGGGCAACCCAACGACGAAACGGCTTGGCGATGGTATGCCAGTTTCCAAGCGGAACAAATGAGATTGGAGGATTTTCCCAGTTCTCGACACTGTTTCGGTACCAGGCCTTCCATGATTCCCATTCCGGGCCCTAGTCCGATGTCGATCGCCGACTACGCTGACCGACACTACAGGCGCGGTACCGGCGACGTTGCGACGGTATATCGGGCAGATGGTGACTTGGCGGGCTGCCAGTCCTTGACCTGACAGACATAAGCCGGCTATCTCCCCGATAGATGCGGCTGGCGGTAGCTGCGCTGATCTCCTGCACGAATCCAAGCTTGATCCAGCGTGGCGTGGTAGATGTGTGTGGCTTGTAACAGGATATTCAGGCTCCCGAGACAGAGCATTCGACGCCAAGTTCTAACCGCCCAGTTCCAACGTTGCGCGGGCCTGTCATCCGATTGTCTCGCTCCCAAGAGTTTCAAAGTTCCCAAGCTGGAAGGTCTTGGAGGTTGGCGGTGTTGATCTGATGTCGGATTCGTGAAGGCTAGGTATGTCGATCGAGATGCAAGTGGCCGCCCCATTGCAACCTGCGACGAGCTGGAGGCCGAGCGTTGGCAATATTTCGGGTTCTGGTTTCGAGTAGATGGGTACTAGCACGCGAGGAAGAAAGATAATCCTCGGGGTGTTTTGATGTTCACAAAGCAACATCAGAGTCTTGCAAAGATGGCGGAGTTGAAAGCTCTTCCACCCTGGTGTCCCGTGTTGCCAACTGTGTCCTCCTTCTCAGTATTCTTGTTGCTGACCGTCAGCGCTGCGGGTGAATCTCGATAGCCATGGTCCTACCTACCCACACATCCCATCGTCGTTAGCTATCAGCCGCGCTCAAGTGTCACTCAACAATCAGGAACGAATTCGGAAAAGACAACAAACAAAATATTCGATTGAAGCTACAATGACCACCTCTCCCAACAACCCCTTCATGGATTTCCAGGCGACCCAACATCCAAGTTGGCATCGAAAGTGATGGAGCTGTGCTTCGCCCGTCCAATATTCCCAGCGAAAGTCGCGTCTTTGAAGCCGATAGTGGCCTTACCAAAGTCGTGCGCAAACAACTTGTCCCTGATAGCAAGCGAAGGGAAGCCATTATACGACACCAATGCACCCCTGAACCACACGCCCTTGTGGTTCTCAATGTTGTCATCGCTGGCATCGGCAAAGCGGAAGCAGTGAGTGCTAACCCCGTCCTTGTGATAGACGATCTTGGGGTGGTCTCCATCCCATCTAACCTGGCTGGCAGCCTTGATCTCATATTCCCCGTGCTGTGAGACGCCGACATACTCGGCCTGGTTGGTGCTTTGCCTCACCCACACGGCAATGTGCTCCCAATCGTGGGTGTGGCCGGGGTCAATAAAGTTGGCGATGGCGACGTCTTTTTCGAAGTAATACCCGTACAGGTAGATGCACCAGCCGTTGTTGCACCGCTGGCGGGAGTAGACGTTGTTGTTGTCGAGGTCGGAGAGGTCGCGACAGTTGGAAGAGTAGCCGGTCCAATTGTGAGGGAGACCCTCCACGATGTTGCCCTGGGCGTCGATGGCAGGGACGTTGTAGCATCCATCGGTGTCAAAGTCCAGAGAGGGTTGCCATTTGAGGTCATTGGCTGTGGCTCTCTGGGGGAGAGCCGTTGGGGGGGCCGCGGCACGGTAGGAGATGATGGCGGGTGGTGCTGCCAAGGCGGCCCACGGGGCAAGTGCCGCTGTCAGGAACAGGGCGGGGGAAGTGAGGGTGGGGATCATCTTGATATCGGCCGGAGTTGGGCGGGCAAAAGAGCGACTGCCGATGATTATGGAGGTGGAAGGACGCCATCGTTGGGACGGGATGCGCTGGCCATCTTATATCATCACGTCGACGATGGTGCAGTAGCTGGTTACCTGGAAGGAATGAAGGAATGTCATCTCGGCGGAAGAGAGTTGCCTTTTTCAGATGACCCCTTGTCGGCCACGAGCAACGATGTGCAAATGCACTGTTTTCCCATTGAGATTCCCCTATCATGAGGGGCCTATTGAGCATCGCATTGGCTGAGTCCGAGTTCGTTCAGGGGTATTGACGCGGGGAAGCATATGCTCCAACGCCATTGCATGAGCAAACAGGTGTGAGGGCGGATTGTGGGCTACAATTGGAAGTTGGAAAGTTCCAATCAGCGGCCAACCGTTGCATTTTGAAGGTCTATGTTGCACTGTGCCAGCCAATGATGAGGAGAAACGCGGCAATGTGACCTGGCCAGGGGGCCGTAGCGTAGCCGTCAAGCTGGCCTACAGGAGCCGACCGGCCAATGTGTAGCCAATCCATCGTCAAAGCCGAGCACATGCTTTTATACAGAGTACCTAATCCTGGTAAGAACACCGCGATCAGCCGTGCTTCTACAGATGCTCTTTTGCATCTTCATACAAGGCATCTTTACGGCTGTCTCCAGTCATACTTTGCACATTAATCATTCCTGGGTCAGAAGAAGAGAATACCTATCTTGCGCAATCTCACTTGCAAGGATCGAAATTGCAGGTGGCACTTGGGTATCGCAGAGTCAACACACCTTTTCCAGCGCGATGAGAGCGTTCCTCTGACAGAGACAATGGTGGTACAAGACAACCAGTCCCTAAGCCATTTATGTGATTACTAACTATCCGTACCTAGACTCCTCTCTAAGCCGATGGAACAAAAACAATGCCTGCCTACCATCCGGTGGTGGGTTAAGGAGCACAACTACGAACTTTGAACGATTAGGGCACCCGGATATTGGTGGGCTTTGCTGCAATGCCCTTGACCCTGGTGAGGTCGGTTCCGGTCAGGGTGAAGGTGGGCTTTCCCTTGATCTTCTGATAGTACGTCGCGAATTCGGCGTTTCCATCAATGTAGTCACCAGCGGCCGGGCCCCTAGTTTCTCTCATCTCCTTCTCGCTCTCCTTGCGTCTGGCTGTGGGAGCTGTGACCTTGGCGGGGGTGAAGGCTGGCAAAGTTAGCATCACGAAAAATGGGCCAGTTCAATGAGGGGAAGACTAGGTACGTACTTCCAGCGAGCATTGTCTTGATCCAGGCGTGATCGACGAGGTTCTGGTCGGCTGGGGCAACGCGGCTTTGCTTCTTGTCTGCCCACAGTTTCCCGGCCTGCTTCTCCTTGAGGGGATCCGCCGGGTCAAAGAATGCCTCAATGTTGTAGCCGACAAACTTGTCCTCCCAGAACCGACCGGACTCACCCTTGACCCTGGAGAGCTCAGGGGGGGCGTTGCCTGCCCTCGCGGGGACGGTGAGGTCCACATGGGATGCCGCACAGTCTGGAGGGTGGGAGGTTGCCAACGGCGAAACTTGCTAGCTGCTGTTCCACCGGGCGCAGACTGCCGTCTGGCCAATAGCTTCGTGGCCTCAAGTGATATAATGCGGGATTGTAGGGATTCTTTTGGACCCCAACGATAGTTCAACCCCGGCTTTGGTGAGGCAGCGCTTCTAGGCCAATAAAAATTAGGTAGAACTGTAACGAGCCAACACCAACAACAGCAGAATTTCCAGTCTCCTCCCTCCCCATCAACTCCTCTCATCGAGAATAGCACACACATCACAAAAAGTCACTCACAATCACAAACAAACCCTTTTCGACAACTGGATACCGATACCGTACGACAATGGATGACATTACCAAGACCCTGACGCAGCTTGCTCGAAAAGCACGCGATTCTCGTGTTCCCTATAACAACGACAGCTCCCAACACTATGCAATGTTCAGTGGCGCCATATGCAACGTTTTATCCACTGACATCGCACTTTTCACCTATGCCCAGATCATTGATGGATTACCCACCGACGAAGTGGCTTACGATCGACGATCGCCTGGTCTTCATGGTGACCATCCCATCGAGCATCATGTTGATCTTTGCCCTGGCGCCCTGGAAAGAGCTCGCGAGTTTCGTCAAAGCTTCGACCCAGCCATTCTCTCATTTGACCCCAAACTGCTCAAATCGTACCGAAGAGCAGCGGTGGGCTTGAAGGAATTCAATACGAGGCTGACTGAACTTGTCGCGGCCGCCATTCATGAAATCGCAGTCATTCTGTTTCAACTCGACCTCAGGCTGCACCAAGGCGACGTCGACGCAATCGTCCAGTGGAAGGAAGATGATGAAGACGTGGCCCCCCGAGCAACTATCTTCAACCACCCCCACTATCTCGACGACGATGTCTACCCTGATGGGGAAGCCGATGTTGTCGGATACTGGGCTGAAGATCGTATTCTCGGCGGCGTGACGGTGTTTGACCGGCGCGCCGAAGAAGCCACTCCAGAGCAGCCACCAAATGCATACTTTCTTTCCTGTCGCAGGCGCCACACGGATCGCTACTGGCAGCTACTTGACCAGCAGCAGCAGGACCTGGCCGACTTCTTTCTTGGCAAGAGTGCATCATGTCCCCTTCCCACACTTTGTACCGACGACAACACTGTGAGAATTGATGAGCAATTTGCCATCATCCAGCATCATGTGTACCGCGACATATGGGAGCGTAAACCGCCAACCCGACAGCATTTAGGGTTGCTTGCAAACCGGCCACAAAACGCGGGGGATTACCCTGAGCACGCGGCGCTGATCAAGTCGATTAAGCGCCAATGGGGCGATGACCTTGAGCCCGAGACAAAGGAGTAGGTAGACACAACACTAAACGGATCTATGTCAGGTAAAAGCCAGATTCTATAGCTTCGATCGGGGAACAATAAAATGATAACACCAGATACTTGGCAAACATGGGAGAGCTTCGGGGAGGAGTAAGATTTGCATGCGTTGTTTGCCGTCAGCTGACATCAGCTCCACCTGACAACAGCTCCACCTGACAACCAACTGCAGCCAGGGCTCGCCGACCGGCAGTTCAAGCTAGCACCCAGCTGATAAGAGCGATAAGCCCCAGACGCCAAGAGATCCACCGCACCGAAAATCCGGCTAATTCCGGCCTTGCTACCGTTCCCGGGAATCCGGGACTTTTGAGATTCCAGTTGCATTCTGTGCATTCCCAGCCCAACGACTGCCAAGACCATGTTTAACGACCATCACGACTTTTATATTGGATGAGACCTTCAGGTTATCTCTGAAACAAGACCCTTTCCACTCAAAAAAGACAATGCCATTAATTCCACCACCACCATGACACAACCAACAAACTCCAACAGCAAAAAGCCCCCAGGCAACAACAACGACTCATCTCACCACATCGCATCCTCCCTCTTCCCCAGCCCATCCCTCGCCAACAACAGCCCCTTAATCCACAACCCAGACTACACCCACCTCCCCACCCTCCCAGACGGCGTGACCCTCCAACCACCAGGAAAACTCCCCACCACCAACGCAGCAACCGGCGCCTCAGCCGCCGGCGTCCGCGCCCTCACCTCCCAGGCCATCGCCTTCTACTTCCGCGCCCCGGTGAAAGCGTTTTTTCGGACAAGGGTCGATTACCTAGCCTATGCCCGGGCGATCCAAGAACAGCAGCTCGCCGCTTACCTCGCCTCCTCCAACCCTACGTCGTCTAATGCCGCCTGGGGCTGGTTTAAAGGTCGTTTGAGGGGGAGCACACCCGGTTTGATTGCCTCAGCGGTGAGATATCATGGGTGGAGGGTGGTGCCTGATCAGGTGTTGCCGCCTTTGATTGCAAATGTCGGGGTGGGAGCGGTGCTGTACACGAGTTACCTCCAGATTTTGGGACGGCTTCACCCGGAAAGCGCGCTGGCGAGTAAAAGGGTTTATCCGCCTCCGTCGCCGGGGGAGACGTTTACCGCGGGGCTGTTGGCGGGGGGGATACAGAGTTTTGTGGCTGCGCCGTTGGATGCTGTGCAGGCCAGGTATGACTTGGGGGTTGGGGGGGCGGGGATGACGGGGAGTGGGACTACCATGGGGGGTGGGACGAAGGGGGTGGTGGTGGAGGGAGGTGGGAATGGGAATGGAAACAAGGGGGCAAGGATTGCCCGGCCCCGGAGCATGTGGACTTTTAGTCGGGAGAAGCTTGCCGAGATTGGACCGAGGGGAATATTCGCTGGGTGGGGGTTGAGTTTGGTGAAGGATAGTATGGGGAGTGCGGTGTTCTTCAGTTTGTTTGAGTGGATTAAGGCGCAGGGGTACTATGGGTTTGTGGGGTGGTATTATGGGAGTTTGGAAGAGGACGCGATTGTGCTATTGTCGCAGAGGAGACCGGCGGGGCTGGATGGCAAGGTTGGTTCGAGGAGGGACAGGCTTACGGGAGAGGTGGAGAGAGCGGATGATGGGGAGCTGAGAATGCCTACTATTATTCGACCTCATTATGCTATTGAGCCAGCGTTTTTGTTGCTTGCTGGCATGGGGGCATCGGTAGCGCAGCAGGTGGTTCTTCATCCGCTGGGTCACATTCAGGTGGAGCATTGGGAAAGGCTCGAGGCGTTGGATGCCAAGGCTAGGAAGCTTAAATCAACTGAAGGGGGAAGCTCGAGAAGAATGTTTAAGGCTTATAGGGATGCATACAGGGTTACATGGGGAGAATGCGCTGCGGAGGCCAAGACGGCCGGGCTGAGCATGCGACAGTGGTTGTACCGAGGGTTCTGGTGGAACACCATCAGACAAGTTCCAAGCACATCGGCCGGCCTGATCATCTTTGAGCTTGTCCGAAGAAAATATGGTCTTGGCGGCGACCAGGTCAAGATCAATAGGGATGGATACGATATTTTGTTGACGTAAGCGCAACTATTCAGTATCAACAGGTTGCCGGTTAGCTCAAACGCTGCCACGCTTTAGACAACTTGACTCGGTTAACCTGGCTCTGCAGTGCTATTTGTTTTGTCCGGAGCGCGGTTGCTTCACTGTTGGTTGTTCCATTGTGAGCCTCTTCCGCATTTGGACGTTGTCTTTGACACGGCTCAAAGACCGTTTCCGCAACAATGCCACTACCACTTGTCTTATGCCGTGCTTTTCTTCGGACAATGCACACCCCCAGTATTTGTCTGACATAGAACGGCTCTATCAACTGGACGTTCTTTTTTTCTTTTTCTTCTCACATCTCAAATCTCTATTTGGTAGATACTGGGATTACTTTTTACGACGCTGTAAACATGCCTCGCCCCAAACGCGCCTCCAAGGCCACCTCCAAGGCCACCTCCAGCCCCTACCCACCCAGGGTCTCGGGGTCCGCCAAGTCCGTCACCGCTATACCCTCAGCCGGGAATCGTAAAATTCAGGAGGCCCTTGCCAAGCGCCTCGAAGAAGTCGAGGATCAGTTCCGTGCAGATTACGTCGAAATGGTCAATAAAACATACGAAGAGATGAGCGAGGCCAAAAAGGGCCCAATCCGATGGCCCCGAGAAAAGGGGTGGGAACCTCGGTTGCGTGAAGACTTTGACGATATCAATACAGAGAGTTATCTTCAACGAGGGTTTCCAGTAGAGGAAATCGACAGGGTGATGGCCAAGTCAGCGGTGCCTGTAGGTCCTGTTCCTCCTCCTCCGCCGCCGCCTGTTCCCCCTTTGCCGCCTGCTGCCCCAGCATATGTTGCCCCCGGAGCTCCCGGTTGGAACCCACTGGGGAATTTTTCGCGGCTCTCAGCCGAGATTCGCATCATGATATATGATGAGATCTTTCCCGCGGGGCGGCGTGTTCAGCGGCTTCAAAGGCATGCCCCTGGACAGCCTGATCGTTATGGTTTGTCACTCCGCCCCGCGCCACCTTGGATAAGTATCATCCTGGCGTCGTCAGCTCTGCGCGATGAAGCTCTGGCCGTCCTGTATTCCAGGAACAATGTCATAATCCACGCCAACCTGCTGGACGAGTCACTACGAGACCCGATCGATACTTTCCCGCTGGTTTTCAGAAACACCGCAAGGCGGCTCACGTTCGCGTGGGACTATGCTGACAGCGATGCCGTCAAACTTGGCAGGCAACCCGGCATCAACTTCCCTCCGGGGTGGACAACCAGACGGTCCAGACAGCAGCGCGGGCTCCCTCGCAACCAGCCGATCGACCCGCGACAGCCCTACCCGATGGGGCAGTGGTACGGAAAGGTGGCCAAGCACACCATCACGGTTGACGGGCAATACCAGCAGACGATCACCATCTTCAGCGACTTCCCCAACACGCGGCCCCTGTGCTTGGATGCCTGGCTGCCCATCTTCAACAGGGTGGATGCGGTCGACTACTGGCACTTTTTCGATTGCCACATTGCCAGGGAGTTCAGCCGGTCCCAACTGTGGTGGAAGTACTCGTTCCAGGCCAACGATCCCCATGCGAGAGGGGTCGGTAGCACAAACATGATGTCGAATCAACCCTTCATCTTGCCCCAGGTCGCGAATCCGCCCCTGCCGAGGGGCATCCCGCTCAAGACGCGGGCCGAGAAGCAGCTTCTCCAGCAGCTTCTGGAGAACGGCGCGTTCTACTACGACATGCAGCGGTTGGTCAACAACCCGCACTGGCTTCACTTGCATGCTTTTGACTTGAGGTGGGGGCCGATAATCGTTCCCAATGATCATGACACGCTCTTCTGGATGTGGCAAATGCGCCAGGCGGAGCAGCTGATAGTTGAGACGCACATGTTGGATCCTAGGAATTGGGATCCCGACTTCCAGACTCGGGTAAATGTCGGTGTGGTTTTCCCGCTGCCTGTGATACCCAGGGCGGGGAAGGGTTCGAGGGCGTTTAGGTTGGACTAAGCATGGGAGATAGATGTATTAGGAGTTTTTATTCTCGAATTCTCAGTTCGTTGTGCTTTGTTATTTTAACTTTGCCCGCATCAAGCAGCGCATTATGATCGTCGTTCCAGAAAACCTAGGCGCCTACCGAGATGTCTATTAACTATCCTTTGAAGTATAGTTCAGGGCACCATGTTTCCGTTGACTTCACGCCGAAATCCAATCGAGGCATGCCTCGGAAATGATACTTCGATGAGCACTGTATCAGGTAAGAGCAGAAACATCACCGCAGCCAAAAACAGTGAAAAAACCCCCCGCCCCCCCAACAGGGAAAGCATTCTTCAATTTTGTATCATCAACCTCATCACAAACAGTCAAAACCTGCAGGTCCAACAAAAGTAAGAAAGAAAAAAGCCCCGTCGAGCTTGAAACGAGTGTCATGAATCGAATCCTCCACCTCTCAACAAATCACCACCAACCCCCTGATTTCACCCCTCCCCCAGAACCCTCCCGGATGCTTAGTTGCACCGGAAAGAGTTAATTCTATCATTCCAGCCGATAGTCACCAAGTTTGCGATGCCAGGGAAGGTGATCGGGCCGAACGACGGGCCGGTGCAGCCGTTGTTGCTGTAGGGTAGGTTCTCATGTCAACATTGATCACAAACTTCCGTGGTAGTAAAAAAGGGGACTTACTCCCAAATGGTGCAAGTCAACCCGCTGTCAGGCCCAAAGGAAGAGATGACGTTGGGCCAGCCGTTGCCGAGGGTGAGGCACTGCCCTCGGACGACGATGAGGTGCTCGGAGCGGCCGCCCCAGTTGATGTCCTGGGTGACGAAGACGCCGAGGGATTGGCGCTTTTCGCTGTTGGGAGGACGGGTGGTTAGTTGTTTTAGATGGGAAAGGCGAGGTGGGTGGTGGCTTACAGGTCAACGGGGGTTTGGGGAGCGGCCTCGGGGGAGGCTTCAGGGGCAGGGGCGGCGACGGTAAGGCCGGCCATGGTGACGATGGCGAGAATGGTGGTGAGGAATTGCATTTTGAAGGTGTGAAAGGTGGTTGGTGCTTTTGGTGGAAGTTAGTGTTGATGGTGATGATGGTGATGAGGAATTGTGAGGGGAAAGGAGGAGCAAGAAGGGGTGATTTATACTTTTTCTGTTGGCATATCAAGGCTTTCAGATACCATACCGTTTACAGTTCCAACTCTAGGTTCAGGTTCTGTCCCCGTAGCCCGAGGGATTGGAGTTTGGCAGGTGACAAAGTTTTCATACGGAATAGTGGACTGGGTGGGTGAGAGTCTGACTGCAGATGCGACTGTTGATGATGTCTATTGCTACCCAATGAGCTTACACGAGAGGTCTTGTTGTTTTCTTGTCTTATTCTAGACAGGAAACACCCATTGAGTATTCTTACCAAGCCGGCTGGTTCATAAAGGAGTTGTCGGAAGCATCCTGGTTCTACTACCTAAGTACATAGGGTCTGTGTTGATGCACCTTGGACATCCATCTCCACTCACTCGAGTCAGGAGACAAAAAAAAAGGGCGTGTGGCTCAGTTGGTAGAGCGTTCGCTTAGCATACTCAACCTTAGTACAAGGATCATTTGTATGCGAAAGGTCCTGGGTTCGATTCCCAGCTCGTCCAAACATCGTGATTCTATCTCGACAATATCTTTTGCTCATTTTATGTTTTGTGTTCATCAGATCAGCTGACGCTCGTGAGACACTATAGGCTTTGCGAAGGTTGATGGATTCGATGTTAGAACCCCTAGGTGTTGGTAACACTAGGACCAATAACGTTGCAGCCGTGTAAGACCATAAGCCTCGTGGCACAGCCCTCATTGAACACTCGGAAGCTGACACATGCATCTGCATACTTCCCCGACCAAGACTTTCGAAACGAGCCAATAGAGTTTGCTGACTGCTTGTATTTTCGAAAGACTGCAGTTTTGGTGAAGAGGCCTTTTGAGAACATGGCGGGATACAGTTTCACTATTTCTCTTTTGGTGAAACTTCTAGATTAAGGCTTTGTAGTGGACATGCGCTGACCGTGGTCCTCTTCCATGCATCTCACCTTCCAACATACTCCCCAAACAAACACATAAAGACCTGAGCCCGCACAGCGCCCTTGTAACACGAACCCCAATTCCAATCCTGACATCAGCTGATAAATTGCATGGGGCTTGGGCTTGGCTTCCATTTTTCAATATCAGAGTGTACGAAGCTAGTCATCTTGAGTTCGAACTCGCCGGGGAAAGCACCTCGTCTGCGTCGTCAAACCGGAGAAGTACCTACCAATGCGTGGTCCACTGAAATGCCAAGGATTACTGTATCAATGAGGCCTCTGGCACAGGACGACTTTAATTGCTTAGAGCGATCAGTAATACTAGTATAACCTTTTGCCTGGCCACTGAGAGACTTCACAAGGGGCCAGCCAGTCATGCAGTTGTACCTTGGTCGAGCCCCTTTCTCGCGGTCCTGCTGTGGCACCCCAACCCCGCATCAAGAAGCGTCATACATGTAAGTTAGCAGCGTAATCAACAGCATCTGGGCACTTAACCCAGGATCGGGAGCCCATGCATGTAAAGGTCCCAGAATGCCGCATGACACCCTCAATACAACAGAGAGGCGGTAAGATCAATGTCTGCAGCGGAGGCTTGTCAAGGCAAATTACTCGGAGTAGGTAATGACAACCTACACTCATCACGGAGTGCTCTAATAAACAACATCAATAAAAGTAGCAAGTGTGAATACAGAGCAAAATATTGAGCAGCAAAGACGGTTGAAATCTCACTCGACGAACCCATAAAGCCTGGTTACCGTAGGAACACCTAGGAAACCTCGAATGGTGGTCTGATTCGGAAGCTCGGGGAGGATCTTACCAACCCAGCCGGAATTTTGCAGGTCTTTTGAACAAGAACCGGAGACTTCCGTTGCTGGTCAGCATCCTTGGTTGCTCCTATTGTTTTGGGTCCTGCGGTGTGTGCTGCCCTTTTGTCAACTCAATTCGCCACACTGATTGGAAAGCGTCAAAGCACTTACCAGCCTTGCACACCCTCCATGATCTTATTAGCATGGCAAACGATGGTAAACGAACTAGCCTGTACAGACTAGTCATATATGAAAAACGAATCTTGATTCAATAGCTGTCTTGTCTTTGTAGACGTTGTTATTGAAGATGGCGGTGAAGACCAGCTACAAAGTCTAGTACTGTCCATGATGTATCTTGTGGGGCCGTCTGGATGTCTTTTAAAGGCTGCTGACTTAGAAAGTATCTCAAATTACTCCCCCCTCACCCCTGTTTGCAGCTGCTTGTTTCCGTCCGTTTGGCTGCATTCAAGCTGATTTTCGGACATACTCAACGGGACCAGCATATCGGAGTCGACCTGTAACAATATAATACACCACGCTGAAGACAACCACGGTCCCATACACAAGAATGCTCCAGTTCATCATCTCTAGCGTTGGTTCTGGCACCGGCGGGAAGAATGTCTGCATCAAGATTAGTTTCTACCCGCTGACCTAAGACTGGTGGCCTCTTACCATGATGAAGGTGAACACCAGAAATGAAACACTGAGCACATTAATGAACAGCCCTGCCCGGCCTAGATCAAAGCTCCGCGGCAGCAGCGGCTCATGTCGAATGCGCTTCACCGCGATGCAGCCACACGAGATAGCATACGACGAAAGCAACGCACCCACCCCAAGACTGGTGAGGATGTTGAACGCCTATCATCCAGGTCAGTAGTGCCCCCCTCCGACCAGGCCCAGGACACGGGAAAGCTTACCACGGTGCTCCCTATATTGATCAACGACAACAACACAGCAAACACATACGACGCCCCCAGCGCATTCAGCGGCAGCCCTAACCGCGGATGCACCTTGGCAAACCACCCCGAGAACGGTACGCCCCTGTCCCTCGCAAACGCCCACAGCTGCCGACTGCTCGTCGCAATGTTATTCACAACCCCGCACGAGGCCATGATTATCATGATACACGTCATCGCCGTCACACCGCCGTAACTCCCCACGGCGTTGTAAAACACCTGGATGAACGGCATCATTGTTGGGGTCTGTAGCACACTCTCCAAATCCCCGAGAACCATGCAATAGGTAACCATCATGACGAACCCTGACACGCCGTTAAGAAGTGCTGTGGCTATCATGGCCCGCGGGAGGGATTTACTCGCATCCTGCAGCTCCTCCGCCATGTGCGTAGCTGAGTCCGGCCCAAGGAGACTGAATATAGGGGAGAGAATCCCCACCAGGCAGGAAAGCCCGGTGTTTCCCCATCCTCCCCCGTCGGCAAAGGTGAAGAAGACGTCGTGAGCGGATTGCAGTTTTGGACCCATTGTCCACAGGGGAATCAGTACTGCGAGAAAGCCGGCCGTGTGCAGCACAAGAGCGAGAGTTTCCAACAGCGGTAGGGCGCGGTAGAGGAGGGTGTTGAGAACCATGCAGACGGTCAAAATGGCGATGACCAGCAGCGTGAGATGCCACCGCTCAGGAACATACGAAGGGTGGTTGAGAATAACCAACCCCTGGATCTGCTGCGCCAGAAGGAAACAAATCGCCGGGTTGCCGACCTGCCAGCCTAGCACGCTTAACCAACCGACAATGAAACTGAGGAAACGCTGCGAGGATCGCGGGGCAAACTCGCTGACCCAGTGGTACTGTCCTCCTGTTGTGGGCGCCATGGAGGCCATTTCTGCCATGGTGAGGATGGCGAAGAAGAGACCGAGGAAGGCGCCAAAGTAGACCCAGATCACGCCGCCGGTGCCGCCGTTGACGAGGCCGAAGACGCTGACGTTGAGTTCTGTTTCCCAGGTTTGCATGAGGACCATGGTGAAGCCGAAGATGGAGAAGAAGCGGAAGTTGCGGTGGAGTTGGGGGGTTTTACCCATGCGGTACATGTCGGCTTTGTCGAGGGGGGTGCTGCCGTCGGCGATGGTGGAGGGGAGGCCATCGGGAATTTCGCCGGCTTCGCTGTCGGCGGGGGATTTGGTGTCGGACATTATGATGGATGAGAGCTAGGTTTACCTGAGGTGTTAGCTGGAGGAAAACATTTGTTGGGATGAGCTGGAGTGCAGGAAGGAGATGGTATGATATACGACGGCACACGCAAAGCACCGTGCTGCTTCTAGTGCCGGTAGTTGGAGATAGGTGTGTTACAGTGCAGTCCTCGGATTGATTGAAGTGCGGTCTGTACCACCACTATTCAGCTCTCCGCGAATCAAACTCCTGGCTCGGTGCTGTACATTGCAGCCTGCCGTGTTCCATATGCGGCATGAATGAATAATCACAGTGTTTGGCTTTCAATAGTGTCGCCTCGCTGCAATGTATGTGCTCTCGGATTTGATGCTTAGTGATCGTTCTGCGGCTTTGAGTGGTTCCAAGAGGTTTTGTATAACAACAGCTTTACCCCAACAACTTCACCCGTCATAGTATTTGGCCATGCCGTGAGAGAGATGCAGGAACTTATCGAACTTGCTCCGAGTCAACGGAGGCGTCAAGGAGAAACGAGTGACAAGTACCTGTACCCGCGCGGGACCCAAAGTCAGGCGTCCAAGGCAAAGGGTGGCTCCAGGTGCTATATTGCTGGGTTGTCGACTTTGGTAATGCCCTTCCCTATGCTTTCCTTTTGTTCGAACACGACGCTGCCAGTGGTGAGTAGCTAACGAACACCCTGAAGCCCAGGTAGGACCCTTTGAGTTCTTCAACTGACAAACCTCCAGGACATTCCACTAAATCGACCTGTATCCAGGTCATTAGCGGAGACCTCAGCCATTATGCTGTTTACGGACAGAAACCTGAGGAATAGGGCCGGCGATAGGCTTTAAAGTATCAATAGCTTATGATGTGGTCAGCGGGAGGGCAATGTAGCAGCGGTTGGGGTTGGCATTGTTGGACACTAGATCTTGGCGTTGAGGCCGCCTTCTGGGGTTGCAGCGGGCTTCTGTCCGTAGAAGCTTGTTGACACCGACCGAATCACCTTCCTATCTTAACAGGATCTTTGTTTTTGTGAAATGAAGAATACGGTATCACGTTGATGAGCCAGTGTGAACGTATCTTCGTCCGGAAACTGTCTGTTTGCTTCGGACTAACCCAACAACTCTTCATGATAAAGGTAAGTGACGGTTCAGTATGACAAACGACGGGCTTCATCACAATACCGAACTCCCACAATTGTGGCATTGGGCGTGGGTTGTGTCAGAATAGTCAATTGGGCCCACTGTTGAGGAATTAATATCTTGGTAGTGGGACTTGAGCCACTGGGTTCGGCCTTTTTCCAGCCACCTGGGCAACTCACCCTCGTACAACAACAGAATTGACACCTTTTTGGACCCCATATACGATTTGACAGGTTACCATTCCCGTTTACCTTTTCCTCAAAGAGAATGGTGGTATCTTGGCTCTTGGCGGTAGCATCAAGAAGCGAGACTTTGGCGGCCTCAGCAAGCTGTTGATCCTGGCAGGGCAGGGCGTGATCAACGACACAGCGGCTGGAGTTGATCTCAATTTGATGTTGCTAATGAATCCCTGTGTGAGGGATAATGTGTGCTTCTCGGGGGGAGCATAAGGTTTCGCATTGCCATCCAAATCAAGCACCACCAGAGACTTATAGCTATGAATATTAACTAACATGTGTAGATGCGAGGGCGGGTGACTTGCATCCTGCCACTTGCAAATACATGCTGGGCACATATACGGGTCCAACAGAGATTTGTGGCTGTGCCTCTGATTTCACGGGCGGAACAGCACCGCGCCTAGACAACGTGCAGGGATAACTAGCAGCACTGCTAAGCAAAATCGGGTGTAGCACTGCGATGGGAAGCTCTTTCGACTTTACGACTCCATGATCAGAGAGATGTATAAGATTGCGGTGGTTGCCCCAGGATGAAACAGTGTCATTCCCAAGATCATTACACCCTCAAGGCACAAGAAGGGCTTCAAAGTCTCAGTCGGCAACTTTTCTTCACAATCGTCCTCTCAACCGATACGTATCGTTTGACAAAGACAAAAGACCATCAAGATGCACACTCCAACCATCATCCTCACCTCTCTCATGGCGCTCACAATCAACGCCCAATCCCACCCCATGATCACACCCGCTCCGGCCCCTATAGCCCGCCGCCAGGACAACAGCGTTGATGAAGACGCCGACTGTTTGTCCTCTTTGGGGTATGTGCCTACCTTACTTATTGACAGCACACTCTTTGCCGTCAATTGTTTACCTAACTAACCTCCCGCCAGTCACTACGTCTCCTGCCTGAACATAGCCATGTCGCCCGATCCTTGCATGAAGAGCGCCCACATCCACGGCGACATTGAGTGCGGCTGCAAACAGGCCTCGAGCATCTATGGGTGTTATACCTCATTCTGCACACCCGGCCCTCGTGCCACCGACTTCGCCAGTGTTGTCGATGAGTGTGGTATCCCGTATGGTGGGGCTGCACCTACAGGGAGCCCCGATGATGATGATGATGATGATGGGAATGTTTCGGATAACGAGGATGGGCCTACCCGGACAGGAGGGGGTGTTGTTCCTACAGAGACTCCTAGTTCTGCTGGGTCGTTGAAGGCTGGTGTTTGGGGGTTGGTGGCGATTGGGGCTGTTGTGGGGATGATGGTTTAGGTGGTGATTTCTAGGGATACCCGGCGTTGAGGAGTTGTGGAGAAGCTTTGTTTTAAATTGATTGCAGCGCACTCCTCTCTTCGCACAAATAAACTTCTTGATTCAAATTACACACCCAGCGCCCAAGACGCCTTAACAATGGTACAACCCGGGTATCCCCCCTCACTTCACTTCTCAACCCTAAACTCAGTCGTCTTCACAATCCCCCTCAACCCCCCCTCGTCGCCTCTCAAACCTGCAGGCAATATCAAATCCCTTTCATCATCACTCCCCTGTCCCTTATCCGCCACTCCAACCCCGCCCTGAACAATCGTCTCTGTCTCCCCCCTACTCGTAATCTTGGTGCTTCTGACCGGGGGTGAGCGGACGTACTCCATGTGCAACGCTGTGGCATGATTTCCCCACTTCCCTCTCTTCTCCCCTGTTAAGAGCTCAATAAACTGTCGTTCTTCGAGGTCAAGCTCGGTGTTTTGTCGGAGGTAGGCGGCTCGAATGCCGTTGATGCTCGTGTCTCGTCCCGGGTGGCGCGAGTGGAGGGGTAATCGGTCGAGAGCCTTGCCGGCGCGGTAGTAGTTTGCTTCGCGGTAGGCGATGGGGGAGAGGCGGAGGAAGCGGCCGAGGAGGGGGCGGAGGGTGGGGGCGCAGGCGGCGATGATGCCTATGTCCAGTTGGAGACTGTTGGAGTGTTAGCAGATTATGGGTAAGGGGATGAAAGGAGGTGGACTCACGAGCCGAAGAAGGGGGCGTAGGGATAGAATGTGCCGTCGGTGTTGTTGACGTAGGCGATGATGTAGATTCCTTTCGCTATCCCCAGACCAACAGCGCTACCACTCCGTCAGTTCCTAGAGCTGTGACATAGAGGATGGAGGATAGCTTACAAGTAGCCGCCACTCAGAATAGCAATCAAATAAATCCGGAGCCTCCTCTGCAGCTGCAGGCTCCAAATGAGTGGAATCGGCAGCGTGGCAAATGACAGGTCGGTAAAGATGTTGCATGCCGTGTTGAACAGTCCGAAATTCCTATACATGACCTTTCCATAACACTTTGGCTTGATGTCCGGATTCCACTGCCCTGAAACCGGTTGACATCTCGTCATGAAAGTGATGAAGGCGAACAATGTGTAGAAGACGGTGAACGTGATCAGGCCCCAGAGTATCCATTTGTACCACTTTCCCCTGCTGAGGCGTAACAGCGAGAGGGCGATTGAGATTTTGAGGAAGCCAAAAGCGAAGGAGGCTTCAATGACGGATTGGAAGAACTGAGCTTCGAGTAGGATCTTCCACCTGTCTCGTGGGATGGTGTCGGTGTGTTGGCCGTAGCCGTTGTGGCAGCCTACTATCCAGGCGGCGAGACCTCCTATGCCGCAGAGCTGTGCTTGTCAGCCTTTGTCAAAAAGAGGACAGAATAAAAGAAGGGGCCATGGAACCTACCACGGCCAACACCATAAAGATATCATCCTTCCCAAACGACCTCACCACGATCGCCCTTGTGTAGAACCGGACGAGCGCCGTGCAGAACGCGAGACTCCAAACGACGCAGACGACAGCGATGAATACGTTCGAGTTACTCTCTGCGGCGCGGATGGGGTCGATCTTTTGCCCTGTGATGGTGACCTCTGCGTCGTCGTCCGACGATGACATGACGATGGTCGCAGTTGAGATGAACGGTGATGATAATCCTTTATGGCGGCGTCGTGTGCCAGGCGAAGCTAAAGCCTTGCAGCAGAAGCATCACCTCGACGCAGCGCTGGCAAGAGACGGGGCGATGACACCAAACGATGCTAGGGTCCCAGAAATCTAAGACAGGGGAAAAGGAAAGAAACGCAAGCAGGGGAAAAGGCTGGGGTTGACCGACAGTTAATGCTATGGAAGAGCGGCCCTCGGTTGGGGTACCGACCAAGCGACGGCAGGCCGCCCAAACGAAAGGCCATTCATCCATCCGCTCCCATACTGTCTCGACACCATCTCACTACTTGTTTTCCTCTTGTTGGTTGGGCATCGGAAAGCTTTGCATGCGTCTTCACGTCAGGCCCATTTTCGGCACTGCTCCGCAATAAATTCTAGATTGGAAATCTGGGGAAACACAATGTTGACGGTTGCTTGATGGAGTCGTGCATTGGAAGAGGGGGCACCATTTGACCAGTCAGTGGTCTTGGTACCGCTCACTCTCCGATCCCCTGCCCGATTCGTGTGGAAATATCAATCAAGCAATCATTAAACAACTTTCAAGCTATCTTGGCGGTCTTCAAATGGCAACTCTTGGTCGGAAATGTGCCGGCACTGGCATCTCCTCTTTGGCTTGTCCAATGAATGGGGGAGGAGGGGGTGTGTTTTGGCTAAAGTCAACAGGTGTTTGCCCCCCTTTTTGGCTATCCCAGCTCGTGCAAAGTTCGCAGTGCAAAAGGCACGGCCTCCACCATGATTAAATTCTGGATATCAGTTTCATTCTTTAGAAAATATACTGATTCAAGGTACCGGACCTACGTACTGACATCAGCGTGCGTTCTTCCCGTCGTATGTTTGAACAGGGCATATGCCAGCACCTTACTGCTTTGTGGTTTGTATTAGCAATCTACCTAGGTTCCTGTGCACCATTTGTCTTTTGAAGTTCCGAGTGCTGACTGTACATGTACCCAGCCCAATCAGCCAGCTTGCAAGCCGCCCAGTTTGAACACGGCGGAGGAGGTTGGAGCTATGACCACTTGTTGGGTGGTAAAGTGCCGTGAATTGCTACCGTCGTACTGAACCAAACATAGGCCTCAAAGTTCCGGATCTCGGATAGAGACCATATAGAGAGGTGACTGGACTAGTCTGACGTGCAAATGCCGTCTGACACTGTGACCTCAACAGGAGCATGAGCGCGAGTGTGTCTCTGTCCCACCTACAAACTAACTCGAACTCGTTCACCTTCCTGCAAGCACTTGAGAGGGTGGATGGAGAGCCTGATTTGCCAAAATGAGTAAGATCTTTCTGCTAAAAGCTGTCAAACTGCATTCGTTGCTGTGGGGCATCCCAATTCTCAAAAAGATGTATCTCTTCAGAACACCCTTATCTATTTATTGACATTTTCGGCCTCGACTTCAAGAAATGGGAGGCTCCTCTGAATCTGAGAACTGCTTTTTAATCAAAGGCTCTCTCCGAGTTCCACCCATCGTAAATCAGTAGTTTCATAGCACTGGTAATGTTCAAAGGAACTAGCTCAGAGCCGATCATGAGGTCGTGAATATCAACTCACTGTCTCTTCATCGATATCCCTGGAAACCTACCAGACATTCGAGTATGATATTTGCTCCAAAAATGGCAGATTCAATTTGTTCAGTTTTTACTCCACTCGCTCGGAAGACGGTATGAAATATCTTCTTCTTCAGGATAACTGCTGTGCTCTTTTGAACCTGAACTCTCAACACTCACAGTGATGACTCAAAGCAAGACCACCCGCCTACCGCGTTCTCTTACAGCCAACACGCGCAGCCCAACACAAAGCCCTACCTACCCCCTATTCCGCGACCTATAGAACCTTCACAGTGAGTGCCCCCTTTTCGTGCATGAGTGACTCTGGCACTCAAAAGCACCACTTTCGCGGCCAAGAAGGCGAAAACTACACCCTCGAGACAAGAGCCCGCGGAACTGTTCACGCCGGAGCCCGTATCCGAGTCTCTTCCAGATCCGGGCGTGACCGGTATGACGCCCAAGGGCGCGGCAATCACAGGCGGGTCTCCACACGAGACCGGGACAGAACACACAGTCGGCAGAGGTCTTCAGCCAGAAGAAGCAGTAGGAGATATTGAGTGCTGAGTGGACGGTTTTCATCAAGAAAGAGAGTTCAAGGGGCAAAGGGGGGGGGGGGGGGACAGCATGAGCTTTCACGGTCGACAACATCGAACTGCAGGTAACCAACTGGCTCTCAAAAGCGACAACACTCAGTACGTAGAACTTTCTTAAGCCTACCAGCAACTCACTTCATAGATAAGAATCCATTATCAATCTTCTTTAGAGCAATCATATCGTCTTATCTCCTGGTGGAAATATTCTACTGGTTTCCTTGCCTTGACCCGCTTATTTGTCAAAGGCTTTTCTCGTAGAACAATGCTCCCACAGGATCCACCCTTAACTGCTTTCACCCGGCAAGATATCAGCTAAAGTTCCTGATTAATAGATGAGAAAATTTTTGCAGGACTCTCGTCGGTCCCCGCTTCTCCTCGTATTATGGTGGGTTACGCGCTCTTCTTCTTTCGGACCTTTCTTTCACTTCGGCTCTATTGAAGAAACCCTCTCCATCTTCCTCCCTCCCAAATAATCACATCAGCCTCCTCCATAAACCCCAAAAGACCGTGACCTCATCACATCATTGCTTTCTCTATACCTTAGTAAGTTCCTACCCTCACGCAGGACAACCAATCTGATGGTATAATCAAAGTTAACACCTCCTGAAAGGTAGAAGGCATAAACACGTCACCCGCCACACAAACAAAAGCAATGGGGAACTGGCTCTATAAACCGCCTCTTCCAGAAAGGGGAGTCCATTACGAGTACCAAGAGAGTGTATCCGAGTTCGGTAGCGACCTGTCCCTCCCCACAAGGCCAGCCCGCGTCACACTGAGCAACATCGCGCTTGACGCGATGTCCAAGCTCCCAAACAATGTGACCCGCCGCCAGGGAAGAAGCCCGGTTGAACGTAGACCCGCCGAAGGGTTGACGGAAACAACGACAGTCAAAACAATGACCACCTTGCCTAATGGACAGGTTGTGGCGACTACAGAGACGACGGCTGTGACAGTTGGGCAAGGGGAAAGGGTTCGGAGGTTCGGGAGACGGGGGAGGAGATAGATAGGTGGGATACCACGATAAGGAATGAGTGCACACAATTCACTGGCCTCCACAATATATAGAGCACTGATTCACTACGCCAATCTATCAGTCTCAGATGAATTGAACAAGGTCACCCTCGTCTCGAAACTTCAAAGTTCCAGATTTCCCTGGGACCGTGTGAATCATGAATAGCCACAACCTGGGCTAGCCTGTACCTGGTGAATTCAACTACTTCGAATAATGGTGAGTTCACCACTCCCCGAGGAGCGAATGCGGCCATGAGACAATCTCTTCATGCTCCCAAAGCCCAGATAGGTTGCCGCACTGAATGTATTCAGTGTACGGTAAGTGCCTATATAATAGGTCTTGTTCAGCTTGCTTGTCTCCCTTCCTGTAAAACAACAAACAGTCAGATCGGACCCCCGTTCCTGCCTCGAGCTGAGTCTCTTCACCAAACAGCAGTGTTACACGTGAGCCTCAAACGACTCCCATCACCACTAAGCACCATGGGCAACGGCAGTTTGCTTCGGGGCAGGGCCAGCACCCCAGGCTTCCAACAGACGACGCTCTGTCAGCAACCGCCACAGCGGAAACACCCACAGCTCTCGCAACAACCGCGATCAAAAACATCAGTCCAGCCGCGACCAAGAAACTGGAAACCGCAGCCTCGAGCAAGCCAACGCTCGAGCTAGACGAGGCTCAGTCTGCCAGCCTGGACAACCTCGGCATAGACGCAGAAGCAGTGTGGTTCTTCGAACGAGCGAGAGGGTTGTCAGGTTTGATGCTGTTAGTGGGTGTGACAAACGTAGTGGGAGAGATGGGAGACTTTGAGGGGATGAACAGCTAGATGTGGGGACTGGCTATCGTGGGAGATTTGGGAACGCGCGGTTTTGGGGCTTAGGTTTAGACATCAGGGTATTTGCGGGAAAAGATAGCAACGAGACAGGACGGTCAACGGTAGATCTTGGGCATCATTAGAGGCAGGTTAGGGTTGTGGGAAACAGACGGGGGGGTTAAAGACAACAATCCAACAGGGCAAATTCCACCCCCATGATAAAAGGCAACCCTTCACCACAACGGAAGCACACTTGTAAACCACCCGCCTTCCCATTCCACTCACACACCCCTCTTCCCATCCATGATCCATCATCTCCCTGACCTTCCGATTCAAGTCGAATTTCGCGAACCACAATCCAGAGGGGGCCGTTGGGCACAAGTTGGATCTTGGATGCGAGTGCACAAAATTTCTTGTTGGATGTGCACGCGTCAGTGCGAAGAGACAGTTTGTAATTTCCATTTAGTTTATCTATGCAACCCTGAAGTCTCCAATCTCCCATCCTTGCACTACAAAGTTCAGTCCAGCGCAGAATCTATATCTCATCTACATCTCAGCAACACCGCCTTAGGTTTCTCTTTCCGAGTATGATTTCATCGTGTTATGGTCGTGGTGAGGTGTTGTTAAATGTGTTGCGACGGGAGCGGCGGCCTCAAGCTGCTGGGTTCAACGATCCTGGGGTCTAAGACTCGTAATAGCAACAGTCTCGGTAGAAAGAGGAGGGGATGTGACGGCAGGGAACGAGGTAATAACGAATGTCTCCGTGACAAAACTGGTCTCAATTGGTAAAATAGTGGTGACGGTAAACCACTCGGTGCTGAAGCTTGTCGCAACAGGAGGAAAGGAAGTCACAGTGATGATCTCGGTCGAGTAGACGGTCTCAACAGGAAGCACCGAGGTAACGGTAAAGAATTCAGTACTGAAGCTGACAGGGCTTGAGGGAGGAGCATCACAGAGGACAGTGACGGTGGCGGTGGGAAGGAGAGTTTCTGTCTTTGTGACAGTCACTGTTGGTCTTCGGATGCCCCAGGCGGAAGCTGGGGCAGCTGCCAAGGCAGTCGCGAGGAGGGTGATGAGAAGCATCCCAGGTTCTTTGATGAGGTTTTCGTATTATGGGTGAAGATGGAAGTTAGAGACTGTTTTGCCCAGTCTGTCACTTTGGACCTCCTTTTATATTCACTCGCATCTTGAGCCGCATCGTTTTACAAGTACGATGTTGACCCCTGGTTGAAGGGCGCAGTCATAGACTAATTTCCCACGATCATCCGTGCAGAAACTACGTACCATTTCAAGACTTATACAAATCCAGTAATAATAGTAAAGACCAGGTTGTGATTGGCTATGGCAGGGTTGAGCGATGCGAGAGCCTCGCATTCGGAGATGAAGTAATGCCTTTCACCGACACATATTGAGCAGAAAGTGAATCTTTCCGAGGCAGAGAGCACAGCTCGGAATTTTACATTTACTTAGGTTCAATGTGCCACTCCACGGATGCTGTCGTCTCACACTTGATGTTCTTCTTGACGGGCAAACAGCACCGTGGTATCATAGTTTCATGCAAGGATCATTCTCGTCAACTCTGTTCTTCAGATGGTGGCTCGAGATTGGGTAAATTAATGTAGTTCTAGGAGAGTACCTAGGTAGTTCTGTATTGCAGAACCACCAAGCTACCTAACTCAAGCACCATGAAGCTTTATGGGGTGAGAAACATGTCTTATTCGACGGTGATAAGTGCCCTCATCCTGCTACCTACTTTGTTAGGCGCAACATGCTCTATCAGCCTTCCATTATGGTCATCGAGGTACCCCGCTAACAAACAGCGACTATGTGGGTCAGTTTGTGTCTTGGGCTGCTGCCTGACCATTGTGCAACAAATTCCCGCTCAACTACCAGGACTCACCACACTCGGCTTCAACCTATTATTCGTTCTAACTGGAGGCTTTCTAACTCCATGACCTGTTAATAATGGCGTCCAAAACAGACCTTTGCAAGCCATGTCTCACCGCATTTTCTCAGCCTCTGCCAAATTGCTCCGTCGTCGGACATGCCGATGGTGTCGTCTACAAGTGCACAAGAGACCATCTCTGCCAGTCGTCTTGTCCGATGTGCATCCTAATACAAGGCTTGATCGACAGAGCGGATAAGGCATACGGAAGACTCTCGCCCGACGAAGTCGAGTTGCGGCTAGCACATGACCGTGGGTCTCACGGCGGTTATCGCCCTCCTGCATGGGCCGACCCGGATCCAAGACGACAGCCTGAGGAAGACAGCCTGCTGGAAGGGGCCGAGGACAGCTCGGAGTCTTGGTACAGCTTGAAAATTTGGCTCACACCTGACGTTTATCCCTACAACGCCACCACCATTCTTTATGTTACTCTTGCTGCGGACTTTGGTATGTCACCAGAATTCATTAGAGGCTTGATCAGCTACTGACTTGTTGGCTCAAGGAACGTCTGCCGCAGCGCATGTCGTTGCGCGTCCGCGGCCTGTTGATACAACTACGACCTTCTCCATCATCAAACGTTGGATTCAACATTGTGACGGCCACCACGCATCTTGTAGAGATGCCACGCATAACGCGTCCGAGATGCCTAGGCGTCTTCTCTGGGTGTCAAATGCAGACATCTTTCCCGATATAAGGGTTGCGCCAGTCTCAACTGGAAAGCGATACATCGCGCTCAGCTATTGTTGGGGTGGTGCAGCCGAAGCCAGTGCCCAGAAGAAATCAACAGCTGCCACCATCGCCGAAAACAAACTCAAAATTTCTTTCCAATCACTACCAAAGACAATCCAAGACGCGGTGTCAGTTTCCAGGGAGCTTGGCATCGACTATCTCTGGGTTGACGCGCTCTGTATCATCCAGGATGACGATAATGACCGAAACCACGAGATCGCCCGCATGGGTGCCATTTACGCGAATGCATATCTGACGCTTTCTGCCTCCGGGGCTAGCCACTGCGCCGAGGGATTTCTCGAACGCCCACTGACAGAGTATCGTGAATCCGATTTCTTTGAAGTACCGTTACAACTGCCCGGAGAAGGCTGTCCAACACTGGTCAAAGCAAGCCGCGCAGGGGTCCGGAACATCTGGTCCAAAGAAAACGGGAATCTCTTCTGGTTCCAGAACCGGGAGCTCTTGCACACAAGAGGCTGGACATTCCAAGAGACATTCTTGTCACCACGGTTGCTAATGTATACCTCCCTACAACCATATTGGGTCTGTCGTGAAGCGTTTTGGTCGTGCGGAGATCCTGGCCCGATGGAGTATCTCAGAAACGTCTACCTTCAGGACATGCTCGAACTGCGAGAGATGTCTGATAGACAACAGAAGTACATGCAAACCCTCCCTTCAGACGATCCGAATTCTTCGGCCGAGCTATGGCGTTGGGGCACCATCATACACTGGTTTTCATCACGCCGATTAACGTTGGTTGAGGACAAACCTCTTGCTCTTCATGCCGTCAGGGACAAGTTCACTCGCCATGACCCTAGCCTGCAAGACTTCGCGTTGGGTTTATTCCGTTCCACTGCCCATACGGATCTCCTATGGCACACCAGACATGGGGCTGATCCACAGTCTGAACAACTCTCTGAGTTCCCGAGCTGGACCTGGATGTCTTTTGATGGCGGTGTAACGTGCCCCTTCAAGTACGGAGGACCACAGGAGTCGAGCATGATCAAGACACACGATGAATTTGAGATCAAAACTTGGCCGGGATGTGATCAGTTTGGTCGACTGCTTCCCGATAGTTCGCCGCTGAAGCTCCGGGGTATCGTGAGAGAGGTGGCCATCCCACACCGGTTCTGGAAAGATGGGTATGCGTCTGCTCAGGATATGCCATGCTTTTCACTCCGCGTCCTTGGGCTACGGGAGGACGAGTGGGAGGAGAATGAAGACAGGATTGGTCATATCACTTTTGATCAGTACCGGATGCCGAGCTCGAATGATGACTTTGAGAACAATCCGCCAACCCGGTATAAGACTCTTCAGATCCTCGTTATTGCGCTGCAAAAAGAACACATCGACAACACACTGAGCCTCCCTGACGATAGACAGGGTTATGAAGCAACGTACGGACTTGTCATTGCGCCGGCATTGAGAGTTGGAGGAATACATCGGAGGATAGGGTTCTACAAAGGAGGGGACAATAGTGTTTCATATTTTGACAATGGGGTGACAGAGGAGTTTGACCTTGAATGAACAGTCAACACCCCGTCACCTCGATACATTTCAGGGCTTAGTTCGCAAGCTGCGACTGAGTAAAAAAACTCCAAATCTCCCCCGGAACCCAAGACCTAGCACCGCTCTCCGGCCCGTTATCAACCGCCCCCGGCCAATGCCCCCCATCAAAAGGAATCCACGTCACAGGATACCCGCTCCTGCACCCGTTGAAGTTGGTCTTGATATGAATCCCACTCCCCCTCGCCGGCTCAGGCGCATTGGTGTTTTGACACCCGTTATTCCTCACAAACCGATCCCTCATCGCCCTCCCCTGCCCAACGTTCAACGTCCCGTCCCAAACCCCATGAATACCAAGATAAGCCACAGGATCATTCCCACCGCTGCAACCAGACAACTGCCCACCCCCAATAACAGCCACACCCCTGAACTCCCTCGCTCTTGAACACGCCAGGCTAAAGGTCATACTCCCCCCGTATGAAAACCCCAAACTGAACCTCTGCCTCTGGTTTACGCACAAGGCATCTTCGATATGGCGAATCATGGTATCGACAAAAGCGACGTCTTCTCCCCCGTTATTAGCCCACCCATTGTTGATCCCCTGAGGTGCGACTAAAATGGCGGACTCCCCTGCGTTGCGCTGCATCCCGTAGTATGACCATAGCTCGCGGTCGGTGCCGCCCGAGGAGATGTCGTTCATTGTGCCACCGACCCAGTGGAAGGCGAAGATGAGGCGGTATGAGCGGTTGGGGTTGTAGTTGTTGGGGACGCGGACGATGAATTGTCTTTGTCGGCCGTTGACGTTTACGGTGCGGACGCCGGAGCCAAAGGGTGATTTGCCGCAGCCGGGCGAGGGGTTGGAGAGTTGGCGGGGAGCGAGGACAGTTCCAGGGGTGGCGGAAGGGAGGGCGTGGGCTAGGGAGGTTGAGAGGGTGAGGAGGCTGGTGAGGAGGTGGGTGAGGGCTACCATCGTTGCTGGCTGGGCCCTTTGCTCCGGGGCTGAGTGACTTGATGGTGAGGGTTGAAGTTGGGTGCTGTGTTGGCGAAGATGTGGCGAGTTATATACCTGTCGGGTAGGATACCAGGTTGGTGAGGAGTCTCACCACGAGGTTGTCATGGCAAGATTGGTCCAGGAGCAAAAGGTTGACATTTGATGCTTTCATGACCAAATCGACCGAGATTCAGTTTTCTTTGGCACCTACCTAACTAACATGGCGAACCTTACTCCCGGACAGCTTCCATCCGTGACTGTGGCGGTGGAGTTCAAGCGGAAGACGGGACATACCTGATTGGCGCGCTTTGTCCCGCTGCGTCGTTCCTGGTTGAGTCGAAGCGACTACAACCTCGCTAAGATGAACTGCCGATGGCTGGAGCCTCTCGTTCATGGGACCGATGGGGTCGTAAGGTTGAGTTGATATCAAATGAGTGTGTTGAGTGAAAGCCATTGGAGGAGAATTCTTGACAGTACAAGTTTCGCCGTTTTAAAGCGCAAGTACGGCGATGTTTATAGGGGCGGATGGAAAATTGGATGCTTTTTTTGTGGTTGAGATATAGCAGTCGATGAATGATATATATGACTGGAGATGAGGCAACCAGGTAATGGGCAATAATAGGAGACAGATTCGGAAATCTTAGCCCGCCGTTACCGACGGCGGTACGGCGTTTCCACCCTGTAATGTCTGGAAGCTATCATTTTGGAGAATCATATGGAGAGATTACCAGTTAGCTGCAGCTCTGTCTAGGAATGTGTTCTCTCTCAAGTCAACAAGGCCGTGCCAGTCTTTACAGCAATCTGTATAACCAGCTGGAAATCGCATGTCTAAACTATAGTTTCAAAGAAATTGTTTATCCATTGTTGATTTTCTTTCTAAATTCCATGTTGGGCGACACTCATTAGTGGTTCCAACCACAATGCTGGTGGACTTTGAAGAAAGAAACATTCTCCCGTCACGGACTACTTCCGGTCCAGGTCTGGATAGGTCAACTCTGTAAACGCGGCTTAAGATTGGCATGGGTACATTACCTTGTGCTAAGGTATGCTACGCGCATAGTACCACACGTTGCCCTAGTTGGGTACCAGATCTAGGAGATGCACAATCTCAGGTCAACGGATTACGGGAACGGGTGACGCGGAAGCGAAATTCAACACCTACGGCAGTTCGGATGTTGGAGCGAAGTTGAAGGTATAAAAGAGGGTTGCTCTCCATGTGTTGTCTGTTCTAACCTTCTTCACCTCATCTTCAACCTTCTATCCTTGTTACTCCTGACAGCCTCCCGGTCATCATGCACTTCTCTACCGTTGCTGCCGTAGTCTTTGCGGTGGCTCCTCAGTTGGCATCCGCACACTTCCTCTTTCCCCATCTCATGCTCAACGGCGTGCGCACCGGCGCGTTTGAGTATGTCCGTGAACACGACTTCGGCTTCATGCCGCACAACAATGACTTCATCAACTCACAGGACTTCCGCTGCAACGAGGGCTCCTGGAGACACCGCCGCGAGCCCAAGACGGCGCAGGTCATAGCTGGGCGAGACACGGTTGGGTTCAACCTGCACCTTGACTTTGGGATCTACCACCCGGGCCCGGTCACTGTAAGCACACCCACTCGACAGAACCCCCAAACACAGTGACAAGTATTGACGACCATTACCTTCACAGATCTATCTCTCCAAAGCCCCCGGTGATGTCCGCGACTACGACGGGTCGGGCGACTGGTTCAAGGTGTACCAGCTCGGCACTATGATGCCCTGGAACGGCACTGATCAGGGCTGGCTTACGCGCGACAAAAAGAACTTTCAGTTCCGCCTGCCATCTGAGATTCCGGCCGGCCAATACCTGATGCGCATCGAGCAGATGAGCGTTCATGTATGTTTTGAAGCGTCTACCTGACTGCCTCCTTTGCTTCTCTTACTAACAATCCTTTTCAGCCCCCTTACAAACAGAAGGAGTGGTACGTCCAGTGCGCCCATCTGAATATCGCCAGCAACTACAACGGACGCGCCCCCGGTCCGACCATCCGCTTCCCGGGCGGTTATAAGATCAGCGACCCTGCGATTCAACTTGACAGCTGGGCCAAGCCTCCTCCGACATTTGCGCCCATGCCCGGCCCTCAGCTTTGGCCTAACTAGGGCTTTGTACAGGGGCGTTCAGGGCCGTCGTAGTTGCACAGATGTCTGTCGGACGGTCTCAAGTCCAAAGACTGCAACTCCAAATAGTCACACACCTATAGTTATCGAGATGAAGCTCCATCAATCGACTAGTTTACCTGGTAGCTTAGACCCATTCTCATTATATCATGCCCCCCCTCCCCGAGCACCTGTTACTGTCCACTATGCTGGCTGTCTCGCCCCCCCTGAACCCCAGTCAACCACCCCCGCCCCAGGCAACACCCTCCCCAACTCCTCCACCTTGGCCACACCGACCACAATCTCCCCTCCAACCTTTGTCCTCCTCGCATTCCCCTCAAACTCTGCCAAAGTCAATAAACTCGCTCCGTCATTCCCTAGTTTCCACCCAGAGACCTTTCCCACAACTTGAACCGCATCAAAGTTCTTCGTCCCATCCACCCCAACAAACAAAGCCTTCTTCTTCGCCGCATCAGTAACCACCTCTTCATCAGCCTCAGCATTAAATCCCCTCCTATTCCAAACCAACCACACCCCATGATCCTCCCCAACAACATCAACAACAACAGCGTAGTTCGTCTCGGTTAGTTCATCCCCTGACGACAGTTTGTAGTATAGCTGTCCCAAAGGATAAACATGCTTTGGCAGAACAGCAGATGAACCATGACTCAAGGAGTAAAAGAAAGGATGCACTTTAGTCCTATTGTCAACTTCTTCATCGGTCTTATGTAATGAACTGACCATGATAGGGGGTAGGGAAAGTGACAAAGCCCCTGCCTTAACAACGACGAGGTACTGATGGCTTGGCGATTGAAACAACGGGATAGGGACCGACGTATTATTGACAGCGTCAGCAAAAGCGGTGATGGCCTTGAGATCAGTGAACTTTGTCGCGATGGATTGGATTTTGGCAAGGGTATCCGCAGCGGGAAGCTTTGCTTGCGGGGAGGTCATCTTTTGAAGGAGGTTTTCTTGCGTCCAGGCGAGATAGGCGTCCGGGGAGCGGGTTTTGGAGCGGACGAGGGAGAGGAGGTCGGAGGGTAGGCCATCTATGGTGGGGGGGTTAGCTTGGTGAGAAGGAAGGGGGGAGGGAGAACAGACCTTTGCGGAGGGATTCGGTGATAGCGTCTTTGACGGCTTGGAAGTTTGGGTTGCTGGGGGTTGCCATGGTGAAAGGTGGGGATGTTGACAAGGAAGTGGGTCTGGGATTAGGGGTTCAGGGGCGACAAAACAGGGGCAAAGTGGAATGTTGAAGCCTCGATCGGGGCAATTGAACAGGTGAGGGATTGACTTCTGTGGAGTGTTCTGAAGGGAGATGATTCCGATCACAAAGAATGAGGCGACTGACTTACACATATATTTACTAGGGAAACATGTCTGCTATCGGAGCTCCTCAAGTTAATTGTTTGCGGCTGGATCATAGGTGCGGAAATGCACTGAACGGTGTGGTTGCATTCGGTGGAGGCGCAGTGAAGTTCAGCTGTTGCGATGACAGCCACATCAGACACCGAAACGCCCCTCAGAGTGGGGGATTAATGTACATGACCTGGCGGACTTCGTTACGATAAATCGTATCTAAGGTAGGTATGATATATCTGAACTGAGGTTGGGGGGCAGGATCTGAGTAAGAGGCGGTATGTGTGCCAAGTTTCAGGATGAGCTGAACCAATCTCAAAGCACTCCTAAAAGGATCCCTCGCTCAATAACCCGAGTACAGACCTAGTGTTTACAGTTAGCCATCGGAGGCTAGATGGGTGTTCTGTACTCGGCATGTTGAGGTACTCATCACTGATCATCTTGGCGCTATGTTGACATTGCTGCTGCGCAGTCAAATCATATAAGGTTTGTCAAGCCCATTGGAATCTATGTCTTTCTCTCTAAGCAATATTGACCCTTCTCCCAACACTGATATAGCCGCTCCTCTGACCAAGTCCCTGACCATGGCCGTCTTCAGAGAAAACCCCCGCATTTACCACCAGTCCGCCCCAACTCGGGCCACCACAAGACAACAAATCATCAACCAGCCGCTTCTCTTCCAACAAACCTGGCAATGTGCACAAGATGCTGCTCAAAACATTTGGCTTCTGTATCGAGACTTTCTCAGTACCGTGTTTACCGCTCAGATTGGTGCCGGCGCAGGTGGAGTGCATCTCGATGATGCCAGAGATCTTGTTCGGCTTGGCTATTGGCTTGTCCTCGGTCCAATGTGGGATGTAGTCCAGGAACGCCACTACCGCCTCGGGGGCGGTCCAGGCGGCTTCCCTACCATGGCAGACCTCAGCTTCATTGACTATCTCATGGGGATTTGTTCTACTCTAGAGATTATAGAGACAAGGATCTTCAACGTTCCGAATGTCCAGCAACTCCCACATAACGTTCAGCACCAAGGCATTCTCAACGACATTGCGCAGTGGACGAATCCAAATAACCAGACTGCCCAGAACATCAGTGTGCTGGGATTTTTGGAGCTGCTGTTGCGAATCGTCGCTCATACATCACCAAACTTGGGTACGTCTGCACTGCTTGACCAGGCCTTGATGAAACCATTCTCTAACACAATCATAGCTACCTTCCGCACCTCGTTGAACAACCTCCGGACTCATCAGCCACGCAACCACATCTACCATAAGCGTGGCCTCCCCCGGGTCATGTTCGTCTGTGCCGGTGGCAACAATGGTATGCACGTCATCACCACTTCCAAAGACAACTGGTATGACTTCACATCTCTTTGGGCGGCGACAGATGCCGCTCGTGTCCAGCGTCAAACCTGCCCACCCATCGTCCTACCTGGCGGAGGGGGCCAACCGGCATTCAATGTCGTCGGGCGGTCCAATGCTATCTTCCATGAGTTTTCCAACGCCGAGGCAGATGTCGCTCAGATTTTATCTGACAATGCTGCCGAGATTATCAGGTCAAATACCATCACAGTCTGGCAGAACCAAGCGGCGCGGTTTGCGAACCATGCGAATGAGAGGTGTTTACCCATGACGGTTCCTGATTTTGCGGTGAAGGCGAGGTGCTTGAGGTGCCAGGCGCTGTTTCGTTATAATGTTAATCATCCTGATGCGTTGGGACTGGTCGGGGCCGAAGCTGCGTGGCGGGGAAACCGCCGGTTGGGGGTGGCGGTGTTGTGTAACGGTGATTGGGATTGTGCGGAGACGTTGGCACATTTCTATTGTGTTGCTGCGAATGTGGTTGGTGTAGGGGGGCTTCACTAAAAAATTATTTCTCTCATCTTTGTAGTGGAAGTCAACAGCAATACTGTATTGGCGGGCTGGTCAACCGCTATCACTGATGATTGCCTTTGGCAATGGCTTAGGGTCTGTAAAGTGAACGTGGATTAGATTTGAGGTGGCTTCAATGCATACTGAGGGTAAAAAGACGTTATTAGAGGCCGGTTACTGCGGATAGTCCAGCTTTTGCCGACAAGGGCGGGACTGGAAGCCTCAAGGCTGGGGCACCCGCGATAGAGGAAGACCGAACTGAGATGGTGCGCTTTTCAAGAACCGACTCCGTATCTGCAGGTGCTAGATACGTCACTGCAATACAATGATTGACGCACCTGAATCTCGACCTTATCACTTTTGCCCCGGTACCAGCGGCTGAAGCGGCCCAGAGGTCATTCTGTTTAACTGGTGATGGACATGCGCTGAGATAACAGCACTTCCGCGTCGTTGCCAATCGTGTAATGGCTTGGACTGAATGTGTTTTTGGCAGGTTCATTGGTTGTTTTGAAGTGCTCGTTAGCCCTAGGCGTCGAATATGTGGACAAGATTAACCAAACTCGGTCTAGATGTCTGGGAGACAACGAGTCATCCATCTTGGAGAATATCGCGGCCCGAAACCCTGTGCCAAACAAATATTTCAATCACTGTAACCTCGAAAACTCCATCGTTAGGCCGGACAACCAAAGCACACATGTTCCCGAGTTCAGGTCAAAAACACAGTGGTTTCTAGTACTTAAACGAGCTGATGCACAGCCACGGCCCTTTCCCGACAGCTCGGAGACGCAGGACTGTAACATACAGAGGTCGCAGCGCTGCCATTCTCCGCCACGGTTGGCGCAACGGCACAAAAGTTTGCCTATTCATTATAACGTCGCCTTAGACATTTTAGTTGTAATGATTGGAGCCACATCCGATACCCAAGGTATCCATTGGCGGCCACCTGCATGCATACTGCTGTCTATGTGGTTGCTCTCAGCACAAGAGGTTATTCGGGCAACAAGATACCTCTGACAAGGAGAAGAGGCGCGCCCTGAATAAGTATCAAAACCCCAATCTCTCCCATCCTTAGGAATGAACTGGCTCGCGTGTCAAGATTGCCGTTGGCTTTCCTCCTGACGAGTGTCACCTCTCGGGCTTCTGTTGCCAACTATGTCCGGTCTCGAGCCACTCGTTGCTTTTTCCTTAGCATGCGCAGTCTGCCAGGCAGTTTCCTTTGCGGGGGAAACTCTCAGAGTCTGCCGGAACCTTTGTTCAACCGGATCGGCCGTCGAAAGTACGGGAACGCAATGCTTAACAAGACTATGTGCCGATTTACAAAAACATTGTACACCAATATCCGGGCCGTTGACTCGAGAGCAGCAGAGGCTGTTGGATGTCGCTCAGACAACTATCGACGCCGCAACAAAGCTGGAGAGAGAAACTACCAAGATATATCGATCGTTGCCGCGGAGCAAAGTGCTCGCGACTCCTACCTGGGCAGCAAGATGTGGCATCTATAAATGCAGGATAGCAAGGCTCGAGAAGACGATGGCCGAGGCTCAAAAAAACTTGGAAACTTGTTTGCTCGTTAGTATGTGGTAAGTTCACATGTACCCACGTCATACGCAGGAAACAATTCGACTGGGTTGGTGTTGACCAGTATTCATAAAGCACGAGGCTAGACGCACTAGCACTGCAACAGCATCAGGACTTTTCCCACTTGCACTGGGATCTTCGTAACTTCATCGGTGCTCGGTCACAGGGGGAAACACAGCTCGCAAACCTGGTGAACAATCTGGAAAAGAGCTCCGAGTTCCAAGACCCTCCGAAGTATGAAGGTGGGGTTTGCGTTACTGCAAGCCTGGATCACTCTCTAGGTCCTACTCACATCAAAGACATTCCGACCTCATCTGGGTACGAAAAGATCTTGATGAGCTTTAAATATCCGACTATGAATGAGCGACGAAATCATATTGGCGAGGGATGCAAGACTACTTTCAACTGGATCTTCGATCAAATCGAGCAGGGAGACAATGATGCGGCCATCGATTGTCATGTCGACACAAAGTCCGAATGGCTCCCTGGCTCAAACCAGCAGAATCCCAATCCAACCACTCACACAACATTCCGTGCAAGTGGTTTTCTGGATTGGCTCCGTTCTTTGCATCAGCCGCTCTTCTGGATTAGTGGCAAGCCGAGGTCAGGCAAGAGCACTCTGGTCAAATTCCTGCTCGATGATCACCGGACGAGAGCAAATTTCGAGGTCAACTTACCACATGCGACAATCATTTCCCACTTTTTCTGGCTTCCTGGCAACGCAATGGATAGGAGCACTAAAGGAATGCTGTGCTCTCTGAATCATCAGTTACTAAGCAACAGCAACAACAACAACAACTATTCCAACGTCTTCCACCACCCAACCTTTCCAAGCATAAAACTGAAAGACAACCCCAGCGATTGGTCAATAAAGGAACTCCAGGACATCTTTGTCTACCTCTTACGAAAGTCAGCCCGTCCTATTCTCATCTTTTTGGATGGCCTAGACGAGATTGACCCCTCCGACGGGCCTTTCTTTCTACTTAGCCTTCTTGATACGGTGTGCAAAATACCAGGAGTGAAAGTCTATACGTCCAGCCGACCCGAGCCAACCTTACAACAATATTTCAACATGACACCATCCTTCCGAGTGCAGGATTTCACAGTGAGAGACATACGAAACTATGCGAGGAAGAGGCTTCGGCTACAAAGTCTCACCAGTTCTCAACGCCTCGACGATGAAGAGTTTGAGAAGCTCATGGAGGAGTTTGGAGACAAGTCACATTGAGTTCTTCTGTGGGCGGGTTTGGCTCTGAAAAACCATCAAACTGGATTGGTTCAGAACGACTCGACTCAAGCGCTGAGAGAACGATTGAATTCTCTTCCAGATTCCTGAATGGATTTTACCAATGAATGTGGAACCGTTTGAATGCCGAAAGCAAGTCTCACCGGGAAAATGCGGCCACATATCTCAACATGATTCTCGACCTATTCGCGCTGTTTGACGGCGTACACTGGAGGTGCAGCACAGTCACAACTCTTGCCTTGGCTCCGGACCCAACTTTAGGAACAGCTCTCAAAACTAGCAATGAGCAGGCAAATGGTTCCGCCCAGCGTCTCCTCGAACGATGTAACGCGCTCGGAAAGAAGATTGAGCTTCACTGTGCCGGACTGGTGGAGCTGGTCGACTCTGAGATTCGATTTGTTCATCGCTCGGCCCAAGACTTCCTGGTAGACACACTGGATGGTCGTGCAATACTGGCATACGACAAGACTTCACGACGGGATCGCGTTTATCAACTTATCAATGCCCACCTCACAGTTCTATCCGTTCAAAGTGAAGAATACCTTGACTGTTTCTACCATTGGCTAGGAAGAGGCCATTATCCGATCCGAGCATCTATCAAGCTCGTGCTCCGTGCATACGACACTCTGGGTACCCTTTCCGACGCTGAAGCTATGGAGCTTCTAGACCGCATCCAGAAGGTCACTGAGACTACGCACTGGGTCTCACATTGCCTGTCACTTCGGGGGAATAACTTTAGCGGCCAGCTCGCGCAACACGGCTGTTTACGGTTTCTATTGCATACGATGAATAGGGCAGAAGAAATATGCGGTTCCACGTCTAGTGCTTACCGAAGCTATCTCATATTTGCGACCCTTCGACGAGCAGACAAGTTCAATTATCACGCAACCGACACCCGCTACACACAGCACCGCTTGGAAATACTATGTCATCTTCTGTCTGCACGGAATGACAGGTTACTAAACCGGGCGGTCCCTAATCCGTATGACCGCGGTGTTCCTCAGCCAAATGTCACGTGTCGCACAACAACAATGATGGAGGTATTTCTTGAGCCTCAGTCGTTCAATCTTGGCAAGTTTCTCATGGATGCCACACCGTTGGATATATCTCAAGCCTTCACGCAGGTGGTTGACATCTGCTTCCAATTCATCAATGTTGGAGAAGATCTGACCAGCGTCATTCTATTCCCATTTGAACATCAGAATGGGTTTGAATGGTCTTATTGTCCTGATTGGAACACTTTGCTTGAACCGTCACGAAGTCCAAGTGCAGTTCTTCTCGTCCAGCTCAACATGGCATTCGTAGTCGATATGTGGTGCCGCATGATGAGCAACTATGTCTTCGACGCCACAGGAAGAAAGGGGCTAGATGCTCTGTGGAAAATGGCCCAAACAGTCAAAAAGGTTGATGTGCTGGGCGCATTCAACAGATCCGATCCTAGCAAATTTCACATTTTGGCAGCAGGAAAAACAGCAGAGTACACAAGGGCCGTTGAGAGCCTGCCTCTAGCTATGCAGAGTTCATGGACCATAGGGATCGATCCAACAATGGACAAGTCGGACGATGCGGTTTCGGAAATGCATGTAAACGAACTCGAAACCGAGCTTATACAACGAGGGCTTCTGGTAAGAAGAAGGGATGTGGAAACAGATCTGAGTCGCTTCAGACACGTGGAGGGAGTACAAGGGAGTGTTACCATAGTATCGGGCAAAAACAGGCCAGCCATACGTATGGGGCTACACATGTTAATACATAAGTTACTTTGACTGATATCCTTATCCACGTGTCGTGGGGCTTGTGAAAAAGCACGTTCAACCCTTGGTCAACAGCACGGTTGCCCCTATCGCACATGACCTGCTGACGGATCTCACTCGGACAACGAGGTACTGAAATTCTCACAGGCTTTGACGCCCCAAAAATCTAAGCATTTCTTCTAGCTATGTACTTATCAATGTACATTCTTGATCTCCCGCAGAATCCGCTGGATTGCCCCATCGTACTCGACAATGATGCATTCCGGCCCTCGCCCACCCATCCCATACGTGTATCCTAGACCAACCCGAATGGCCTGACAACACTGTGTAACTTCTGCAGCCAGATTGTCCCAGTTGTAATTGTTACCCTTCCCTTAGAATGCGAAAAAACAACTGATTGGTGGCAACCTTGAGTATCGCAAGATCGAATCGCCGGGGTGGCATTCTCTGCTCCGGCACCACAAGATATGTCGGGCAGTCGAACTCGATGCTCAACACAGCGTTCTAGTCCCCATTCCTGACCGCCTCACCCACCATGAGTTGGGCGACATTGTTGTCGGGCCAAACTAACGCCATGATTGTCAAAGTGCAATCTGCCTGATGGAGCAAGAAGTTAGACACAAAGTCAAGTTGCTTTGAATTAACACAGGGCTCATGATATACACCTCTGACCAAGAGAACGGTTGAATGGTTTCGTCGGCTGCAGTGAGTTCGTTCAAGGCCGAAAAGGTAGCTGTTCAAAAACTCAAAGATTATCGTCAAGTGTGAATGGCGAGGAGGCTTGCTGTCCTTTCTCCGACAGAGTTGTCTGCCGATGAAAGGTATATATATTTGATAAGTCCCGACTGGGTTGGATGATTGTGGCTCTCGATATCGCCTCTCTCCCGGAAGCTATCGGAAAACACCTGAAGCTCCTTTGTGAATACCCAAGTCAAATTGCGCACCCGACGTCACATTGCTAGTACAGTTGTTGCGGGATGGGCCGTGCCGCCGGGGTATAGAGTTGGACCAACCGGACCCTTATCAATGGCCGGTGTTGACACCCTATGCTACTCCACACCTTCTGACAGCTGTTTCTGTTCCCTTTTGTGGGGAGCCCGGCGTGAAAGATAGAAGCTTAATGTCGAGTGGTGCATGATGGCGGATGGAGCACAGTAGCAGAGTTTGAACCTTTCTCGTCTAAAACAAGCAGTCAGATTGAGGACATATCGAAAGTTCCTGCCGTCACATCTTGAAATGGAATGGCTGGTCTTGATCATAAGACCTGATACCCACGCTTCAACCGAAATGGTCGCCTGTTGGGCTGGCGACCTAGGAAAGTCACTGGCTGCGAAAATGAGGCTAAAATGGCCAAAAAATGGTAAGCAAATTGGTATTACAGTAGTTGGTTGTTGGTTAAAAAGTAAATAGTAAGAAAATCCAGCCTTAAAAATAAACCGGTATAGGTCTGGGAAAACCTGGGCCCTTTAGTGCCCCACACCCCCCCACAGACAGCACACCGCTATCCAAAATAAAGTTATCGCTAATATCCTTCGAAGCCCAATATACGCCTAGATTCTTCCACTTCCTTTAACTCCTTTACCTAATACCCTAGTAGCCTTTTTTCTATATAAATATACGTTCTCTTATATATTTTAAACCGGAAAATCTCGTATTCCTAATAGCTATATAAACTTTATATACTTTTCCCTTTATAATACTTTTATAAATTTATTTATTAATATTTTTAATTTAAAAATATATTAAATATTAAATTTTCTTTCCTTTACTTATTTATTTATTTATTTATACTATATATTAATATATTAAATTTTAATAATATTTTAAAGGTTTAAAACTATAATTTTAGTATTTTTATTATCGGTATATAATATATATAATTTTAATTATAATATATTATAATTTTTTAATATTTTTAATATTTATTATAATAAATACCCTATAAATATTAAATTAATAAATTTTATTTCCGTTATATTTAGGGTAACGAAAATTTATTTTTTATTTTTTTATAATATTAATTTATTAATTATAAAAATAATATAATTATTAATAAAATATTTTTAAAGTAAAATATTTATATATAAAATATTTATAAATCCTATAAACTTTATATTTTTTATTAAAAATTTAAAACTTTTTAATATAATATATAATTTTTTAATAATAATTAAATACCGAAAAAAATATTTTATTAATTTTAAATAATATAATAAAAATTTAAAATTATTTCCGTAAAAGCGGTTAACGATAAAAATAATATCGAACCGAATATTAATAAATAATTAATTTAATATACCGGTTTTTTAAATATATTTTTTTTACTTTTATAATTATTTTTTTTTATATAAAAGAAAACTTTAATTTAATTAATTATAACGTAATTACGTTAATTATATTTTTATAATTAAACTTCTCGAATAAAATATTAATATAAACTATTTAAAATAAATAAACTTATTTTTTTCCGCGGTTCTTTATAATATTAAAACCTAAAAATCTTTTTAATTTACTTAATTTTTTAATATTATATTTATTCTTTAGCCTAATAATAATATTTTTAATAATTTTTATTATAAATATTAATATAAATAGGTTATTTATATATAAAATTATTAAAATACTTATTTTTTTATAACGAAATAAGTAAAGGG